TTTTTTATTTTACTCCTTTTTTTATTTTTTACTCCTTTTTTTATTTTTTACTCCTTTTTTATTTTATGTCAGCTGGGGATAAGAGGCTTCTCTGTGGTTCTCTGTTTAATATGTCTAATGTATATCTGACTAGTGGTATAAAATACGGAACGGACTTTCTCGTGTATTTAGGACCACCAAAAAATTTTCATTCTTCATTTATACTTAATTCTACTGCAGGACTTGATTTTAAAACAATTGTAGCACTAACCCGAATTTCGTCCTCAACTAAAAAAGATTTTGTCACGGTGTTATACGATAAAACCTTGGTTTTTGTACGTTTCAATAGGTTTTTTGTATAGAATGTTCAGGTTTTTATAAAAATAAAAATTTTACGAATAAAAATTTTTGTAAAAAACGGATAAATAAAATTATAAAACAAACATAAAACTGTATCAAGTATCATAAACTATCTATAAATACCCAAATACACACAAACCCAAATGAAACAGAAAATCCTCATATTAGGAATTATTATTGTAACCCAAATTTACTGCCATGGCAGTAATCCTGTATACAGCACTGCAGAGAATCCAATAATCCCTGTGGAAATTACCGAGTCTAAAAAAAAAAAGAATGTGCTTATAGATAACCTTAATTATATCACAGGATTACTATATAAGGCAAGTATTTTTTTAAAAAATACCGTTATTTCTGGATTACTCAAAAATTCAAAAATTAAAAGTACGGTCGTATCAGAAGACTTCCCTGAGTACAGTGATTTTGATGATCATTTCATTGACTCATCCACTAAGCAAATAAATAATTCAAAATCAGAAATTACCAAATGTGGAAATTCCACTTATTCTAACCCTAAAAAATCAAAATTATACGTTATAAACCAGATTAGGCCATCTTTCATACCAGAACATGGTGATATCGCAGAAGTAATTTTTAACAAATCGGATATTCCAGAAAAAAAGTCAGAAATTGAAAACGGTTTTTTAAAATTTTTTCAGTCACACACCGGTCAAATACCTGACACAAAAGGGTTCATTAAGAACGGGATAAAGAATGCCAAGAAGAACCTTTTATTACAGGCAAAATTAGCACGGGCGTATACGTCAGCAGCTGCCAATAAGACCATGGACGTATTTGATAATACTGTACGGTCATCCCATTTACTAGCTGACTTAGTCAGGAAGGGGTTAGTCACACCCAATTCTGCTGCTAAGGAACTGACTAATTCAGTAAGGGACTTGTCCTCTGACTTCTTAGACAGGAGCACTCGCAGCATGAAAGGTGCTGCTAATTATTTATTACATGCAGCTGTTGGTTCTGTAGACGGGATAGTTAATGGACTGAAATATTCACCATCTGCTGTTAATGGGTTAATGAGCTCATACAAAAGTATCCTTAATAACCCTAAATTCAACTTATCTGAGCATATCCCGTCACTAGCCGTCTCATTAGAGATGGACATGAGGAAGTTGACTGAATTTATACACCCACCTGACATGAATAAATTAGGCTCATTATGGGAGAGTGTGGAGAAGTCGGTTGATTCCTTAAAGGGTCAGTGGACTGACATAAATTCATCCCTGTTCAACCATCAGACAGAGCACTTTAAGGACCGGTTTATGTCACTGACTGAGGATATAGCCAAGACATTAGATACACTCTCAGTACGGTTAGGGAAGAGTTTAGAATTAGTTGTACCTGGGATAGATGCACTCAGGTACAGGTTTAAGTGTATTTTAGATGAGATTAAAAAAAAGAATGATCTTACCATATCGGGTAATTTGAACCTGAAAGAATTATTAGATTACAGTATGGGGTTATTCTCACAGTTAAAGGATATTGATTTAGCCTTACTTGGGTTATCTTCTGATGGTTTCTGTGGTAGCATTAAGAAGAATATTTCTGATAGCAGGGAGAATCCATTAAATGTACTTCCAGGGTACAATTCTGTTGGTAAGCGGGTATTTAACAAGTTAAGTGACCTACGGGGTATTAGATGATTTATTACTGTATGTGTAATAAGTAATATATAGTACGCAATTAATAATAAATTATAATAAGTTTATAAAAATAAAATGTATTATTTATTATTATATGTGCAATAAGTAATATACATATTATTATTTATTATTATATGTATAATAAGTAATATACACATTATTATTTATTATTATATGTGTAATAAGTAATATATATTAGTATATGTGTAATAAGTAATACTACCATGCAGCAAGACTAGATGTAGATGGATTAGAAGCAGGCGAAGAAGCATCAGGCATACCAGGCTGACCAAACTGATCAAACTGACCGGGCATACCGGGCTGACCAAACTGACCAGGCATACCGGGCTGGTTAGGCATACCAGGCTGACCAGGCATACCAGGCATACCGGGTGCATTTGCCCCTGCTGCTCCTGCTGCCATGCCTGCTGGTGTATTTGCTGCCATTCCTGCTGCCATTCCTGCCATGCCTGCTGTGCCTGTTGGTAAAATACATTTAATACTTATAATACAGAATATTATACACAATGTGTTATATATCTTCATGTTATAATTTTTAATTTTTAATTATTTATAATTTTTTATGCCAATCACAAATTATAAAATATAACCAATAAATAATACACATAGTACAATAAGTAATGTACTATGTGTAAATAGTCTTAATCTATATTATACTATAATAAATAAACCAATGATTATAAAATAATGTATATAGAATAAGACTATTTACACATAGACTAATAAATTACTAGTACTATTTACACATAGTACATTATATTATAATAAGAATGATAAGACATATTACTTATTACACATAGCACAGTAAATTAAGACTATTTGCACATAGACTAATAAATTACTAGTACTTATTACACATAGTATATTATATTACTAGTACTTATTACACATAGTATATTATATTACTATTACTTATTACACATATTATTATTACTTATTACTTATTATACACTGTGTATTAAGTCATTTACTCTAAATAATAAAATTTTATTACACAATGTGTAGAAATAAAAGCACACCACAAGAAGTTTCAAGCACAGCCAGAAATAGAGATAGAAGGCATAACCCGATTAACCCGATTAAAGATCCACGGTTCTTTAATAAAGAAGTCAATCCGATCTATTTAGCAGACAATTATTCCTTCTTATACGACAAAGAGAAGGAAATACTTAAAGAAAGACAAAATAAAGGAGACAATGTACAAAAAGAAATGGAGAGGATAGAAGCAAGAAATAAGCTACTATATGTAAAAAGAAATGAACAGCAAGAAAAACAAAAAGAACTTGAGCGGGTGAAGGAGGGCAAGAAGCCATTTTATATCTCAAGGAAGCAAGCAAAAGTAGCCCAGGCCATGTATACAGCACAGAACAAGGGAGCAGAATATCTCATTAACAGACTAAAGAAGAAACAGAAGGAGAGGGACAATAAGTCAAGAAGTATATATGAATAAAATATAATACACATAGTATGATAAGTAAATGATACATGACAGAATATAATACACATAGTATGATAAGTAATAAGTAATGATAAGTTATATATTAATACATAATACACAATAAGTAATAAGTAATGATACATGACAGAATATAATATATAATAAGTAATAAGTAATGATACATGACAGAATATAATAGATAATAAGTAATAAGTTATAGGGTAATAAATTATAGAACATAATACACAATAAGTATTAAGTAATAGAACATAATACACAATAAGTATTAAGTAATAGAACATAATACACAATAAGTAATAAGTTATATATAATAAACTATAGTATGATAATAGAGTGATATATAATACACATAGTGTAATAAGTTATAGTATGATAAGTATTAATTAATACACATAGAGTAATAAATTATAATAGAGTAATAGAGTAATATTTAATAATCTAATGGTAATAAGTATTAATTAATAATAATACTATCATAAGTAATATAACCCGATATAACCCTAAAATATAAAATATGCTAATTATAAGAATATTCAGTTTGATAGGCTTTTAGTTCTACGTATAGTGCAAATATGTAATTTAGTATAAATAGGACTATAACCCCTAATAATACTTTTAAATCATCAGTAACCCTAAAGAATTCTTCTCTTATTGATTCTTCCTTTTCTGGCCTCATTATTATGTTTGGATAGCTTGCATAATAAACACACTAAAACACCCCGGAAAAGCACTTAAATTAAAAATGGAAGGGAAAAGGACTCAAAGCATGATCACACTGCAGGGAATCTCTAACACTGCAAAAGTACAAGAAGAAGACCAAATCTATTTTGAAATATATTCAGAAAACGGGTTAGTAAGAAGTATTTCTTCCCCTGTGCTTATTACACCCACAGAAAGACCACACGAAAGAATCCCACAGAATGAACCAATTAAACCAGATACTCCTGAATTATTCATAAGAACAAGGATTATCTACATAATAAGCCATAACAAGAATTCTCATTTATATCTGGGCGTAGACACACTTACACATAAAAAACTAGCCATTAAAATAATTAGTACTAGATCGTATGAGAATAAAGTACAGGCAAGGAATGAGACAAGGATACTTCCCATTCTGAACCATAAGAATATTATAAAGTATCTTGGGAATAGGGAATTCTTAAGCGTAGTAATAATATACTTAGAATATTTTAAAAGTGTGGATTTATTCTGTTTAATAAAAAGGAACGGGATACTTCCTGTACCACTTGCACTGAAGATATTTAAAAGTCTTGTAGATACGGTTAAGTATATGCACTCGTGCCGGGTTTGTCATTTAGACATAAAACCAGAGAATATTTTAATTAACGGCCGGTTAGATATAAAAATAATAGATTTCGGGTTATCACAGAAAGCATTGAAAAATGGACTAATTGAAGCGTACGGTGGATCAATAAATTATGCATCACCAGAGGCCGTTAGAGGGGGTGTATACAATGGATTCCTTTCTGATTCATGGTCGTGTGGGGTTGTTTTATTTATTATGGTAAATGGATATTTTCCTATTTCAAGAAGAACCCCTTCATTACCACACGTCCCCATCAAAATAATTTCAATTATTGAACAACTACTTGCTGTTTCCCCTGAAGAGAGAGTACCAATCTGCTCATTGAATTTATAATAAATATGAAATACGGTTAGGGGAATTATGAAAACAGAGAGTAAAGAGAACAGCAAAGAGAACAGTAAAGAGAGTACAGAATTCTCTCAGTTCTTATGTAAAGTACGCAGTATAAATGAGAATATAGAAGAAGCCGGGAGGGTGTACATGGAATATACTACATCTAATGATTATTTAATAAGCACAGGGGCAGAGTATACAGAACTAGTAGAAGCACAGACTAAAATCACAGAAAAGTTCAATTCTGAAGTATTTATGATAACACAAGAAATAGAGCATTTACTAGAAAATTCAAAACATTCACTCACAGACCAGAAGCAGCAGCATATTGAAGGACTCACAGAAAGAACCAACAGAATAATAAAAGCATTTTCAGCCGAGAAATTAAAAAGGCTCAACAAAGAGCATGAAAGACTAAAAAATCAATATTTAATAAGCCATCCCACAATGAATAATGAAGAATTAGAAGAAGTCACAAATACGCAAGGAAATGGACTAATTAAATTCCCAAATAATCCTGGGATAGAAGAATCCCTACAGAAAAACAAAGCCATCACAAGGTTATTAAATGACATAAAAGAACTGGATATTCTATCAAAGCAATTACAAACAATTCTTATAATAACTGGCAGTAAATTAAAAAGTATTAATAGTAATACTTATATATCCATTAAGAACACGGAAGGCACTAATAGAATTATTGAAAGAATGATAAGCAAAAAAAAAGAAATAGAAAATATAAAATAATCAGTATATTACTTCTGTTGATTCTTGGACTATTTATAGTTGGGTACGTATTAAAGTTATTCAAGTTATTCAAGTAATACGGAATAAATGGAAATTCGGGTTATTCGGGTTATACATACGGATTAAGGTATCTGCATGGTTATACAGATACGATAAAAGCACCACGGGAGTAACACTAAATATTACAGATACGGTGTAACAGATACCACAAGACTAAATGACATCTGAAATTATGGTTATATAGAAGTATACCATAATTTCAGGGTGAATGAAGCTATATAATAGCTATACGATTTAAATAAATACGGGTTATATCTATAACAGAATAATATATTTAAAGAAATAGTGCATGGATAAACCTTATTAAATTCCTAGTGTATATAGACAACTACAGTACAAATTCAAATATTATAGAAGTAGTATTTAATGTACCAAGTACGTATAACCCGAATTTCAAGGCAGGAAAGTTCTTAAGTACACTGCAGTCCCATGTACAGTCGTATATACGAGTATACTAACACAAAAGATAGTATATTAAGTTTATAACGGCTGTGTACACTCTCTTGAATGATCAGATAAAGAATGAAAAGTCAACAGCAGAGAATATAAAAAGAAGTAAAGTATATGGCATAATGTATGATAAATGCTTTATAGAAGAAGATATTCTTTCATATGTGACTAATCATACAGGCATTACCTCTAATCTTATTAAGACAATAAACACGCCCAGTGCATGTCCCTTCATTAATAAAGGGACAGAGATACTGTCATATGCACAAGTAAAGCATACGGTATGATGATAAACCATGGCTGATGAAGACGGAGAATACTCTAACTGTGTGAAATCGGGTATAATAAGCCTATTGAACTGTTTAGTGTATAATACAAGCCATTTACTAAATAGAAGGAAACTGTGCCACTGAAGAATTCTTTATAAAGCACTCTGTGCTAACAGAAACAACTACTCAAGGAATAAGATAAAAACAGACGTATTGGTCTATTATAGTACTAGACATATTTAAAGTACAATAGTATCATATAAATAATGAATATACAGTAATAATATACAGTAATAATATATTATTAAATTATACAGTTATTTATCCTAGTAATATAAATTAATCCCATTCAAATTATTATTATTCTTGTCTTATATAATAACTTTATACAACTTCCCATTAATGACCGTAAATTTCTTATGTTCAGTATATTATTGTATATAAGCTTATTATAAATAATTTATAAAAGAGTATTTATTTCTAAAGTATGCTTAATAATATGCCTTAATAATTATACTTGGTGACACCATCACTCAAGCAGGCATAAGACTGATCCACTAATGCACTAACATGCATAATGATCCTGTCAAGATATAACAACCATAGAACAACTTCAGACTATATAAGTAGCACACACCCACACAGAGAATGGGAGGACTAATGGGAAACAATTCGACACATGGCTCATCACTAATAGTACCACAAGGACTCAGTGTCTGCGTATATCCAGACGCTCTAATACCCCGAATAAAGAGCATAAGGTCGATGACAGTGCCTCCTCATGATCACATAATACTATTTCGGGTTGTTTGGTATAACTATTAAATAGGGATATTATTGCTTGGTAGTTCTCTTCAAATTCATATGCATCTGTACCATCGTATAATTTTGGCTTATTGTCCTCTAAGAACGTTATAAACTTAGTTATATTTTTATTGGATAATTTATATCCTAAAATATCTTTAATTTTATGTGAAAGAAGGTGTCTGTGTATACGGGAGTATATAAGTGTAATATCCATTATGCAGAAGGGGTAATGAGAGTTAATTATATTAAAAACCCAGCACATATAAATAGCAGTAAGGTTATTGTTAACAGGAGAGGGCACTGCATTCATTAATTCTTTATGAATATTATTTAAAACAGACTGTTTGTACGAGCATAGTTTTTCTGGCTGTATTATATCCATAGCAGTTGATTCATTATCACGTGATTCTGTCTTATTCTTAGATATTGGGTGTACTGGACTAGAAACATCACTGTTTATTTTGTTTAGTATACTAATAATAACGGATAAATCTGAGAATAAATAAGGGATTTCTTTATCTTTCTTATACACCTGTAATAGAGATATATATGAATTAAATAAAGAAGTGGGATCTATTACCTCTATATCAGACAGTGTTGCTATTAGTGAGGATAGTCCATTTGAAGAGATTTCTGTTCTAGGCATAGTATACACATCATATTTCTTAAGCTGTGGATAGTATATTTTATAGTTATTAGTGTATACACAGGCAGATAGAATACATTGTCTTGTTTTTAAGTCATCCATAGGAACATTCCTTATAAGATTAGAAGTGAACCGTACCATGGGATTATTAATTTTAAGGGTTTCTCTATTATTGTGTATTAAGAACATTTTTATAAGCTGTGACTTGTGCTCTAAATCATCTAAACTTCCCCATAGCATTAGTCTGTTTGGATCATCGCATTTTCTATTCACTATTTCTCTTTTATTCGTCTCATATGCGTTTTTTATAATAAAAGTCTTCTTTTCTTCATAACTCTCTCCAGGATCAGTTATTATATATCTCTTGCTAGTGTACTGTTTTATAATCATTTGTGGGTATGTCTTTGGATCCATATAAATATTATAATTAGGGTTTGGTTCATCTAAAAATGCACTTAGTTTTTTGTAGTAAGATTTAACTTGGAAGGCACCATAGAATGGTATGTTTTCATCCTCTACCACCTCCACTAAAGGATTGTTATAACTTTTCGATATAGTGAATTTAATTCCATACTGGTTTAAACCATCAAATGTGTATAGAATAATAAATTGTATATCCATATCGATAACAGACTTTCCATGTTTAGTTATTTTTACAGGATTAAGAGAAAGGCATGACGTGTCTATGCTTTTGTTTCTGGAGAGAGAAATAAATATGTCTTCTAAATATAATTTTATGTCTCTTTTTGCCTCTTTTTTATCTTGTTTATACTTATTCTGGAACTGATTATTTATGTAACTAATTGTTCTTTTTATTTTATGCCCTTTTCCTACTAAGTCATACATCGTATATAACATGTGTAATAATCCAGTATTAACGGTTAAACCACCTTTAGAAAAACCATGCTCTGGTCTAGGAAGTCCACATATAACTCTCTCCCAATCAGATCGCATAGTACTGCCTATGCTACTTACTTTGTGGGTATACTTAGAAAAGAACTCTTTTAGCTCTTTAGATGCATTTGGTATATGATCTATATTATATTCTTTAGTTTCTCGGTCAAAGGCAAAGCATAGGAACAGAGCAAGAAGAATACACTTCTGACAATTTTTAAAACAGCATTCGTCTTTATAAGATAAAGCGTATTGACGGTCCTTATTAATATAAGCTGGCCCATCTATGTAACTTGGTCTATAAATAACATTCACAAAGGGTGTATTTTTAAGCGCATCACTTACTCTTTTAAACTTAGAGAAGTCTGTGAGATTACACGCCGTATATTCTATTTCTAGTAATTGCTGCCCAATAGTTGTTTCAAATACCTCATTAAATGAACGCAGGCTTTTAATATATTCTCTGTTGCCACCCATAAACAACTGATTAAATACAACCAGTGCGTGCCTATCTGCATCTGTAATTGGGTTATCACAATTAGTAGGTATGTATTCATTAAGTATGTCATGCACTGCTGTTGCAAACATATTATACGTATTCGCATCGTCTATATACTCAAAGACGTACGACTGTATAAGAAATTTCGGGTTATACAGGAATTTCCCTGTTAAGAACTCTTCATACGTACTGGGCATTGAGAACTCTTCTGGTACTTTCAGAGTATCTTCTGGATCACTAAGTCTTTTAAAGAAGGCCAGTATACCTTCTACTGTATTACAATATACTGGGATTGCACTACTATTTATGATTAGACTCAAATTAACAAAGAATTCATTTTCTTCTCCTTTCTTCTTTAAAATAATTATTTTATTCCGAGCGTGCTCTTTATCACTTATTATTTCAATGGGGATGTTCACTCCCTCAGAAAGAAGAAATAAAGAAGCCAATAAATTCAAGCCGTCTGAATTGCCAGTATTCATCCTTAGAAACCAAGTGAATGTGCCAGTGGATGGAGAGTCAATAGAATAAGCCCCGTGCACTGATGGAAACATATTTATCAGTTTATCTCCAAACACATTCAAGTATTTGTTCTTTTCTTTATCCTCATCTATTATGCTATACACTTTCCATGCCATTAAATCATTATGATTCCGTCTGGATCCACTATCTTTACTCTTTTCTCTATATATTCCATGCCAGTACATACGAAAGTTCTCCATAAACCTATTTTTATGGACCATATGCTGAAGAGTTGGTGAAAGTCCTCCAGTTGGGCGTAATAAAAACCAATTTCTTATCTCCATGGTCTCTGCTAATTCTGCATCTTTCTCAGACAGTTTAGCACATACGCTGTATATTACTGTTTTTATTACTAATAGTATAATTATAGTATTCTTTAATCTATTTCTTATTATAATATTGTTCTTCTTAAGTATATTCTGTCTCTCTTTCATATCTAAATTATTTTTATTTCTAATTTTTACTTTTATTTATAATTTTTATTAGCAGAATAAAATATAAAAAATATAAAAAATAGACTAATTATTAAGTAATAGACTAATTATTAAGGAATAGACTAATTATTAAGGAATAGACTAATTAGTAAGTAATAGACTAATTATTAAGTAATAGACTAATTATTAAGGAATAGACTAATTAGTAAGTAATAGACTAATTATTAAGGAATAGACTAATTAGTAAGTAATAGACTAATTAGTAAGTAATAGACTAATTATATATGTTGGTTTTGATAGTTAGATATATAATAGTAATGGTTAAGTATGATATTAATATATGAATATACATCATTTGTGATAGGAATAGGTGTGTTACTAACATAAATGATTGGAATTAAACCTATTTAATAGTTTCGGGTATTCAATAAATAACCCGAATTTTCGTATGTCTAAGTCTTTAAGTAATAGACTAATTATATATTTAATGATGTACATCATGTATACTATTAATAGTACATTAATCATTAGATACATAAATACAGTATAAATTAATCGTACAGTATATGCATACGTATACAATAATAAAGTATCTTAATGAGTCATCTGATAAATCAACGTACAATAAGAATAACTAGACTAACTTATCATTAACTGCACTTATCATTAACTGCACTTATCATTATATGATCTAAAACTGTCTGTGTGACTGATTCAGTTGAGTATATTATAAGTACTAGATATAATTAGAGTATTATTATATGGTTTATGTAATAGATACTGAACAGTTAATTATAGAATATAATCAAAATATTCCTTCATATGGCAGTTATATCCATTTACTTATATCTTTAATTATAACTGTCTTATTCATTCTTTGTTTAAGGAGTATACGGCCATGCTTTACTCCATTTAAATTATCTTCATTATTTGTATGCTTATTCTGTATATAAGTAATACGTGCTGTGTGTAGTGGTCCTGTAGTATTATATGCTTATGATGTATCACTGGTTCTATATTTATCATTATATCTTGACAGGATCATTATTCATGTTAGTGCATTAGTGGATCAGTCTTATGCCTGCTTGAGTGGTTGTATCTACACAGTATAATTATTAAGGCATATTATGTAATAAGTAAAATTAAGTACACATGGTATAATAAATAATAATAATATAATACACAATGTGTAATAAGTAATAATAAATAATACACATATTCATATTTTACATTATTAACTAATTACAGCTAAACTAAATACACATTATGTAATAAGTAAAATTAAGTACACATGGTATAATAAATAATAATAATATAATACACATTATGTAATAAGTAATAATAAGTAATAATAATATAATATACATTATGTAATAAATTGTAAACACTTTTATTTAAAATAACAGAAATAAATACACAATATGTAATATGTAATAATATAATACACAATATGTAATAAAAATTAATTTAAATTAATTTAATAATTTATTATGCACTGTGTATAAACTTAACCAAAACTTATTACACACTTACTAACAAATAACAATTATACCACAGTACATAATAAGTATACAACAATTATACCATAGTACATAATAAGTATACAATACATAGTATAAGAATGATTTATTAAACATTATTTATACCTTACATAATATAATACACATTATGTAATAAGTATACACTAATTATACCACATTATGTAATATATCCCGTCATTACTGTATATCTTATACAATATCAAATTGTACCCGGTTAGCTCAGTCGGTAGAGCATCAGACTCTTAATCTGAGGGCCGCGGGTTCGAGTCCCGTACTGGGTGTTTTTTATCTAAATATCTTTTTTTTATTTTTTTATGGAGGAGCATAGAGCAGAGGAGTACTCTCTTGAATTACTCTCTGATAATGACACAAAAAAGGTCTATTTTATAGGTGACGTCTGTACAATAGGAACAAGTAACAAATCAGACGTGAAAGTCTCACACACAGAGACATTAGAATGTGTAATAAATTATAAGCAGGACTCATTAAGGGTCATAACAGGAAAAATAAAAATGAACGGGGAGGTAATCACAGAACAAGTAAGGATCCATTACCCCTGCATAATAGAAGCAGCCAATAAGTTATTTAGGATAACAAAAACAGTAAAAGACCAAAAACCCGACTTAACCCGATTTTCAAAACCAGAAAATAATTCAGAAAATAATTCAGACGAGTACAGCGACAACACAACAGAATATAATACACATACCATAAAAAATAATGATTCAATATTAAGTGATGCGGATATAAACGAGTGTCAGTTATACACAAAAGAAGCAATGGAAACAATTTCAAACTTCTGGGGTGACATAGAATTTGACTCAAACGACTTATACTCAGACAAAGAATTAGAGCCAGAAATGTACTCAGACACAGAACAAGCAGAAGAAGAGGCAGAAGGAGTACAAGTAGAAGAAGGAGCAGAAGGAGTACAAGTAGAAGAAGAGGCAGAAGGAGTACAAGTAGAAGGAGCAGAAGGAGTACAAGTAGAAGAAGAGGCAGAAGGAGTACAAGTAGAAGGAGTACAAGTAGAAGGAGTACAAGTAGAAGGAGCAGGTGAGGAAGCGAACGAGTCAGTTAATGAGTCAGTTAATGAGTCAGTAGGAGTGCATGAGTCAGTTAATGAGGTAGAAGGAGTACAAGTAGATGATATAATGAACGGGATAGAAGGAGCAGATGAGGCAGGTGAGGTAGAAGGAGTGCAAGAGGAAGAAGCGAACCAGTCACTGAATGAGTCACTAAATGAGTCACTGAATGAGTCACTGAACCAGTTAGTTAATGAGTCACTGAACGAGTCACTGAATGAGTCACTAAATGAGTCAGTTAATATAATAATGAATGAGTCAGTAGGAGTACATGAGGTAGAAGGAGTGCATGAGTCACTGACTAAGCCAGTAAATGACTTATTTAATGAGTCAGTGAATGAGTCTATTAATATGACAAACGAATCAATTAATATAAACCAGTACATCAATGCAACTAAGACAGCGAACGAGTCAGTCAAACAGACAGCGAACGAGCCTATTAATATGAGCGAGTCAGTCAATGAACCAGCGATCGTGAGCGAGTCAGTGGATGAATTACCCATCGAGTCAGTCAATGAACCAGCGATCGTGAGCGAGTCAGTGGATGAGTCAGTCAATGAGCCTATTAGTGCGACTGAACCAGCGATCGTGACTGAGTCAGTCAATGAACCAGCGATCGTGACTGAGTCAGTCAATGAGCCTATTAGTGCGACTGAATTCCCGATCGTGACTGAGTCAGTGGATGAGCCTATTAGTGCGACTGAACCAGCGATCGTGACTGAGTCAGTCAATGAGCCTATTAGTGCGACTGAATTCCCGATCGTGACTGAGTCAGTGACTGAATTACCGACTGAACCAGTTACTATTAATGAGCCTATTAATACGACCGAGTCAGTGACTGAGCCTATTAATATTAATAATACAGAATATATTACACATTGTGTAAATAATAATAGTATAGAGAATATTAACCATAAACCACCAAAAAAAGAGGTATTTCCTTCTGTTGCAAATACACCACGTAAATCAATCCGTAGAGCATCAATTTCCCACCAAATCCACCAACAAAATGAACAAATCCTGAAAGAAACCTAAAAAAACTAAAAAAACTAAAAAAAAAGTAAAGAAAGAATTTCTAAAAAATTAAAAAATTAAAAAATTAAAATTAAAAAATAAAACTAATTTTATTTTATTTTTTAAATGCAGAATTTACTTACTACACATTCACTCCTATTTCCTGCACTGCTCTCATACAGGATAGTAAATGCAGCACTAATTAAGACACACTATGAACCAGATGAATATTTCCAGTCAGTAGAAGTAGCCATGAACACAATCCTTAATAAGACAACTTTCACATGGGAATGGTTCTTCGGTATACGGTCCTTCGTATTCGTATGCCTGTACATTTTGCCACTTTTAGTATTGCGATGGGTTACCAAAATACTCTCGTCCTGTATTAATGCGTACACTAATATAACCGTATCACACGAATTATTATTCATGAAGTACTCCCCGTATATAATTAAACTAATTGGTGCCACTGTATCTGCTGTATCTGACTATAGTACTATTATATCGTATAAGTTATTACACAATGTGTCATATATTCCGTACGAAGTACTAATCACAACTGTGCTTAATATTGGCTTGTGGCTGTACAGCACACGGTCCCATATAAATTCAGTTGAGAGTGCCCTCACAATATATATTACACATAGGTTATTAAGTATTAGTAAGTGCAAGGATAAGACCACTAAAATTATCTCTCATTTACTTACTGTGCTATTATCCATAATTACTGTATATATTAGACCTACTTCTATTATTAATATTGGCTGTATATGGATATATTCAGTGTATAAGGAAGTCCTTTCATTTGACAGGGCATGGCGTGTCAAGGAGAAGAAAGTTGAAAATATTTTTAATTTTTTAAAGTATGCGAATTTATATATTACACATAGTAGGATAATTAGTGTCACTAATATTATATCGTGTATTATGGGTGTATTACTGTGCGTACTGATTGATTCATTATTTTATAAGGAATTAGTCTGCAGTGTATACGAATTTTATAGGGTTAATATTATGTATAAGGTATCTCACGTATTTGGCACTTTACCGTTTATTTATGCGATTTTATTTTTATTTGTTTTGCTGGGCGGGTATACGGGCATGTTATTTATTACGCTATGTAGCAGAAGTATTACGTACTTATCGATTGAGGTGATTAGTCCATTACTGTACTTAATTGTGCACGGGGTGATTGCCCATAAAGAGATGCGGTTTTTATTGCCTATGCTGCCGTATATTAACATAATTATTGCGAGGGAATTGAAGAATTTATGGTGCAGTGATAAAAAAATAACTGAAAGTTTTAAAAATCAAAATTTTAGTATTACCCAAAAGGGAAGTATTTTAATTAAAAAACTGTTATTTTCAAAATACGTTTTCATAGGAAATTTAATAATCGGGATAGTAATCGGATTAGACCATCAAAACATATCAAAACCAATAGATTACCTTAGGAATGAATGTTTCCAAAGACTCTCCTCCAAGGATTCACCGATCTTCATACTTAACACGTTCACCCCGTACATGCTCCCACTGTCCACGTACTTGGGCCATAAAAGGGTCATCACACGGTCGCTGGACAATAACCCGAATATTTTAGGGGTGATCGGGCACCTCAACAGGAAGCAGAGGTTCAAGGACACTTTGTATACGCTCAGGATCGAGGAGTATAATACGGCCGAGTCTAAAATGATCGATAATATAATGCTATTTGAACCACTTGATTACCACTACATTATAATAAATAGCAAGTATTCAACGGAATTAGAGGGGAAACTGCCTGAATTCGTAAAAGTACATGAATCGGTGCATAAAAGGGTACCAGCGAAAGAGAGCATAAGCATATATAAGCAGGCATTTAAATAAACCAATAATTAATGTGTAATATGTAAAAAGTAATGTGTAATGTGTAAAAAGTAATGAAAATATTTTATGTAAAGTTTATAAATTATATATTATGTAATGCAGTATAAGTAATGCATAGTGCATAAGTGATGTATAATGTGTAATAAGTAATGAACAGTGTGTAAAAAATAATGAACAATGTGTAATAAGTTATATATAATGTGTAACAAGTTATATATAATGTATTATTTATTGTATAATGTGTAATAAGTAATGAACAGTGTGTAATAAGTAATGAACAATGTGTAATAAGTTATATATATTGTATTATTTATTATATAATGTGTAATAAGTAATGAACAGTGTGTAATAAGTTATATATATTGTATTATTTATTGTATATTGTGTAATAAGTGATGTATATTGTGTAATAAGTTGTATATAACACACAATTTATTGTATAATGTGTAATAAGTGGTATATAATGTATTATTTATTATATATTGTGTAATAAGTTGTATATAACACACAATTTATTGTATAATGTGTAATAAGTGGTATATAATGTATTATTTATTATATATTGTGTAATAAGTTGTATATAACACACAATTTATTGTATAATGTGTAATAAGTGATAATTTTATTTTATATAAAGTTTATAAATTATTTATTATATATTGTGTAATAAATAGTGATAGGTACTCTTATATACTGTTATTAGTATAATAGTACATAAGGACAGTATAAATTCGGGTTATATCGGGTTATAAATACGTATACAAATTTAATAATAAAGTATCTTACTGGCTGCTTATAAGCATACGAAACCTATTCTTTAACACAGTCCTTATATAACCACCATTTCCAATCATAAAAGCTGTCACTCCCGTATTTTTACACTCAAACCACCATCATTTTGTTTGACAGTCTGTATCACACTGTATAAAACCAGCACAAATAGTGCTTTTATTAAGGAATCAGGGACAAGGAGTCATTACCAGAAGGGTCAAAATATATTACACAAAGTATAAATAGTAATAAGAATAAAATTTTATAATGAAAAGATTTATTTATATTTTTACTATTTTAATAATATTAAATTTAATTAACGCAAAAATTTTTACTAATCAATCAAGTAACTACAGCAATAAACAAGACAACAGTAATAGCTCACAGACTAATTATAGTACTACAAAGACTGAATATAATAGTCCAGAGACTAACTGTACTCCACAGACCACCACTGCACAGACTACCACTAATAGTACTCCACAGACTACCACTGCACAGACTAACTGTACTCCACAGACTAATAGTAGCCTAAGCAGTACTACACAGACTAACTATAACAAATCAAGCAGTACTCCACAGAATAATAGTAGTCTAAGCAGTACACAAGCCAACTGTAGACCAAGCAGTACACAGACTAACTGTAACAGTAACAGATTAAGTAATTCACAGACTAACTGTAACAGGTCTAACAGTAACTGTAATAAATCAAGTAACTGCTGTAAGCCAAGCAGTACACAAGCAAACTGTAATAAATTAAGTAATTCACAGACTAACAGTAACAGATCTAATAGTAGTATGACTAACTGTAACAGGTCTAACAGTAATAGATCTAACAATAGTACACAAGCCAACTGTAATAGATCAAGTAACTGCTGTAAGCCAAGTGGTGGCTGCTGTGGTCCACAGACTAACTGCTGTAAGCCAAGTGGCGGCTGCTGTAAGCCAAAGACTAACTGCTGTGGTCCAAGTGGCTGTAAGCCAAGTGGTGGTTGTTGTAAGCCAAGTGGTGCCTGCTGTAAGCCAAGTAGTGGCTGCTGTGGTCCATGTGACTGTAAGCCAAAGACTAACTGCTGTACGCCAAGTGCTGCCTGCTGTAAGCCAAGTGCTGGCTGTTGTAAGCCAAAGACTAACTGCTGTACGCCAAGTGCTGCCTGATGTAAGCCAAAGACTAACTGCTGTGGTGGGGGTAGATGCTGCTAAGTACATAATATATAACACAATATGTTATATATCATGAATACATTGAATTATTATTTAAATAAAATTCTAGTAGAACATTTTGTATATTGTGTAATAAGTATTATTTATTGTGTATTGTGTAATAAGTGGTGTATTAATTTATTGTGTATTATGTATTAATTAATGTGTATTGTGTAATAAGTAACATGTTATTTATTATATATTGTGTAATAAATGATGTATATTGTGTGATAAGTGGTGTGTAATAAATAATAATTTATTGTGTATTGTGTAATAAATGGTGTGTAATAAATGATATATTAATTATCGTGTATTGTGTAATAAGTATTATTTATTGTATATTGTGTAATAAGTAAATTATTTATTGTATATTGTGTAATAAATGTTAATTTTATTTTATGTAAACTTTATAAATTATTTAATGTGGATTGTGTCATAAGTAATAATTTAATGTGTATTGTGTAAGAAGTGTTAATTTTATTTTATATAAACTTTATAAATTATTTATTATATATTGTGTAATAAGTAATAATTTAATGTGTATTGTGTAATAAAATATTGATAGGTGGCACATCCAGGAGCTATAAGAGGGGTAAAGGAGACACTATCAGGAGAATCAAAATATATGACATAAAGTATAAATAGTAATGCAAATAAAATTTTATAATGAAGGGATTTATTTATATTTTTACTATTTTAATAATATTAAATTTAATTAGCGTAAAGGCCAGAAGGTGTGTGCCACAGGCTGGCTGTGGAAAGGCAAGGAACTACAGAACAAATGACTGTGACAGTACAAATGACTATAACAGGACAGGTGACTGTAACAGGACAGGTAAGTGCTGTGGGGGTAGATGCTGCTAAGTACATAATATATAACACAATATGTTATATATCATGAATACATTGAATTATTATTTAAATAAAATTCTAGTAGAACATTTTGTGTATTGTGTAATAAGTATTATTTATTGTGTATTGTGTAATAAATGATGTGTAATAAGTAATATGTTATTTATTGTATATTGTGTAATAAGTGATAAGTGATATATTAATTATTATATATTGTGTAATAAGTGATAAGTGATAAGTGATAAGTAATAAGTAATATGTTATTTATTGTGTATTGTGTAATAAGTGATAAGTGATAAATGATAATTTATTGTGTATTATGTAATAAGTATTATTTATTGTGTATTGTGTAATAAGTATTATTTAATGTGTAATAAATTATGAATATTTAGTACTCTGGTATCACAGAACATACAGCAGAAATCTTTTTGGTGTCAGATACATCTGGGTGTATTATAGAATAACAAACTAATGGAACAGGTTTATCTGAATGTATGTCAGGTAAAGGACTCCTCATCCTTACTTCCTCTCCTTTATAATAGTACTTGCCGTTATAAGTTGTGATTAAATTCGATGAAAAGCACCAGGCTAGAATCTTGCCACAGGATACACCAACAGAAGCATCCGTATTATTATGGTCAAGTGAGACTATGCGCCTATCTACATCAGATACTTCAGTAATCTGTGAAGTATAACGTAAATCACCCTCACTAGTAAATATCTTATTAAAAGCCTTTATAATATGCTGAATAAGCTTGTGCCTAGTGAATGTCTGTGGAGTTGGTCTGCAGAGTGCTTCAATATACGTTGTACTATTAGGGATATAACTCGGTGTATAATGGACCCTTCTGGGGTTGTACAGTTCAATTGCCGTGATAATATTCAGCATACAATAAAAAGTGTCCTGTGATACGCCCTTGGCACGTAATAAAGCAGTACTTAAGACAGGGTCAGTGGGCAGAGAAAGAGTCTGTCTACCAATAGGGGTAAGTTCTGATTCCTTTATAATATTTAGTCTGGTAAGTAATTGTAATTCTGTATCTATCGCAGTGTCTGGTGGGGGTGTAATACACTCTACACGGGATATATTATTAGGGCGTACTCCTGCCTTTAATAGGGCAGATACCATTGGAAGGACCCTTTCCCTTTCTATTTCAGGCTCTCTGTTAATTCTCATTTTTTCGTATTCTACTGTTGTGTATATCCTATAGCATACACCTGCACTTACTCGGCCTGTTCTTCCCTTTCTCTGCTCTGCACTCTCCTTAGATATAAGTACTGTATTATAGGTGTACGTGCCTGTCGTATAACTGTACTTCTTCTGAACCTCTCTGCCACCATCTATAACATACTTTACATCTGGGAGTGTAAGAGATGTTTCAGCTACATTGGTTGCCACAATAACTACACCTTTACTGCTGAGTATAGTATGCTGGATATCCTCTGGTGTGTCACTGTGCAAAGTGAACACGGCCTTATGCTCCATGCACAGAAGGGTTTTCATCTTCTCAGTCTCATCCTTTGTTGATACAAATGCAAGGATTGACCCATCCTCTGCATCTAATGATTCTATCCTTGATCGCATCTCGTCCATATAGTGATACTCTCCCATTACAGGCATGTGATGTATCTCTACGTGATGTACTTGTGCATCTACCTGTACTTTATTTATAGTGGCACCGGATATCTTCTGTACGGCTGAAATGTACTCATCTGTTATAGAAGCACTCATCAGAACAAGTCTTAAGTCCCTCTTTACGACTAGTTTTAACAGAACCAGAAGGGCCGTGTCCTGGTGCAGAGACCTCTCATGTACCTCATCTAAAACTATCACAGAATACTCTGCCAGGAATGGATCATCAGCTAGTTCTTGTAGAAGTACTCCCTCTGTCAAAACAAGTATCTTTGTGCTCTGAGAAGTCTTTGTGTCATACCTCATCCTGTACCCACAAAGACCACCTACTTTTGTACTCTGCTCCTGAGATATTCTGCTTGCCACAGCATACGCAGATACTCTCCTGGGCTGTGTAATGCATATCTTCTTATGGTCGCATAACCCATTCTCATATAAGAATTGTGGTACTTGCGTGGACTTCCCAGTCCCTGTCCCACCCGTTATTATCGTAATGTGATTATGCTTTACAGAAGAAACAATTTCATCTTCCATGTGAGTTATTGGAAGTGTGCTCTGACCCTCTCTGGTCCTGGACTGGGCCTTGTCTGTTTTTATTAAATCGGCACATTTTTTATTTTTTACTTCTTCTGATTTTATGCACTTTTTACTCTCCCCGTCCTCTTCTTCAGCCACAAGCTTCCTCTTTTCTAATGTTCTCCAAATAATCCCATCACACAAGGCTTCTGAACTCACCGTGTTCATAAGGTCATTCACACTCATCTTATTATCCTCTGAAGAAATTGTATTCTCTTCATTGCCTTCCTTCTCTTCATTGCCTTCTTCCTTCTCTCTCTTGTCTCTACTCTCTGATTTAAGTGCGTTTTTCGTGCTTGTCTTTTTACGGCGTACTAGTAGACTCGAGGATGTAAGTGTGTCTGATTTTACTGCTTCTGACTTATTCTGTAACTCCTTTAACTGCTCCACTAGAGAATCCCTCTCCTTCTGCCGTTGCTTTTTCTCTAAATATTTTTCTAACAGCTTTTGTTTTTTCTTTCCTGTCATTCTGTGTGCAAATTTGCAGCAAAATGAAATAATTATTTCCAGAAGCCAGAAATTTCTAGAAATAGAAATTTTCCTTTCTGGTAAGTTCTATGGGCTATAAATTCTTTGTTTTCTTGTGATTTATGAAGAAAACAATAGCAGCACAACAGAACTACTTCTTACAAACAAGCAAGAGGCGTGCGCCAGAGTCATGGAGAGAAATAAACCAGAGATACGGTAAAGAAACAAAACAAGATGAACTTGCCAGGGTATCTGAGGAGACAAAATCCTCTCTACTAGGATTAAACCCAAATACTCAGATTATTAAGAAAAGTAGGCCGTTGTCAATGCAGAGTATGCTTATTTACGCTGCACTATGCCCTTCTTTCATCAAAGTAGTCTACCTAGCAGAGACGCAGATGGGGATATCTCCAGTGGAAATATACTCTAAAGACCTTCCTACACTTACAGCAGATTCTACAGTAAAGAAGATCAGGTACAGTAGTTGCAATACACAGCCTGTCCCTTTACTTGATAAATCTATGAAAGTATATCAAGGCATGTTCCAAATACCATCCAGTATGGTGCCCATTGCAGAAATGGATAAGTTGCCAAAAAAAACAAGACTAACTATGCTTACAAAATTATTAAGTATAAGTATAGCACTAAACCAACCAGTGCTTGACATAAACAGTATATTCATACAGAAAACATCTGATGATTTGCTGTACATACCCAGTAGCAATAAAAATAAAAAGAGCGCTTGTGTATCAGAGTATATGGTATGTGTACTTGGTTTATTACTTGACACATACACAATTATGGAAAGGGCTAAGATTATGCAGGCTTTAGATAAAACAAAAGAAGAAGCAGGGGATTTGCTTAAAATTGCCTCTTTGATATATGATGGAATGAAAGGGAATGAGTGGGAGAGTGCTTATATTAATGCAACCAAACACCTTTCCTCCATTATTAATACGCTTTAATAAATACACTGTAGAATAGGTATAAGTACGGATTGTTCTGTGTGGGTGGATTATTTACATTATATTTATATAATTAGAATAATTTTGGAGTGTTACAAGTGGTTTTAAGCTGTTATACAGTAATAGTTACTATATTAGTCAGAATATATTAGTAATTCATGATTATTTAATAAAATTAGTTAGGATTGGTTCTGTATAAGATACTTTATGAGTATATTTAGTATATTGTTATAGTATTTTACTTATTCTGTATTTAATAGCAGAAGGAGTTCTTTAATTTTATATTTTAAATATTTTAGTATTGTGATGGGTGACATTTATTTCATTTTTATAAATATAAATAATATTCGTATGGATTGAATTCTATGGAAATTGTAGATATAGGAATATTTCGGGTTAATTATGCACTAATTAAAGGGGCTCCTTTAGAAAATGTATATTTAACATATGGTAACATATTTTCATACGGGATAATGCATTCTAGCCTTATGAAAAGACATATATAAACAGGTATTAAAATATATCCTGTAAGTATAATAATGTACGGTATGGCTTGTGATGTAAAAGATCCTTCATTAAACATTCTGCATATTTTGTTAAAAGCAATCTTTGGCAGCTTTATGAAATCAGAGAAAACCAGAACATCACTATCTACCCTTACTATAGTGAATGCTGCTATGAAATAGAGTACTCCTAATGTTTCGGGTGCTTTGGTGTATAAAAGGGCCATTAGTATGTCCTTATCGCCAAAAAGTACTGTAGCAGTAACTATAGCTAGTAATAGTAGGAAAATAGAAAAAAATACATTTCTGATTATTTTTCTTGTTTTCTGTGCAGCAATGGTTCTGGTGAAAAACAGTTTTTGGTTGAAAAGGCATAATGATAGTCCAATCATAGATATTGCCATTAATACACCGTATATTATTCTGCACTCATGGATATACTTGAATTCATTTGAAACTTCTGTAAATAATGGTACTAGATTCACAAAACAATCTAATATAATGCTGATTATTATACTGTTAAAAAAATACATTACACATCTAGAGCCATTGTATAAATCTTGTTTGACTTGCTTTAAAAGCCCTAGAATAGTAAAACATATGGCCATGTAAAATCCAGAGTATAATTTAAATCCAGATACCCAAATTATATAATTATATATTATTGCAGTTATAGTGATATCCTCATTTAACAAAATATCATCACTAGAAAGACCTTTTAGCCTACTCTTTTCAATTAAAGCCATTGAATCTTCTTTGGTTATTTTTGTGTTATTGTTATAATCTAATAAGTCCTTTCCATTATTTTGCAGAATGTATATGTTAGGGTTATTCACAAGTAATTTTTCAAATTTTTTAATATACTTCTGGTTATTCTGGCTTACATCAATATATAACTCTTTGCAATTTATAAGTGCATGTATAGAATTTACTGGTATAATATAATGAAACTTACCTTCTTGAACATTAGCATCACTTATTTCAATGTCTAATATTTCATCTGGGAATGTAGCCAGGCTGTCTGGTATTTGTAATTTCAGTGCATCGGTTCTAAACTCAGATGTTTTAGATCCATTAGCAACTATTTTTATATCTAGATTATATTTAATGCACAGCCTAACTATTGGATGAAGATATGACATAAATTCTGTATTGTAATAGAAAGAAGGTATCATACTTTCAGCATCCAATATATTATCTATCAGCATATTTGAGTACTTATAGCATATATGCCTCCTTGAATATTCATATAGTGGCCTGTTTAGTACACTATTAACTATAATGGTTATTTTATCTGTTTCCATACTATCATCATTGTGATTAAATATCTTATTAGCTAACTCAAAGTTACCCGAATCTAATATTTTATCAATGATTTTTCCTAAATTCATCAGTACAATATCCATATTTCTTTTGTTATACTTTCTGGTTATAACATCTGTGTTTAACACTAAATGAAAGAAAACGGTTTTGTATAAATTCTTAGAATCTTCAATATTATAATTGCCATTATAATCCTCATTCTGTAGATCTAATATATCTGTGTTTTTTATGGCATTGTAATAGTCTAGCATAGATAATAAATCTAGTATATCCTCTAATAAATTATAGTTAATATTCTGTGTATCATCCGTACAATCCAAAATATCTCCGGTTCGAATGGGATTTGAAAGACTAGCGTCAAATACACGTTTATATTTAAACCTTTTAATTTCATGCATTATGCTATTTTTTTTTGGGTTATATAATCCATATCCTTTCCTTTATTATTTGAATATTTAAATAATGCAGAAATTCTAAATATATTATTAACTTCATTTGCTTCTAATATTTTGTAATAATCTGGATCATTCTGCTTAATTAATTCAATGTCCAAATCAGACATATATTCTCTAAATTGCATTAAATCACTGTGTAAATGGTCGACTTCTACGTTTTCAAAGTCTTCTATAACTTCTACGTTTTTAAAGTCTTCTATAACTTCCATGTTCTCTGCGGCAAACACGGTTCTTGTTAATAATACTATTATAATCATTATTCTTGTCAGTATTTTCATCTTTTTGTATCTCATCATTATTTCTATAATTTCTAGTTCGTGCAAATTAAATTTTTTTACTTATTATACAGAAAAAAATAACTGAAAATATATGCTAAAAATATACGGACAAACTATCATCATATTAATAGAATTATTTCTGGGATGTGTGGTGTAAACGTATTTTATAGTTATATTGGATTGGAAAATATTTCATGCTGGTATAGCTGTAAATATTATATTTAGAAATAATCTGAAGTTTGGGGGTTTAATTTCTATTTCTATAACATTCATTTGATACTTAAATAATCTTAAATAAACACTGACTAGTGCTAAGTATGGGAAATAATAGTAAGATAGTTTTATTCTGCTGCCTTATCCAGCCAGTATAAGAATTCATCTCTCTGCTCTTTTGTTTCAAATCCTAAATCGTCACTTTTATCACTGACCAGGGAGATTCTGTAAGGATATTTCCCCTTTTTGACTTCTGTGGCTTTAAATGATGTAAAGTACTCATTAATATCAAACTCACCCCTTCTCTTGCTGTTGACATTTCTGTAGTACTTCATTATACCATCCTTTGAAAGAGTAAAGTGTCTTTTAGTCCATAAAAACTGAAGGAAATACCGCTTTTTGTAGAGGTCTGTTTCATAGAGAAGGTCTCCACTGTCTCTGTCTTGTGTTAAAAGAGAGTCACTGCTTGATTCTGGCTTTGTTTCATAGGCTTTGTGTTCTTGGCTGGCAGGTGCTGGGGCATTCTCTGGTATAGAGGCATCACCTTGGCCAACTGTACCTGCTGTAGTAGATTCACTTCTTGCTAGCCCATTGCCAGCTGCTGGTTGTGCAGAACTGTTTTCCATGGCATTATTTCTATTTCCAGAGGCAGCGACTGCGCCTGCTGCAGCAAGTGGGACAGCAGCGCCTGCTGCTCCTATGGCCATTGCTTCTGTACGAGTGATTGGGGCTGTTTTCTCGGTTACTGTTCTTTCAGTAGTCTCGTGAGTCGATGTCCTTTCATTTTCAGAGACAGATGTTTCGTTTCTTACACTAGTCTCTCTGCTTACTGTAGAATTGCCAGAAGCAGTGCTTCCATAAACATCTCTGGTGCCAGCTGAACTGCCATTTGCCGCAGTAGATGCTGCTGCCGCTGTTGCTATGCCAGCTCCAAGCGATTTATCTGAACTTTCCTTTTCTGGATTAGTCTTTGCTGCAGCACCTTCTGTTTTACTGTGCTCTGCGCTTTCACTTAATGTGTGTGGTTTGCCACTCTCTGACGGATTGGTGGCGTGATGCGTAGCATTTCCGCTTAAGCCACTAGAGGTTCCTATGCTTAAAGCATCAGACTCTCCTGGCTTGGCATTCTGCTCTGATTTATTACTGCTTTCCTTTTGCCCATCAGACGATCCCTCTGCTTTCTTCGACTCTTCTGATTTTTTCATACTCTCTTCAGTCTTGACTTTCTTACTGGTGTGTGAGTGCTCTACTACAGAGGTGTCTTCCTCATCTGGTGAATCGTGTGACTTGTGCTTTTTCTCTACTTTACCGGAGTTTGTATCTACAATGATTGGCTTGCTCTGCTTCCCCTGTAAATCACTGTGCTTCTTTGATTTTATGTGATCGGCTATCCCAGATCCTACCCCACCTGCAACATTAAATGACTCTATTGGCTTGCTAATCTTTCCAGAATTAATGTCTTTGTCCCCTACTTTATTCTCTAATCCCCCCTTCAGTGCAGATGTATGTATTGAGCTCACTGGCTTGGACTCTTTGTTTATCAGGCCTATAGACTTATTCTCATCTGTTTTTTTGGTGTCTTTCGTTGGATCTATTGTTTGCTTTGAGCTGCCAGATATACTTAGCCCACCCTTTACACCAGTGCTTTCTCTGTGTACCTCTACGTCCTGTGAAGAAATTAGCTTTTCCTTCAATGACTTGCCAGTTTTTGGCTTTTCTGCTATGGTGTTTATTACATCATCTTTGCTAGGCCGGTTTATTACATCGTTTGCTTTTTTTTCTATTTCTTTTTTTTCTTCTTTTTCTGCAGTGCCCTGCGTCGTTTCGCCTGTTTCTTTTTCTTTATCTTTGTTTTTATTGCTTTGTTCAGAATGCTGTGCTACTTCTGAAATTTTGTCCATAATACCCATTTCCCCGTAAATACACTATAATTTATTTATAGGCCAAACAATGTCATTGGTCAGTTATAAATCTGTGTTAATTGGGCAAGTTTTCATACATAGATATATAATTAGACCAATCCAATGTAAACATTTAAAACAGGCTTAAAGCAAGATAATACAAATGAAATATTTGTAGAGAAACATATTTTATTGTTTCTTTCTAAGATAGCTCATTGGAATCTTAAAAATAACCGTACGTGCGGAAAAGGGCTCGTTATATGTGATGTACTCATATGATATATGTCCTTTATTAGGATATCCATCTTCTGAATATGGCGCAGACTTTAATTTCTTCCCCGTGTATACTAGACTACTCAGCAATCTAGAGTCTTGGTAGTATACATCATTAAATCCATCGAGATTCCCTATTTCTCTTTCTGGCATACAGATAAATAGAAACTCAGTTTTTATCTATATCTTGCTTCAATAACAAACAAACACCACACGCCGCACAATGCATATCGACTGTTCATTTTAAGTGTTTACTCCAAATATATAACACCCGAAATTACATTATAAATCTTGGTATTTTGAATAGACAGATCTATGCTTCTATTATCATACATATAAACCCGCAAAAAACGTCCATTCAATGCTGCAAAGAATAAATATATAAATATTTGCAGTATACCTAATTTAACCGTTAAAATCTAAAATACTTGATGTGCATCAACCAGCACACAAGAACAATCAAACCCTATATAAAAGCAGCAATCTATATGTGGTGATAAATTTCGGGTTATATAATACATTCTGTATATACACAGTAAACTTCAGCACTTTATACACGACATATCCCGGATACGCCAGTATTATTTATATAACCTAAAAATTCAATCCGAAACTTCTACCAATAATTATTTATATAATTGACCTATCTGTCCTCCCATACGTTATGTCTAGAGAGAAGAGTATCTATAACTTTTCCTGCCAATGTTCTTCTAATGGGCTTCTTTGTTCCTGAAATTGTAATTACTTCATCGTTTGCGGTCAAACTCAAAAAGAATGATATTGGAATAGCCCACACAATTATGAAGAAGTAGAAGAAAATCTCAAACAGCCCACATCTGTTCTTAAGCATAGAGCTAAGGAAGAACATGTGGTTGATAAAGGCAAATACAACTGCCGTGATAAAACCAGCACCAGCTGTCTCAATATTAGGATAGTCATCTAATAAGTTATAGAATAGCAGCTGGCACACACAAGAAAATCCTATAAGCCACAGTGAGAATCCTCTAAATAGCAAAATAAAATGCATCCCCCAGACTGAGTAAATTAATAATCGGATCCTCTCTTTTGCTCTAACGGGATATTCCTCTATGAAATGAATAGACTTATATAAAAAGGCAATAAATCCAATAGATAATGCAACTATAGCAATCCCAATCAAGAATGTGTTGAGTAAAAGGATAAGAAACATAAAAAATAAAAAAAATAATAATAAATAAGACGGCAGAATAAATAAAGAGGACTAAAAGGCCCAAAGATTATTATAAGAAATTTCAGAGAAATTCAGGTTAGAATAAAATATATTTTATGAAAATACAAAAATAACCTAAATTTTAAAGGTATTTCTGATTATTTAGCATATATTCACTTGGCATAAAATATAGAAATTCTGGTTTCTAGTTTATATGTGGAATTCCAGTGAGTATAGCATACTCCAGAAATCCAATTGTATTTTGCCTCCTTTGCACATTATTCAAATTGGTTTATACCGCTATAGATTTTATTATACCGATTAAAAGAGTCTGAATGTCTTTCTGGGTGCATAAAGATTATAATAACCCGAACTAGTTTGTGGTATTTTCGGGTATTTTCTGGTATTTTCAGATTATATTTTCAGTTATAGGAATGCTAAAGCATATAGCCACCCCATTAAATAAGGACTTTCTTACTTGCACTCTATTTTCTTTGGTATGTGCAATGCTGAGTATATTCCTTATATTATCAGAATATTAGAATATTCTATATTTAGAGCAATTCCTTTGTTTGTTTTCAATTTGAATATTAAAGTGTCATATTTGATTGCTGAAGTAAATTAAAACTCTTCAGCTTTTCTATCTCATGCGAAGACTTTTATTTATAATCTTAAAACACCCGAAAAGACTTTGCATTATACTACTTAGTTTGGCTTTAAAATTTTAATAGTTTACTTCTTTATATATAAACACAATTTTATTTTTATTATATTCTGCTCATGACTTCTTTACTAAATTCTTTACTTCCACCTGGCATTTTTCTAAGTATTTTTATGAGCGCTTCCTTTGAGCAATCGGGGAAGTCTTTTAAGTATAATTTCACTTCTGATGTGCATAAGCTTATATTGTCAGAGGATGTAATGGAGATGAAGTAATCCATTCTTCTGAGTGACTCTTTCAGTGAATTCTTTGACAAATATTTGGAAAAGAACTCTCTGTACTTTTTTCTATCCATAGTTATAATTGACAGATGCTCTTTGCGGTAAACTGTGCGCTTTTTAGTCAATCTATCAAAGTATAGTTCTATTGTACTGTCCAACAGCGCAGATACGAATGAAGTAAATGTGTAGTCTATCATACTCTCCTTATAATCTGTCAGGTAGTCAGCATATGTAGATATGATGGTTTGTGTAACTGGCTCTGAAATCCACTTTTCCGTAAAAATGTTTTCAGTCGCTGGAGATACCACATACAGAATATTTCGGATCAGTGCATCATTAGACTGCTCCATACACGCATAAAATACTTTACTGATCGACTGCATATTTGGATCGTTGTAGAATGGAAGCGTATGGAGACAGTCCATGAATTTAAGCCCGCTGTTGGAGAGAGCAATGCAGTATTCTTCAAATCCATTGTGAGCTTTATCCTTTAAAACCAAGTCTAGCTCTGTTATCACAGCCTCCATTAGTATCTCTCTAAACTCTTCCACACACTTTAAAATATGCGCTGACACTCTTTTGAATATTCCTGGGTGCACATGCATAGGCTCTAACTGCTGCCGTATTATATGGAGTAGATCCATGAATCCGATGCTTATGAACTTGCTGTCTCCATCCAAGTCGGGTGCCTTTTTTCTTTCCTGAAACCGTTTGCTTTCCATGTTTGCTAGATTATGTATCCACTCAGACAGCTTTTCTTGTGCTGCTGATATGTACTTGTCCACTAAATCGCCTTCCCGCCCTGCAAATAGAACAGGACCCAGTGCACTCTTCATTCGGCCCATTTTCTCCATTTCTGCATAGTACTTTTTACACCATAGAAGAATGCCTATAGACTCATTTGGATCAAACTTATCCGTATTTGCCTCTAAATACTCATAAAGCATTCTATGGTACTGTATGGTTGCAAAAGAAAATATTTTGTACTTTGACGGAATTGCAAGGCCGTCTGTTTCCTTTAATCGCACTAGGTCTGATAAAATAAATGATAAATCATCCTTTCCTATTAAATTAGTATTGTGCAAGTTCTCTGTAAATCGCCTAACAACAGAATCTAAAAACACTTCAAATATTCTATTCCTGTCTATGTTACAGCTCAGCACATCCTTTCCACCTGCACTTCCCGTATTTTCTTCAATAATAGACCTATTGTCTTTTGTACCATCTAGTTCATTTGGAGACTCTTCAATTGATATCTTTACAGCCTTGGCATACGAAACAGCCCCTTCTGTTTCAATTATCTCTGGAAGTGCATCGATTATTGTTAAAATGAGAATTTCAAAGTTTTTCTCTAATATAGATATTTTCTCAGATATTTCAGGCGTTGTAGTTTTAAGGCCTAAAAGACCCTTTATCTCTTTATATAAGCTCAGTAAACTGGCAGCACTGGCCGACTCAGTTCTGTTTTTTATTTCTTTAATTAATTTGCTGTACTTCTTTCCAAAGGTCTTCACCTCTCCTAATAGTTGCCGTGTTTTCTCTATGTTCATCTGCGCAGTTGCAGATACCCTTACAAGACCGTCATTTTTAAAGGATTCTAATGACACGAGATCTTTACCGATTGACTCAACTGAGTCTTTGGCTTGCTTTGTGTGACTCTTTATTTTTGACAAAGTTGTTTTTATTATTTCAGTCTCCCGTATTAGACTCTGCAGTGCTTCATTCTGCATTAAAAATCCAAACAATTTTGCATAAATTACACCACGAGACAAAAAAGCACTAAAATACACTAAAAGTCCACTAATAAAATATTTCATAAGATTGGGATATATTTCATATAAACGAGTAATTTATTTCTGGTCATACCATAATTTAGACGGAATTTGTTCTTTTAGTGTATATAGCCATAGAAAAATCATTCATTTTGACTTTTTTCGTAATTCTTAAACAAAACACTTTTTCTGACTATGCAAAGTATCTTATGCCGGTCTGTTCTTAGTATCTGCTCTGGTTCTTCATCATTCCTGCGAATTACACCTCTTTTCAATATTTTGTTGTCTATGTGTATGCCATGGCTGTATCTTACTAGAACATATTCTATATCCTTGCACGACAGATGTACCATGACAATTGAACTTAAAAATCCTATTCCATGCATTTTGTTTTCTATTTCCTTCTTTAGCTCTGTATTGATGTAAACTGTCTCCTTTATGCTTAGAATATATTGAAGAAGCAGCAGAATAGTGAACTTCTTTGTGAAGTAAATTGTGTCTGAGTGTGAGTCAAACCTACTGTAAAGATACTTAATTATATCTAACATTTTGTTTTTTCTGAAAAATATGTCAATCCTGTTCCTGTATAAAAAGCATGCATGCGTATTAAAAAGTTGGTAGAGCTTTTCAATATTCTGGAAATACTGGAAAATTGGGGGAATGGCTTTTTCATACTGGCTGGAAAGTATGTCGTACTTGATGAGATCTATCAGAAGAGGAATGACAGTTTTTGCATTCTTATGCGTGAGTGTTGGATACTCTTCAAAGACAAAGCACCATCTCTTAAGGAAGTAGGTTTCTCGGCACTCGCAGGACAGACTTGCGAGACAGTCACATAAACTACTTGTAGGAGCAGGAGAGCCATGCTCTTTTTTTATGCTAAGCCTGTTCATGCACAGTGTATCGGTGTCTGCAGATCCATCATTACACTTATGTGCAGTTTCATTGTCTAACGACCGCTCTTCTTTTAGTGCATCGCTAGACTTGTTCTTAACAAGGAGAGACTCTTTCAGTGCCATATATGCTGATGTCAACTCTGGGCATATTTTATCTGGAGTAGGCTCTGTCTCTCGCAGAATACTAAAGTACTTCTCTTTAACTGGAGTATTGCACCTTCCTGCCCACTCAAGTACAGATTTAAACACCTCAGCGGTTTTCTGTGTTCTATCCTCTGGATTGGCAAATAGTCTAATCTTTCTTGCTGTCTTTAAAGAAGAAGTGGGTTTAGTAGGGGAGTATAAATCATATGTGGAGAATGAATCGCCCTGCACAGTTGATAAAAATGACTCGTATTCCATTGCTTCATACTCTATTTCCTTTTTTGCCCTGTTTGTTAGTAGACCGCCCCATTTTAAAACCAGCCGAACACTCTTTTCTTCTTTTAGTATTTTTACACGCACACCCGAATTTATCTCTGCAATCTTCTTAAGAGACTCAAGTGATGCAAGGTTTTCCTTTGTTCTGAACTGAATCTTCTCCTTTTCCTCCCTCTCCAGTATCTCCTGTATTTCTTTGACTTTGGAGGTATCTCGCCCTGCCATATTGCATGTTCTGGAGATGTACTCTATTAAGTATTCAGAAACAAAGACCAGCCGTTTTTTCAGCTTTGGAGTTCTTCTTGCGTGCCGGTATACAGTATGTATGCCCTTTATTTCAATACATTCTGTCATTTTTTTGCTTTCTTGATTTTTCTCAGTTTCTGCATCTGCGCCATACTCCTTTCTTTTGTTTTTTTCTACTGGCTGCTTTTCTGCGTCTCTGTGAATTATCTGTATTATTTCCTTATAGAGAGACACGTCCTTTCTTCTTGTACTATCCCCGGACTTTGCCCGCTTTTTTAACACCTCCTTCTTAATCTTTTTATCCAGATATTTCAGATTCTTTTGGGTATAATATTGCAGATTTGACTTTACAAATGACCACCCATTGACATCTACTAGTATAAACCCGCCATTGGCGGCTCGGAGAATATCCATTCCACATATAAACTGCCCAAATGACTTACTCGTCTTTTGTACTGCACGAATTTCATTCTTTGTTAGTTTTATTTCTTTTCTTTCCTCCTTACCAGACTTTGTTCTAATAACTATTCCATCTCTCTCAGGGCACTTTCTTGTCTCTGCATATACAGTCTTTCCCATAACATACACTTTTATATCAAGATAATTCTTTACTTCGATTAACTTCTCATAAATATAGCTGCCATCCTCTCTATAAGATATTTTACTTGGATTCTTATCGTAATTACTGCTTTTTGATCCTATCTTACGAAACAGCCTGCATATTCCCTGTTCTCTTCCCTTGCAGTACTTACTGTAGTATACATGTATATTATGGTCCTCACTATACGCAGGCTTTTCAATATATGGTTTGTTTATGCTTTTGTCTCCTATCCATAATTTATCGCCTTCGCATACTCTCTTCTCAGATGGCTTAAACAGCTCATTTCTCTTTATATTAAATAGACTTAGCTGGGTTTTTATAATTCTATCAATCTCCACCTCTACATCTTTCTTATACTTTGGATATGCCTTTTCAACAGAATCTTGCTCGACAGAGCTTTTCTTTAACTCTTCCTCCTTGCCTGCCTCAGATGCTGCATCAAACACCCCATCCTTTACTATTTTGTCAAGTATGCTTGATGTGCTTACTATTCCTTCATACTGCCGTGATTTCTTCTGTGCCCCTTTCTTTCTTGCTGATACTCCCTTAGACTCTTCTTCTTTCTTCTTTTTTTCTTTGTTTTCTGCGTTTATCTCTTTTTCCTTCACTCTTCCATTGTAAACTAGTCTTTCAGCTGTTGGAACACCTATCTGGTCTAGAACCGCCATGACTATTCTTCTGTCTAAGAGCAAGAACTGCTCATCTATCTTATTTATCTCAATTGGCTTGTGTATATTTGCATATTTTCTGACCTTTAAAAAGTCTATTCCCTCTGAAAAGAACGTAATTATTACATCTACATACGGCCAATTGTCCACAGATATTTCTTCTCTGTATGCATCCTCAAAGTAATAAAGTGTATACCCCTTTCCCTTCAAATACTTCTCTAGTTGCTTCATTGGCTGTGTGTGCAGCTTTCTGTTTGGAATGAACACCCCCAAATGTATCTGCTCTACGTACGGTATAAGCATTCTAATTTTATTTCAAATAATGGCAAAATTATTATACAAAGTAGACCCAGAACATTGGGATGTGGCAAGGTTTAAATCATCCGCTGCGTACAAAACAGTTCAAGAATATCTCATGAAAATAGACCAAATGATACAGAATAACGCAATACCCGGGGACATAGACAGATACTATGACATATCAGAAACCAGAAATATAGAAGAAATAGAAGAAATGATCGAAAAAAGAAAGGAAGAAGGCGTGGCATACTCAAAGGAAGACATTTTAACACCCGGTAATTTGTTTTTAATAAAAATAGAAGAGATAATACAGGAAGTACCAATAGAAGAAGGGAATCAGCGATATGGAAATAAGGGATTTATTAATTTTGCAGAAAGAATTCTTATAGAGGGGGAAAGACTCTTAAAAGAGTCCTTTCCCTCACTAGAAACAAAAGATGTGCGAATACTTCAAGAATACTTGCAGGAGTCCTTTGGGAATAAATCACGGATTGATTATGGCACAGGCCATGAGCTAAACTTCTTTTGCTTTGTGATTATTCTGTTAAAACTAGGAATTATCCAAGAAAAGTCTGTTCTTCTAGTGCTTGAGCAGTATTTTAGTATAATTAGACTGTTAATTTTAAAGTATAAGTTAGAGCCAGCAGGGAGTCATGGAATGGGTGGATTAGATGACTACCAACTCCTCCCTTTCTTATTCGGATCATCACAGTTCTGCCGAAGGGACGGATTCGCTTTTGCCTTTTTATTCTCTGAGAAAGAAAAAGGACTTTCTTATGCAAAAGCCCTTAGATTTATTCATATTGACAAGACATTCCCCCCGAGCAAGTATACGTATAAAGAAAGAATAGAAAAGTACAATGCAATAGAACTAACAGAAGAACCATTCTCACACCATTCTATAACCATATACTCGCTGCGCTCTGTACCTCTTGTGAAAATAAATAAAGGTATGCTGAAGATGTACGATGGAGTTGTTCTTACTCCATATGCTGTTGTCCAGCACTTTATATCAAGTGAGTATCTTCCTATATAATAAATATACAAAATATTGAATTACACTGTAATTACGGCTTTTATGCATTGTTTATACGAATACGCATAAATTGGCCCTATATTATGCTCTGTGTACTCTTTGTGTCTTACTTATTCTATTTAATTTTGAGTTATATACGTATAATAAGACAAATATCATTATATAATGTTTTATTATGAAAATAATCAATGCATATTACAAAACACTTTACAGTCTTATACATTCGATAGTTAATAATAAATTACCTATTAATCCTGTACTTTCTAAGGTAGTCAAGTGTGCCCAATGATAGATTTTCTTTTGTCTCAGCTTCTGTGTACCCTTTTACTTTATCCAGTAGTTCCTGTAATTTATTCTGTTCCTTTATAGGCAGTGAATATATGCCCATATCCTTCATAAAAATAAAAAGAATACTTACACAATTATATAAATATATTTTATTATAGCCCGAATATAAATATTTCTATACAGAAGATGTACACATTATGTAAATAATTTAAAATTTGAAATTAGAAGTATTTATTTAAATATAGAAATAAACAGATTATATACTAATTATACAATAGAATTAATTAATATATGAATATATAATAGTATATCAGAATATACAGGGATAATTAGGATATGAACTATCTAAAATAATTTATAGTAGAAGTAATTTATGATTATACTCAGTTATATTTATAGTTTAAGAATGGGGATATTTAGTGAATAAAGAAGGGTTTGTAATGTATAATGAGAATGGATTAGTAAATATAGTGAATGATTCTATTCTTATTAAAAAACAATTATGTATTTGGTCTATTACATATTTGTACTTTCTTCTTCTCATTATATCTCTATGTATGATTTTATCTTCATTTACTATTTCAATGAATAATTTGTCTTTGCTTGGATTGGTTATTGTTAATGTGTAATTATTTAATTCTATGGATACATTTAAATTATTTCTATTCTTTGAATATTTCCACTCTCTTGTGTTTATACTCTTTAATAAATCTATAATAGAATATATAGACCTATTGAGATAAATTTTACCTATGCTCAGAATGCCTTCTAGTACTCTGTTAATAGTAGAAAGTACTTTAGCACTGAAAGAATCAAACACATTTCCATTGCAATTATCTATATACCTCTGTATGATTATAGATACAGCTGGGTTAATCTCTCTATCTGTTGCAGTGTGTACTATTTTATGTATGTGGCTGCTTTTATGTCGTATAGGATAGCGTATACTGCTGTATTCTGTGGTATTTCTTTCTAAGTCTTTATAATCATCTGTTATACTAGCCAGTAATAAGATATCTCCTACATCAAGATCTATCTTATACTCTGTAATAGACATAAATACTTGCTGTATATGATAGACTGTGATGGGCGAGAGATAGAAAGTATAACATATATTACCGAGTGCAGTGGGTTGGATATTATATGTGCACTCTATCATGTTCCATTTAAACAACTGGTCTAATATATTTTTAATCAGATCATTTGTATGGGTGTAGTACTTTCTTGTTTCATTATGCTTTATTCCACGAATGTATCCATATGTCATGCAAACCCAAGATATAATGTACTCTGTAGTAACAGGAATACATTTTCTGCTAGGACATATATGATTATTACACATAGAATGTATACGGTCTGTTTCATTCGAAGGAAGTATCTCTTTTACATCTGTGCAGGTTTTAGTTGTAGTTTTATCTTTTTGGCAGTTTTCCTGGTTAAACTTAACTGCAACTTCATACAGTACTCTTGTGGTGAGAGTTTCAGCAGATTTACTCTCTACTGGAAACTGAAATGTAATTGCCTTAGAATACGCAGCAATATCTTCCTCTTGTGTTATAATCACAGCAGAACCAGATGCAGCATGGCCCTTCCTGCCAGCTCGACCACTCATTTGCGCTATTTCAGCGAGTGTATATGCTTGGCCAATAACTGGCTTGTTTGTTTTGTATATAATCACATTATTAGCAGGAAGATTTACACCACAGGCCAGTGTACTAGTACAGCATATAATACTAATAAGCCCCCTCTTAAAAAGCAATTCAACTGCATTTCTTACCTCTTTTGATATACTTGCATGATGCACAGCAATTCCATATGAGAGAAGTTCTAGCATTTCCTTTATACCGCATATAAATTGCTCTTTATCCGCCAGTGCATCTGGAATGGACGATTCTACCACATTAAGTATTGTAGACAGATCAAGTACTTTACAAGTACTTTTGAGTATATTCTTTCTTATGTACTCAGCCACTAAAACACATTCTTTCCTATTATTTATAAATATTAGAGTATTTCCGCTTATTTCCATGAGTGTATTATGCAGTGCATTAAGGTACTTATAAGAATTGTCATTATAACAAGCAGACTCATCTTCTTTACTATTTTCATCTAAATGCCTGCCTTTACTTATATTCACACTATTCTTATTAGAATAGTCAGAATCCAGTGTAGAATGCTTTTCTGCCCTTTTTATTCTTTTCACTGTCTTATTTCCCTTTTTTATCCCAATAACACTGTATTTTATGGGTATTTCCTTAAACAGGTAATTGAAGTAGTAAGAGTGCTCCTCCTTAGCAGAAATAAATTCTGCCACATCTCTATAATTAGGCACAGTGGCACTTATGCCTACTATTCGCATGCCATATACCCCTTTACTTCTAATAATAACGCTTTCTAGCGCTCCTCCTCTGCTCTCCTCTAAAATATGAATCTCATCAATAATTAGCAGACTTGGTGATACTCTTCCTTTCATTGTAAGAATGTCATACCGTTCTGGTGTAGTAATAAGAATATTTGTATCGTATCTTGCTACTCTTTCATTATCTGTCGTATCTTGCATTACACTTAGAATTTCACCCACTCTATTCTTAAGTGTCTGCTCTAATGAATTTATTAATGGCTTAGTAGGGGCCAGGATAACAATAAAACATTCTCTACCATATGCCTGATATTCTTTAAGAATGGCTAATATTGCAAGTTCTGTCTTTCCTGTGCCAGTAGGAGCTGCTATTAAACTGTTCTCTCTTGTGTTATATAATGTATCCAGAGCCAAAGACTGCACCCCATTGAAATACTCAAAATTGAAGTATTTCTTGTTCTCTTGCAGAATGTCCGTCTGTATTTTATCGTGTTTTCTTGTGGAATACATCATATCCACTTTTTTGTATAATTCTGTCTCTGTTAGGTCTGACCCCTTTGGTAGTTCTGCTGTTTTAAGTGTCCATTTTGTGTTTATTACCGCACTCTGCGCAATAATCAACTGCTCTACCATTGAAGGATCACATACACTATTAATTTCACTGCATTCCCTCTCTTTCTGATATATCCTGTGCATGGGTATACCAGAAAATAAAATATTATCTATTTTTCAGTTATAAACAATTTATAATATTAAAAATCAAGAAATACCGGTTAAAAATAAAAATCAATCAATGATTTAGTATTGTGGCATACATAACTAGAAATGCCCCGATATAAAGCATAGTAGAGTAAATTTAAATACAAGGCAAGCAGGCATACTTGATAAAATAATTTATTTTAATTCTATGCAGTATAAATATTATACTAGAATAGAATAATTTACCAATAAATACATAGTGTGTATATTTTGTTGGGTATTCTAGGTTATTTCATTTTTATACAACGAGGAATAATCAAAGAATACAGGAATAATATAAATATGCCACAGAGAGTAAGAAATACACTATAAGTTATATAATGTAAGTTGATGGGTGGTATACATGTTCAATTGTCACCAGTAAATATCCTACGAAGTATATTAAACAGCAGTATAAACACAACTACTATATCAAATATATAATACACTGTGTATATTATATAATATATACAGCGGATCACTGTATATAAAACAGAATAAATCAAGTATATAATCGCGCTGTACAGAATATATTTCATCGCCTTATTCCCATTAAAAGTGTTATTAACTCTCCCAGTAATACTTAAAATATGTGAAAGTAAGTACCCACCATAATAAATACAGAAATATCCACAGACACTTATAATATTATATACAGTCTTTGGTATATTGTAGTATATAGAATTATAGTTTATATGTACTCTATTATCATCTGGTGTAGACATATTATAGTTCTCTTTTAATGTATTCAGCACAGATATATCAATTGGACAAATAGTATTTCTTATCTGTGACTCCCTTATATTTTCATTATTATTCTCTGTAGTCTTATTATCTTCCAATGCAGTATAATAATAAGACATTCCAAGAACATCCAATAGACCAGACATGCCCAGAATTTCTGAAATATTTAATTTTTCTGGTATAGAATGCGAATTATCCTCTTCCAGTGCAGTGATCTCTAATTTAGAACCTATTTTTAAATTTTTATCTTTGCCATTATTTTCTAATGTGTTATTCTCTCTACTGCCGCATTCCACTCTATTGCCTGCACTGCACATACTGTTAATTATAATATTACTAGAGATGTCTTTAGTATAACTTATGTTTTCCTGTGTATTCGCTGTACTATTTATCCCTGCATAATTATTCTGTTCACACTCTGTATGCACTAATTTCTCTTTCATATAATTATTTTCTGAGTTACTCCGTGTTTGGTTATATTCTGCAGTGTTTTCTAAATTTTTAGTTATATTACTGTATTCGTGTATAGCACTCTCATTGGGCAGTTCTCTCCGCACGGAATCACTTACCTCCTGGCATATACTTGGTGCACTTTCAATATCACTTTTAATAAAAGAACAGGAATCCATGCACTCTGATGTATGCACAGGAGATGGATCATCTGGAATTCGCAATTTATTATCTCTCTTGCTTTTATTCTTACACAGTCTGTTACTAGATATACACACCATAAAAAAATTAATAATAGCAGATTTTATTTAACTATTGCCTCTGCTGTCTCTTCTCCACTTTCTTCTGAAGGGCTGCAATTGTTCCTCTGATCTTCTTCTTCTTGTTCTTGTCTTCCTTTCTTAATTTTCTGGGGAGCTTTGTTATTTCCTTTCCTTCCTTGTCCTTTATGATTCTGTTAAGAATGAATTTGTGCTCAATCTTTTCTAAACTAGACTTCTTGTTGTATATCTTGGCTGCAGCGGATGAAATGTGTGTACCAAATCTAGTGTAGCAATCCTTTACAACAATGTTATCAGTGGAGGTGTTAAGCTGCTCGCTCAGCATCTTTGATATTTCCTTTTTGTTTGGTGTACCACTGCATGGGTGGTAGACGGACAAGGACAACTCCATTCTGTCAAGAAGTGGATTCTGTTTCTTCTCTAGTATTTTTATTGTGTTTGTCATGTACTGGGGTCAAATATAAAAAAATATTTAAATGCAAGGACTGCGAATGAATGAAATATTCAAAAACTGGAATATCCCGAAAAATAGAAATTCTGTATTTTTGGATATTTTGGCATAATACTGTAAAATCACTTAGAAATACTCTCAAATAATGAATAATACCTTTGGTTACCAATTCCGAATTTTCTGTTATTTTCAGAATATACGGCAAGCATAGCACATAAAAAGAATATTACTAATAGAGCCAGAATAGAAAATTTAAATATTCAGAAATTTAATTTCTATTTATACATTTATAGTACATAACATATAATGCATATAAAGCACTTATCATTGGTTGATTAGACCACTAATTACATCTCTTCTACATATAGGACAGTACCCAGCAGTGGATATATGAGAATTAATGCATTTTTTATGATAAAAATGATTACATCGAAGAATTCCGCATATATTAATGGATGTATACTTATGTAGGCATATTGCACACAGTTCATTATTACTTATACTTTCTGTGCTTACTCCGTCCTTATACTTTACGTATTTTATGTGCTGCTTTTTTAGTGCAGGTTTCCTGATGTCTATTATTTTGGTTGTAGTGCACTCTCTCAGAACAGGTTGGTCTGCCATGTACCTCCAGTCATTCCTGTCCCTGCTGAGTGTATTAAGTATAACAGATATATTCTGAGGTAATGGCGCGGATGTACACAGTTCTTCTCTTTTTTTAATTTCTGTTATAACAGACTCTTTTACGGATACAGTGGTTTTATGAGGTTTTTTCTGAGTGCATGCATTTTTAAGCCGTTTTTTTCCAACAGAAATCTCATTTAATAAATGTTCAATTTGTATTTTTGATGAACTTGCTCTATCTGATGGAATATTACGTGCGGGCATCTTTGGCCGTGTCATTAAAGTAAAATTAAAATTTATTATACATGAACCATATTATAGAAGAACTAAAAAGTGTTAAAAAAGCAGCAGAATCCAGAACAAACACTTTGAATAGGTCTAAAATATCTAAGAGAATGAAATATGATATATTATTACAGATATTAGAGGATTCTCTGTCTAAAGTCCATTGTAAATATATGCTGGACATAACCAATTCTATTATGTGCAATGCCCCAATAAACAAAATATTGCACACAGAGTTAACCCGTACATTAGAGCTGTTTGAAAAAACAAAGAAGGAAGTATTAAAAACCATAAAGAGAACAGGCAAAGATCCAATAACAGATGATTATATAGGCCAGGTAGTAGACATCTTACAATACACCGTGGAATAAGCTATTATATCACACAACCATACAGTAAAATATAATAAAAGCACCAAAGGTATAAAAGGGGATTATAAGAAAAGTTCGGATTGTCTTGGATTGGATGTATTTGGTGTTTTATATTGATAATTACATGTGAATACTTAAAATATTTTGATTTTTTAACGTACATTACTAAATATGGAAGTATAATTTTATTTTTAATTTCCTAATATTAGCTAATAAGCGGTAATACCCCAAAATAATTAAGAAGGGCATTTTTAGCAGAAACTGAAAATTCTTTAAAAATACTCATTTTCAGGTATCTTACTATGCAGACATGTTCATTTTAATTGGTGGGTGGTGTGTGTACCCTTCCAGAATGAAATCATCAATTTGGAAATCATCAATTCTTTCTCTTTTTACTGCTGGGGATATTTTGAGGGTTGGGAACTTGTATGGCACGCGCTTTACTTGCTCTGTTAGCTGGGCTATGTGGTTGGAGTATATATGAGCATCAGAGAGTACGTGAACAAACTCACCTGCTGGGATATTGGTTAGATATGAGACCATTTTAAGAAGCAGGGCATAACTTGCAATATTAAAGGGCACTCCTAGCCCTACATCACCGGATCTTTGGTATAACATGCAGTTTAGCTTGCTATTTACTACAACAAACTGGAATAGCACATGGCATGGGGGAAGAGCCATCTGGTCTAGATCACTTGGATTCCATGCGCATACAATCATACGGCGACTGTTTGGGTTTGTTTTTAATTCCTCAATCACTTGGTTTAACTGGTCAATGCCTTTATTAGAATAGTCATCCTCGCACGTTTTGTACTCTGCGCCAAAGTGTCTCCACTGGTACCCGTAAATTGGACCAAGGTCATCTTCTCTTCTGGTTATGCCGCGAGACCGAAGAAACTCTTCTGTTCCATTCAGTGTCCATATGTTTACGTTCTTATCTTTTAGTATTCTATTGTCTGTTTGCCCGCGAATAAAGAACAGAAGTTCTTCTGCAACCACTCTGAATGGAACTTTCTTTGTGGTAAGTAGAGGGAACCTGTCGTTCTCAAGAGAATACCGTGCCATGTCACCAAATACTGCAATTGTTCCTGTGCCGGTTCTGTCCATTTTCTGTGCTCCACCATCAAGTATGCGCTTTATTAACTGTAGGTACTGTGCTTCTTCATGGTTAGTCTCCATACAGAATAAAAATAATCTGCATTTGACGGGCAGCTACTATAACAGAGTAATAGGCTTATGTATACACTGCCTCAGAGTACGTAAGAATGAACCATAAGACAGTGCACCATATGTAATTCGGGTTATTATGCATACTCTACATAAGAATGCACTAATAATAGACAGGGCCAAGGATATTTCTGTTTACCAGCATATTTTAGTATTATGCCCATGCGGTGCAGTTAGTGTTCTACTCAGTGGTATTAATGCTTGAATGTATAAGGAATAAGTGAATCTGATTTTATTAATGATGGTCTGTTTTACTATCATGAACACGTGAATGTATCTGAGTTTAGGGTATGATAGCACGGTATACTTCACCGCACTGTCTAATCTCTAGCCACAAGGCAGTCATTAATAACAAACATAATGAATCCTGTGTGCAAAAGACCCCATATCCACTGATAATTCAACTGTCACGTAGTAAAAGCAGCGAATGACCAGGCGAACACTTATTATTAAGCTAGGACTAAATTCTCCTATTATAATAGGATAAGACACAGGAGAGCAGAGTGTACAGGCATTTTCACAGTTAGTGTCCTTTTACTACTATTACTACACTAATATCACCACAGCGTACTTTGCTGCAGTGAGGTTTGTCTGTGTACCTTATTATCTGCTGCTGTCCTGGTTTATTTCTTTTCTTGTTATGATTACCCACCACTACGTACTGGCCGAGTAATTTACTCCGAAAATTACATCTTGATTGCTTAATTCTGTGTTTTCTGTCACATCCACTGCGGTAACAATGGCAGAGTGCTGCCCACCTGCTCCGACACTAATAACGATCTCATTTCCAAAAGCCACTTCTTTTGGGGAGACTTCTTTATCTGCCTCATACCCCAGCTGTCCTTCTTCACCGAACCCCCAGGTGTATGCTCTGCCCTGCGACATAGCCATTCCGTGCGAGGCTGTAATTGCAAAATCATCCACATTTGAGATGGCGCATTTAGTAAATTCTGTCCTATTTTCATTGTCACCAATGCCCAGCTGGCCAAAGGTATTTCTTCCCAGGCCCCAGAGAGTGCCATTTGCATCAAGAACGTGTGTGCTGTGCTCACCGCCCATGCCTTTTACAAAAGTAGATGGTCCTGTGTCGTCTTTGGAGTAGTCCATCCACGGGCCCCATGTTTCTTTTTCACTGGCATTCGGTGCTTGGCCATAATTATTGACTCCAGATGCAGAAAACTTCACTTTCTTTGAATTCTCTGCTGTTGAAATATCTTTTCTTCTCCGGTCAAACAAGAACATTCTCTGCACCTCATTAAACAGTATAAAGTCACCGCCATGGCCTGGCACTATCAGCTTGTCCCGGGGCACCTTTTTCACCAGAGTTTTCTTCTTATTCTTCTGCTTCTTCCTCTTAACTTCCTCCTTTGCACTGCCAATCTTCCTCTTTCTTTCCCTCTGTATAGGCGTACTTGCATCTGCGCTGGCTTGTTTACTATCTACATTAATAGCATCCGCCCCGGGGTCAACTACTTTGTTGCTTCCCTCTGGGGTGCCTTTGCTTGGTTTTGCACTATCCTTCGGGCCTGAGGCAACTTTCTGTCCTGTGTCTGCAGTAGAGTGAGGTGAAGTATTTGCAATATTATTTGGTTTACTCGGTTCTTCTGTATTAGAAACAGTCTTGCCATCATTATTATTCCCTGTTTTACTCTTTAACGCATTCTCTGTCTCCATCTTTTCTTCACTATCAACAGATGTGCTTGCATCTGTTTCTTCACTCTCCTGCGTCTCTTCATCTGAATCTGCATGGTTTTTGGCCTTCTCTTTCTCTTCCAACTTCTTTCCTGTGGCACTGCCTATGCTTTCTGCTTCCTTTGCCTTCATGCTAGCCTCTTTAGCTTTCCGGATCATTTCTGCTGCTGCTGCACTGCGTGGTTTCTTTGCTGGCTTTTCAACCTTCCGGCTATTCCCAGTCAATACAACTTCTTTCTCAATGCCATCACTCACTATTGTTACCTTTTTCTCCTTTCCTGGTTCTAGCTTATAGTACTCTGCATACAGGCACAGATCTTCCTCTGTGATTTTGCCCTTCTCCTCCTCATCTTCAATCTCTCGAATACTCTTGGTAATAGGCGCCACTTCATCCGATGAAGAATTGCTCACTGGCGCGGGTACATCAGTCTTAAGCACTCGCATTCTTGTTGTAGGAAGAACTATCTTTTTTCCCATGTTTGGGTTAAGTGTTAGGTCCCCCATTGAATTGCAGTACAATGTCATCCCTTTAGGTGGGTACATGATATGTCTGGGCACCTGTGTTTCTGGTGTAATTCTAATGTACTTGTATTTTGAACCAGAAGGAACCTTTCTCTTCCTGCCTTCTTCCATTTGATCTGCTGTCAGATCTTCTCTCTTCTGGTCGTATAAGTACATCTCATTCCCATTAGTATCCTTAAAGAACTTTCCTTCTGTATAAAGACACTGCTTTGCCAGAGAATTACTCTTTTCTCCCTTTCCATTGATTCTTTTAATGGCAAATGAGTGGTATGCTCCTGTCACTACAGCACTTGCTGATGCCATAGCCACCTTAGGAGACAGACAGTCTGTGCTCTTTGATCTCCTGCTGATTAACCTTCCTAATTTTCCATTCTCTCCATCTCCCCAGGTGTACAGCTTGCCTTTATTATCCACCACTGCTAAATGGTTGCACCCTGCCTGGACAGAGGCCACTTTAATACCACTGATTTTAACAGGGGATTTGGCCATTTTATAAACAGACCCGTCCTTGTTCAGAGAGTGCCCAATCACACCACCTGGCCCACGGAACAGTCCCCATGTCCACAAATTATCATTCTCATCCACAGCAGCAGATATTGAATCCCCTGCCACGGCCTTCTTAATTTTTACATCCTCAGGGAATGTAATTCTGTCAGGTTTCTCCTCATCCCCAGATCTGCCTAACACACCTTCATCATTGCACCCCCACGAATAAAGGGACCCATCAATAGAGAGGGCAAGTGAATGCATCCCCCCACAAACCACCTCCGTTATTCTTTTGTTGCTAAAGTACACTAGCTCCACTGGCTTAGTACTCATTCCTTCTTCTGTATCTGCTCCCAGCTGGCCGGCATCACCTGCACCCCAGGTATAAACTCTTGTCATGAACTTTTTATTTTCCATGGAAGTGCAAAAATAAATTCTATTTATGCATGCGAAAATTGCGCTTTCCATATATGGAAATGTACTCCTTTGAGGTCCAAGAGTGCCTGATACTGTTTGTGTCAGAGACTCACCCGGACAATTATCTTCCTGGCACTGTGCGAATAAGAAAGAAACCGCGAAGTAATAGTTGATATTGATTTTTATTTTTCTGATGGTTTTAGAGGCTTCCTGTCTTCCCTTACGAACAAAATAAAAATATAAAAAGGGCGCTCGTTCGAAAAAGAAGCCCATTCGGGGCCGGAGTTATTTCGAACGAGTGCGTGCTTGTGCAGAATATATAACACATAGCATAATATATTCTAGTATTTAGGTTATATCGGGTTATAGCATTATTTATAACACATTGTTGCATATTTACTTGTTATTATAAATTCTGGGTTATATCGGGGTGCTAAAACTATTAACACAATGTGTACTTAATACTGCATTAGTCACTTTTCTACTGTATACACTGCTATACCTATTACAATATATAATAGAAAAAGGAATAATCCGCATACAATAAAATACTCTGCTGTATAATGCATACTATACGAGTTTATTTGGAGTATATTCTGACTAATTCATTATGGACTTAGTAATTTATACACATTGTGTACTATCTGTTATTAATTACTTAATGTGCTATAAATTTTAAACTTTTCATGTGTCATTAATTATTACATATTGTGTATTAATTATATTATTAATTACACACTTAACATTAAATATTATATTTTATGCATTGAGTACATTATTTTTCTTATTTTTTTTAAATAATACACATAATATTTAAAGCTATGTATAATATGTTTTAGTAGACAAAATGCAGTAGTACCAAATTATTATTATTATGCCATAAAATATTAGGGTTAGGTCGGGTTATTCATAAAATAACAAGAATTTCATAGTAAACAGTGGTTTATACGGAGTAGTATTTACTCACAGTATATAACCCGAATTAGTATCCAGTATTATCCTTTATTAATGAATATTTGATATAATTTAGGATATTTTCAAGTGGTTTCTGAATATTTATATTACGACTTATTACAACAAAAATGGGAGAGTGTGTGCTGGTGCACTTACTCATACTCCACGAATGCCCAGTGGTTTAAGAAATTCATTTTTGGAGTATTCGTAATAAAGGGAATTTCCCAATTAAATATCACGGATGAGCTTGTTTCTATTTAAATATTTTTCTTTTACTTTATACAGTTATGGACCACGGATACAAGAATAGTGGAAGAGGTGCCAGGTCGGAAAGAGAGACCAGGGCAAGTAATGCAATCGAGCTAAGAACTCAGAAGAGGGACGGAATGCTTCAGAAAAAACGCACGCATGCATCTGTTGGTGAGGAAACCACAAGCAAAGTTAGTTTACTAGTTGAGCAAGTAAATTCAAAAGATCCAACTGAAATAATAAAGGGGGTGACAGAGTTTAGACGGTTGCTGAGTGCTGCAAGGTGTCCTCCTATTGACACTGTGGTGATGAACGGGCTGACTCCTATTTTCACAAAGCTAATGAACCCAGACAATCCTTTATACACCACCATGGCAGAAGAACTTGCTGTGCGAATTATGCACGAGTCTGCGTGGGTGCTTACAAATATTGCATCAGGGAATACTGCACAGACTATGGCGGTGGTTAAGTCGGGCGCCCTTCCAAATTTGGTTAAGTTGTTGTACATAGATAACCTTCTTCTTCAGGACCAGGCAATTTGGGGCATCAGTAACATAGCTGGTGACTGTGAAGAAGGAAGAGACCATGCGATTAAAGCGGAGGCAGTGGATCCAATGATATATATGATAAATAAGGAAATGGACAAGGTCGAGATCAATATTCCTCTGCTAAGGAACCTGTCCTGGGCTATTAGTAACTTAAACCGAGGAAGAAATCCTCCTCCGTTCATTGGGCATACTGAAAAGTGTCTTCCCGTGATAATTAAGCTTATTTCCACCACAGACACAGACATTATAGTGGATGCGTACTGGGCACTGAGTTACATGTGTGATGCAGGTGCTAATCAGGCAAATATGGTTATTTCAACAGGGATTGTGGCAGAATGTGCTGAGCATCTGGCTGCGTACTATAAAACAGCCATGAAGGGGGATACTATGCAGTTGCACTTGAAAGAGCAAATGCTTTCTCCTATAATAAGAATATTTGGAAACATAGCAACGTACGATGATGAACAGACTGACTATATCCTGAGCCTCGGAATTCTGGGCACATTAAAGGGCCTGATCAATTTACCATTTGAGAATAAGAAGGCATCTAGGATAAAGAAGGAGATTTGCTGGCTTATTTCAAATATAACAGCAGGTACCCCAGATGAGGTGGACGAGGTGATAAAGCACGGATTTTTAGAAATACTCGTGAATATAATGAAAACAGCCGACAGCCAAGTCCGTTCAGAAGCCTGCTGGGCCATATGCAATGCAACGATTCAAGTGGACAAGGGCATAGCACATGCAAAGGAAGTGGCAGAGGCTGGTGTAATCCAAGGATTTTCTTCTTTCCTTTCCTCTGTAGTGAATGATGCCAAACTTATTTCTGTTATTCTTGATGCAATTTTAAGTCTGCTAAACTGGGCAGAAAAAGAGTCTTTTGGAGGAGAAAACATGATTGCGGTTGAGATTGAAAGTTGTGAGCTCTTGGGCTACATTGAAGAATTACAATCTGCAAGTAATTACGCCGTTGCTGCTGGAGCAGAAGCCATTATAAGAAGATACTTTGATGGACAATAATTAATAAATATCTATTTCTTTATATGGAATATAAATAAACCCGATATAACCCGATATAATCCAAAATTCATTGAAGTGTTGCACCGATTTATGCTGATATTTTCTGTCTTATTCTCTTACTGCATGGTGGTGTTAATTGTGTATTTAACTGAAATTTGGAAAGTTTTAAATTTTATGCCAAAGAAACAGGACACGCCCAAGTCACTGCCGAGCCGAGCCAAAGCTGTATTTAAAAGGATACTTGATCAGGCACTGAATAAACCCATAGAAAACACGCCAAGCACGGACTACTCATGGATTGCGGATGAAATAAAAAAAGAACTGACAGCCGGAATGCGAAGAGATTTTCTTTCTTATCTGCTCAAGCGGCTGAATGTATGGTACGAAGCACAGCTAGACCAAAATTGTAATTTTCAGATGGGAGTGTTCTATTTGCAAATAACATATTTTCTGTACACCCTTCAATTTGACAATTCAATTATACCACACACAGAAGACAGTGCACTTTTAAAGGTGGAAATGCCCTATGCGATTATAGACTCATTTACTGCTGAAACACTTCCAGCAGAGGTACGAGAAATAATTTCGTATTTAATATATAAGAACGATCTTAAAATAATTTTCAAGTGGAAGGAGTACGTGCACCTATCAAGCCCAAAAATTCAAAAAATAGAAGAGAAGATAGACAAGTGGTTTAACAAGCCGCCCAGTATAAGCAAAGAAGAGATGCAAAAATATACGCAATTAAAGCAGGCGCACATACTTATGCAGTCATTACTAACATAATATACGAATTTTAGGGTATGAGTGAGAATGTTCTCAGACGTAGTATTTTACAGAATAAGTTACAGGTATACGGCCTAAAGTATAAATAGCCATCTAAAATCGATTATAAAGTAGGTATACTTAGACCATCAAATATATAAAAACAGAGGGGTGTGCATGGATTAGGTAGTATTAAATAATTTGAAAGGGAGGGGGTTGTGTTTTTCGGGTTGCTTAATGGAATATACGCAGAGCAGTATACTAGAAAAATCTTGAAAAAGCTCTAGGTGGGGATAATCAGCCAATTAAAATTTTACAGAGAAGGCATCCAATCATACTTCGTATATATGGCGGACGAATAGCCCCTTAATGGAAGAGTGCAGGAAGGATCTGGACATTATAAATAACATACTAGAAGATTCGGGGATTGTTCGATACAATGCAGTGAAAAACAGGTTTAAGAATGATAGTGCAGAGTCACAGCTACTTCTTTCACTGTATAAGAGCACAGAGCCCAAAGAGACTGAATTTACTGCAATAGACTTATACAGAACAAATCTACAAAAGCTTAGAAGAAAGATAGAAGAAAGAAGAGTAAAAATAACAGAAACCGTTCGGAATGGTGTAACAACAGAAGAGCTACAAGAAACCACATCAGTTAGAAATGAAGAGGTTCTTGTATCAATAAGCCCGAACGGCACAGCCACGCCTTTTGTCCCAGAGACAGTTCTGCCAAATTACACAATTAATATAGAAGATGTTAAAACTCCAGACGACTTTAAATATGCAACTGTGATAGGGCCCATAGATGTTGTTAAGGAGAAGAAAAAGCACAGGTCTTCATTAAGGCTGAATGGAACCTTTCTTGAAACAAAAATAACCGACAAGAAAAAAGGAATAGAAACGGTTTTAAATGTGGATATATCTCTAGCTAAGCTTTTTATTATAGTTAAAAGCAGCAAAACATTCCTGACCTGTATGAAAAAGCCTTCTAAGAATATATATTTGCATAAGGAGTTAGACATAGTTAACATAACGAATGGATCACCCTCTGAGCTAATCCTAAAGAATGTAAATACGGGAGAGTTCATTAAGGAAAAGATTAAATCCTATGAATTCTTTATATTGGATGTGTATAACAGTAAAATATCCTACAGAACAAATAATCCAGATGAATTTATTAGGTGGCTACTTCTTATAAAGTCTCGTATGTATACAGTTGACAAATGGAGCAAAGAAGAGTTACTCCAGTCGATTAGAAGCTAAGAAATAAATAAATTACAGAATTATGACAGTTTCTATTCATAGAATGCAACAGAGGTATTCTACACTTATATTTCCACTGGAATCGGTATATATCCCAGCCCAAACTGAAATTTTTATCAATTTTTTATTGCGGTTGTTATTTTGTTTACCATAAATAGAAAATTGTGATAAAATAATTGGTATCTCTTTTGCCAGTTAAAAATACTACGGTTTACAATAGGAATAAAGCAAAAAAATCTAAAAAATAAAAATTAGCACTGCTAGAATTATTGCCATGAGAAGAATTTACTTTACGTAGAACAATCAAATAATCTAATTTTAATGTTGTTTGTGAAGTAAACAATATGGTAAATAAATATAAATATAAATATTAAAAAGTTTTTTCATTTACATATGGGATTGTTGAAAGAGAGCCAAATTCTAACATGGGAAGAGACCTGCGCTCAGGCATCAGAAATAAAAAAGAAGGGAATTAATCATTTTATTAGAATATACAGAAGTCAGATTGCACCCAGAACGAAGGAATTCTTGTGGGGTGAGGAATTAGAGCAGCATCTGATAGTTAAGATTAAAGGCAGTTGGATTCTTTTATTGGGCACTAACCAGCTTATTAACGAATTAGTGTGCAATGATACTATATTGCACCCAGAATATGCTGGGTATATGCTTGAAAGTACTCCTAAGCAGCCGTATTCACCTACATTTAAGGAGCTGGCAGCACTTGAGCGCAAGATAGAAACCAGGCGGGGTGCAATTACAGAGCTGCTTCATAAAAAGTTTGGAAAGGATGCATCTATTTTGTTTCTTCCTTGCTTTCCTTTACTGGGAACTCCCATTGCATTTGGCACCGGAGGTTTATCTAAGGATGAGTGGGTGAATAATTGGGTGAAAATATTCAACAGCACAGATCCTTCAGATGATAAACCGCCAGTCTTAGAAGAGGCCTCTAAGGGCACTTTGCTAGAAAAAACTTTAAACTTAGCAAAGTATCCCTCATTCAACATAACAAAGAGTGTCCACTACCCAGACTTTGCGATAACCCCGCATGAGAGGTTCTTTGGGTTCAGTGTTAACATTCAGAAGAGAAAAGGAAAACTTTCCACCATAGAAATCCCATTAGCAAAGATAGAAAGCACTGCTAATTCAGAAAAGGCTTCAAATGATTTATCTGGGGCAAGCGCTGCAGGGCATGCTGTTATTGATAGTATGGGCCAGGGGATGGGATGTGCCTGTCTCCAGATTACCATGCAGAGTGAGTCACTAGATGAGGCACGGCAGTTATACGATAACATCGGGGCAATATGCCCATTACTACTGTTTCTTACTGCAGCAACATCTATTGTATCAGGAAAGCTTATAGAAACATCTACAAGATGGAATATTATAGCCTCTTCTGTTGACTGCCGTAGAAAGGAGGAGACGCACATAAAGAAAAGCAGATACTCCTCAATTGATCTGTATGTCTCTGATATGCCTGAGCACTTAGATAAAATATACAATGACATATCCCCACCACTAGAAGAGTCTGTGCTAAAAACTCTTTTAGAAGCAAATGTTGACAGTGCAATGGCAAAGCACGTGGCTTCATTGTACATAAGAGACCCTGTGCTGTGCTATGCTGATTCAACAGAAATGGATGATTTTGAGAATATTCAGAGTAGCAACTGGAGAAGTATGCGACTAAAATTACCAAAACCATCGAACGACAACCACACAGGATGGATGGTTGAAACAAGACCCATGGAAATACAGCCCACATCCTTTGAAAATGCAGCATATTCTGTGTTTGTCGTTCTAGTATCTAGAATGATGCTTTCTCTGAATGCGAATTTTTATCTCCCAATTTCAAAGGTAGATGAAAACTTTGTGTTCGCAGACCAGCAGGGAGCAGGCAGGACCTGCCTGCAGGACTATATAAATGCAGAAACCGCCCAGACTTTCTGGTATAGAGAGAATATATTCTCAGATGAGGCCCCGATAATTAAGAAGGGAACAATTAAAGAGATATTTATGGGCACAGACGGCTACATAGGAATTCTTGGGGGAATAAAAGCATACCTCGCAGAATATACACCATCTGTCATAAATTCTGTTATGCCATACCTCCAGTTCATAGAGGATAGAGTGTGTGGAAAAAAAACAAGTGTGGCCACATTTATGCGAAAATTTGTTGCTGCACACCCAGCATATAAAGGAGACTCTATAGTCTCTGAAGAGATATCCAATGATCTTATAGAACATATGCTTAAAATAACAGAAAAAAACTCGTCAGAATATTTAGCCATATAAATACTTGAATTATGTTATTTATGACAGAGGATAGCCCAGAATAGAAATAAATCTATATTTTAAACTGAATTTATTAAGCGAAATGATCCTGTCATGCCTGCTTCTTATTAGTTTTGTATAAGCTCTTTTAATCTCTGGTTTTGCTGCTTGGCAGACTGTCCTGGGACAGTTACTACATTGTATGCACCTCCTGCAACTACAACATTACAAGATTTGCACTTCCATACACCAACTACTTCTCTCTTTACGTTCTTCTTACCACAGAACTCGCATGTGTATTTTGCGTGCTGGGTTATTTCAGAGACTTTCACTCTCTTACGAAGAGACACTCCGTATCTCACACCGTACTTTCCAACTATTCCTACTTTCTTGGTCTTTTGGGACATTCTGGGGCTACAAAAATAAAAAAGTTAAAAAGCTTTGCTGCTCTTATTATGAAATATTCTGAATAACTAAGAATTCAACGGAAAATAGAATAAAAAGGAGAAGTCTACAGAATAAAGTAATAAAATGAAATTGATCATATGATGTTCTTGGTTAAATTAGTATAAAATCACGAGTTATGTGCACTTTAGCATAATTTCGGGGTATTTCGAAAAAAATCTGTTAAGAATGTTTCTAGTCTGTGTAGAGTGAATTGGCTGTATCTGATACTTCGGATATTCTGTGGTGTATTGTGTATTAAAACTGTTTGGCGAAATGCATTAAGCTTGGAATTTTTTGGGTTATTTTGGGACTCACTAAAATTATGTGTGAGAATATTTTCAAATACAAAAGTGCTATATAAATAGAAAGAGGGTCCATTTGTGCTAATATAAGACTAGAATTTTTTGTTTCAGCAAATAATCCTAAACTTTGATATGCCTAGATACCTAATTTCATATGGAATAAAATAGTGTATTCTTTAATCGAAGCCTAAGCAAAATAGACCGGAGGAAATTGCATGCACTAAAACCAAGTTGCAATGGCAAAGTATAAATAGCTGGTAACAAAGAAAAAACATAATGAGTTCTACTAGAAAAATTTATTTGAGTCTTTTAATAATATCAGGAATTAAAGCCATGTTCTCCCCATTATGCATGCCAATGTCATCTATAAACCCATGTGCGAATACCGGTGGATCAATGCTGCCAGATTTATCAATTGGCAATGGGATGGGAAATGGACTCGGTAATGGAATGGATGGTGGCATTAATATAAACTGTCACGTGACATCTGGAGGTTCTATGGGAAATAATATGGGAACCAGTTTATGCCCACCACCAATGAACCAGTCAAATGGAATGCTAGACATAGGTTTTATGGGCGGCATGTCTCCCCCACAACAGCAACAACCCATGAGCGGAATCCAGCTAGTTTGCAACTCCATTGGAATGCCAGATAAACAGCAGCCACTCGCTGGAATGACTGGACTAAATGGATCTTCATGGGGAAATGACTGCTACACCAAGATTGGAAGTATTTTTATGAACGGATATTCTGGAGGAAACTCTAAATTAAATGATATATGTTGCACAATAATGGGTACATCTTTAGGGAACAAGATGCTCCGATAAAGTCAATAAATCAATTTTAGCTTAATCATCTGCTGGCTACGAGGAAAGTATTTATCTTTTCGGAGATACTGCCCTGCTCTGTTTTGTTATTTCGAGTATAAGGGATACTCAGCAGAACTGTAAATAACCCTAAACAGAGTGTGCTTCCTGTGTTTGGTTAGAAACTGGCTGTACTTTTTTAAGAATTGCCTTCTCTACCTCTAAAAACAATTTAAGTTTTCTTTCAGTGCACTTCTTTATACACTCCTTTTCTCTTTCTGTTAACTCATTCTTTGTTTTCCCCAGGAGACGGGATTTAGATAAAATCACACACTCTTGAAAACACATTCCTGTTGTTTCTTCAAAGAACATTCTTAAGTCTTCCTGCTCTGTGCTGTTTCTACCAAACCAACTCCAAATTCTTCCTAGCATAAAAAAATACTTGATTCGTTCTTTTAAATTATGCAGGCATGCACTGTTCATATAAATCTGTTTTTGGGATTTTGGGTTATTTCTTTATGCTATACGCCCAGATTTTTTCTGCTGTTTTATCCACATACGAACCTTTTTAATAAATTTGTGCGGCACTTCTAAGTTAAGCCTGTCTCTTTTCCTTCTAATTATACAAGTTGCATAGTACAGCGCATAGCACCCGCAGTCGTGCCCATTCTTTTGCTGTGCACATCTTTCGCTGTACAGCACGATTTTTACAAAACTGTGCGTTAAAAGAACCTTTGATAAATTAGAGTGCATTGGGCGCATAGAGTCATAAACAATTGCAGTTTCTGCTTTCACATCAATATAGCACAGCGACCAGTGGGAATCACTATAAAGAGGAAATACTATATTACTAATTTTTGTGAGATCAAAGCCCTGTACCCACCTAGAAATACACTCCATCCCCTTTTTCCTAAGGGACTCAAAGTAAAAGCTACTGCACACAAGTGTGCTTATTCTATCTGGATTTACAATTGGGTATCCCACCATGGCAGCATGTTCTACAGAATCTACTATCACTTTCAGAAATAAATTAATATCTGTATCATCCAACCAGTCCATCCTCCGCTGTTTCTTTCTGGTTAAAGCCTGCCTGCAGTATAAAAGCAAACATTTATAATTTTTAGAATGAAATTTACAGTGTCAAGAGATGAGCTACCAAAGGTCTCCGTTCTTGAGTTTAATGGGGAGTTCGAACAGCTGGATAAGCTAAACATGGACATACAAGAAGACAGAATTGTTTTCAACACGTCTTTTATTAAAAGCGGGAAAAAATCTTCTTCAAATAATCTTATTCTACGAGCACATAATGGAGTAATAACGCCGCATGCCATGTGTACTGACCATATACTCTTTGATACTCCACCAAAGTACATAAATAACTGTAAAAGAGGATAAAAACAGAGAATAAATTAGATTGGTCAACCCTGATGATCACAGAATAGCGATATTAAGATATAACTAGGAGTTAAATCGAAATAGACATCATAATTCTTATTAATGCCATTTTTGGATACTAGTAACTGTATAGAAGGCATTTATACTGAAATTCATGGAAATTCTATACAATACTCATAAAATACGCGTATATGTTACACCCGAAATATTTTTAAATGTATTTAAGTGGTATTTAAGAATGTATTATGTGTAGTATTAAGAAAATAAATATTTCGAAATTTATTCTGTCGATGAAATATTTAAGAATCTGTTTTCTACTGTCTGAGAGAAATAACTGAAAATTGTAAAAATTTAAATGGAGCCAAGAGAGAGTGATATAGCCAAGTATAAGCGAGAGCTGGAAGGAATTGAGAGAATGAAAAACTATTATAGCAGAATATTCCCAGAGTGTGACGAGATTATAGATGCATTGAAAGAGCCACTTCCCAGCACATTCCGGGTTACTCCTGGGCCATGGTCGGACATTCTTCAACAAGAGCTTAAAGACTATAAGCTTATTAAAAAAATGCCGTGGGGAGATGGAATATACGAAATAAGCGGGCTATCAAGAAAGAATCTATCTAGCAGAGGAATACGAGAGAATGCAAATGGGTTAGATGAAATCGAGCTGCAGAAAACCCACATGTTTTTAAAGACGCATTCTGGGACATCTTCAATCACCAGGCAGGAGGCAGTTTCTATGCTTCCTGTGTTTGCGCTGGATGTAAAGTCTGATTCAATCGTACTGGACATGTGTGCATCCCCTGGGTCTAAATCATCGCAGATATTAGAAGTACTGGGAGAAGACAGCACTCTTATATGCAATGACGTTAACTCACGGCGAGTAGCCCAGTTGATCAAGCAGACTAAGAGATTTATGCATCCTGGTCTAGTTATAACATGCAATGATGCAACTGTGTATCCTCGGTGCGGAATTACACCAAACAGAATACTGTGCGATGTACCTTGCTCGGGGGACGGAACAATTCGAAAGAATCGGCATATTTTTCAAAAGTGGGGTGTGAAAGAGTTTATAGGCCTATATACTGTTCAGAAGAAAATCTTAAAGCGTGGGATAGACATGCTTGAAGAGGGTGGTGTTCTAGTTTACTCAACCTGTTCCTTAAACCCCGTGGAGAATGAAGTTGTGCTGCTGAGTGTTTTAGAAGAGCGGCCAGATGTGGAAATACTTCCATTTGATGTAGAAGGGTTAAATATGCGAGAAGGGCTAAGTGAAGAAAAAATCATGGCTGCAATAGAGTACCCAGAGCTTGAATCAAGAATACCCAAGTGCCAGTATAGAGAAGACATAAAAAACGCCAGAAGAATACTGCCGATGGATCAAAATACAGGAGGTTTCTTTATAGCAAAGATTCTGAAAAAAAGAAAGAATGGCAAGACATCACTGCACACAGTAGAGCCAACACCAGAAGTGATAGAAAGCAGAACCGGCGTGATCCGAGGAGAAAAGAACATTGATGAGTCATACTTCTACTGGCTGGACCCTGAAAGAAAGCGTGCCATAGAAGAGCAGTGGGGAGAAAACAGGCTGACACTAGTGGCAAAAACAGAATTTTTTAAAAACGTGTATGGTATAACTGACACTTCACTACAGGTTCTTATGCATGCCCCCCAAACACTTAGGATAGTATTTGCTGGGTGCAGGCTTTTCTCCGTCTTTGGCAGAGAGGACAAGGAGAATATTAAAAACAATCGATGGAGAATAACATATGAGGGAATAAAGAACCACACAATCCCAAAGGAAAAAATAATAAGTGTAAGCACAGAGAGACTGCTTGGTATTCTTTTAAAAAGAACAGATGAGGAAATCCAAACAAAGTACAAGAAGGGCATATTTGTTCTCACCGCGCGCGAGCCAATTATTCAGGTTACTGTTCCATTCACATTCAATCAGAATGAGATAGAAATACTTGTTGAAAAAGATCAGAAAGAAGCACTAATAGAAGCGCTAAAACTTATTTATAGAAGTGCATAAGCAACCACAGTGTTTAATAACAATAAATAATATATGAACAGCACAATATATTTAACCTGTATGAAGGAATACAGGCCAATTCTAATAAATATGAACAGAGCCTTTATTCGCCTATTCTGCACACATGCTGAAAGGTTGCATAATATTGGTAGTAGATAATGCATTTTGGTAGAACAATGTGTACAGAAACTTTTATGCAGGTGTTTGGGCAGGTATAATTAATACTGCCTGACTTCTCAATAGGTAGTGGATTGTTGAAAGGCTAGCAATAACATTTTCTGCATATATTTAGGTCTATTCATTTTCCTTTGTAATTTCGGGTTAATACGGTGTCTTGCTGTGTATGTTTAAAATCCTATTTAGACACTACAGAGATTATTCATTTACTTATTTACACATGCTCTGATAATTTATATAGAATAGGATTAATTTGAATTAATATACTCACACCATATTACTTGCCTTTGACAGCTGTATGCTATTTTTTGCTTTTTGTACTATGCGGACTCTGCATTGAAACCGGATTCCTTGATGGGTTTTCAGAAACAATAGACATCTTTGAAGCTTTAGTGCATGTGTTTAAGCTTCTTTTTTCATTAGTAGTATTTTTATGTCGATTGATAATTTCTTCTAGTTTATTGACCTTATCTGTTAGGTCTAGTATTCTTTTTTTATTTTTTGGGTTTTCGATTGAAAAAAAATCTCGCGCGTATTTTAAAATAGAATGGAATGTTTCAATTTCACATTTATCATATTTTTTTACATCCTTGTTTGTGCCATTACTAGAAAATAACATTTCGGTTAAACCCTGGCTTCTAAGAAAACTCTCGAATTCTTCACTCAATGTTCGTTTTCTGTGATTTATAGAATCTACAGGCACACTTCTTTCATTATTTTTGTGAATTATTGGGATATAGCTGTTTTTAATTTTTATGGGAGGTGCTATATCATCTTCACTAGCCGGCTTCAAATAAATACCATAAGTCTTGTTATGCGCCATTCCATATGTTGCACATACACTGCCATTAGAAAGATAATGCTTATGTGGCAGCTGATGAATCATACATAGATTCCAACGATCTATATACTCTTTAGGCGGCGGGGAAGTATATATTATATCCTCATTTAAATGACTATCATACGGTTTATCATATAATGGTTTATATATTATATCAGATAAAATATTAGAATCACCTTGTTTTAAATCCGGCATTTTTTCATTTTCTTTACTTTTTGTATTATGATGCTCATGTGTATCATTAGAGGATACCGCCGATGAGTCTATAAAAAGCAACTTCCTATCTTTATCATATGCTATTTTACCCTCAGAGTTACTCTTCTCATTATTTTCAGCTTTATCTTTCTGCATAGAAGATTCTTTCTTATTATTATTATATTTTTGACATTCCTGCATTTTTAACTCTTCTTCTTCATCTGCGATCTTTCGACGTCGAATTTCATCTATTACAAAAGAAGCTATATCGTCTATAGTGGGGTGGCTAGGCATCATATGGTTTAAATATTTTAACTTAAAACCACTTGATTCTGTTTCTGGTGCTACTTCTGATTTTAATTCTAGTTCTAATTCGGGTTTTGGTGTGATTAATTCTACACGGTTTTCAGTGTTTTGAAATTCTTTTATTAAATTTTCAACAAGGTATGGTTCTGGCGACCCTACTGCGAAGAACGACGATAAGACATACCTCCCTATGTACACAAAAAGATGTAGTGATATTGCAGTTGCTATAGGAATCATTCTTTTTGAACTCTTCGGATTGTTTGCCCAAATTGTTACTGCTAAAATAGCTAGTTCTATTGATAAAATTGTTTTCATAGTCTCAGAAATGCATGAAATGTCTATAAAAAACATTATTATAGAAACCATTCCCAAACATGATGCGACTGCTGCTTGTCTTTTCCTTGTGTTGATTATCTTTACTTCCATGCTTTTTTAATAATTATATCTTTATATACTTATTATTGGCGGGAACTTTTTGCAATCTGAAATCTTTATTTCAAATCAAAATCTTGCAATGTGTACCCATGGACCCACTGCTTTCAGAAGAGTCTCTGCATAGTTTTTTAAAAAGCGGTGATAAAGTATGCGTTACAGTCAAAGGAAACAGAGAAGTTGTTGGCACTATGGAACTAACAGACAAACACATGAATGTTCTTTTACGGGATGCAGTAGAAACAAGAACTCAATTGCCTTCAATGCTTAAAGGGAAAAAAAGACAAATTAAAAAAGTATTTACACGAACTCTTGGAAATGTATTCATTAGAGGAGAGACTGTAATTGCAATATCTGCAGAAGAATAGAAATATTTTCATGCGTATACACTCCGAAACATTTCTAGCACTAAAATCTGCTTGCTGTAATCTATTTATCAGTATGATATTTGATTGAAATATTTGCATTACTATAAAATATAAAAGGATGTGTATATTCGACTAATTGTTGCGTATTTGTTGGTGTTGCGTATTTGTTGGAATGGTAAGTGCATAGTCCAGCACACACAGAAAATTTAAATTAAATAATATTATAAAGTCTTCAGAAAGTATGGTTATGTACATGGTTTGTATTTTATTTTTAGTAAACCATCCGAGCATTCAGACAATTTATCTTATATATTCAACCAGTCTTTTAAACTGGTACTGGTCTAGAGTGGCAGTTTCTTTTGAGAGGTCAATTACTGCGTTCTCTAACTTGTTTATGAGGTCGTATGTTATAAGAGACATTGAGCCTTTCTTCTTTGCTGAGAAGCTTATTTTGCCTTGGAAGATTTTTATAACCACCTCTGCTGCTGCCTGTGAATCATTTACAGAGTTAATTATTGTTATAAAGTGTGTGTACGTCTTACTATTGTTGTTTCTTGTATATATATTATAATGTAATTGTGCATCACCATACTGTATCACTGTGGTTGTACTTGGCTGTGTATAATAGAATTCTACTCCAGCATACCCATCGCATGCGTATGGAATGTCCTTCCTATTTGGAAACGCTTGCTTTATTTTTGTACTAATAATTGTAGAGGTGGCCTCTCTTAATGATGGGCTATCACTTGGAAGATTGAACACAAGAGGTTTTAATGCAGATATTTTTGCTAAGACTGCAAGGAACAGCAGTGTAAATTGGATAAATTTCATATTCTATCAAATCCTTTCTTATAAATAGAAATCCGATGTTCTAGAGCAGACTATTTATTGATTAAATGTAATTAATATAAACACTAATTTATACCCAGAGCAGAAGAAACCTTGTGACATCTCTAATGCATTTTATATTTAAAGATCTTTCTGATTATACATCTGTGATAAAGTAGAAACTCTATCCAGAAATACATTAGAGTCACATTTGCAACCAGAAATTACAAAATATAATAATTTATTGTAATATCGCATCATGTAGTTTCTGTTTATCTAAACAATTCTACAAACCGCTTCTTAATTTCAACTGCAGCCGAGTCCCATATTTCACTTATGTCCTTTATCTTGTCCCGAAGCTTGACCAGCTGGTCCTCAAGAGTCGCACTAAATTGAATCCTTTTCTCAGTGAATTTTGAAATATTAAGTTCTTTGGAAGTAACACCTCGAACTATATTTCTTTTAAGAAATATTTCGTACTCTCTAAGAATTCTTGTAATGAGCTGGCTTGTGCTTATTCCTTCTGTTCTTTTTGTTTCTACAAAAATGCCCATCTCCTTTACTTCTTTATACACATCCTCATGGCCATCTGTTGCGTATGCATCTCCATCGTGCGCAACAAAGTCTATCTTGTTTTCTTCTAAAAACTCCCTTGTTATCACCCACGGTGCATCTTTAATTATCTCATCTACCCACCTACAGTGCCGTATTGACTCTACCCTTTCTTCCATTGTCATTACTGTCATTCCTTTGTGCTTGTGTGTGTCTGCATCTGAGCACACGCCCACTACTATGTGAGCAGATGGAAATTGTTTTCGTATCTGCTCAAGCATTCTCATATGCCCAATGTGGAATAGATCAAATATGCCATCCGAATATACTCTAACCTTTCCCTTTTTACTCCGGCCTTTTCTATTCATATAAGAGGAAAAATCAAATGTTTTAATTAGAGACTAATCAACTAATTATAAATGCAATTCTAGACTAAAACGCCGCGTACTTTTTCATTCCATAATAACAAAAGAAATCCCACACACAATACACTATTAAAACCCATAGAACAAACAATGCCAAGAAAAATTCATAATTATTGTTGATTTCTATCATATGATGAACCATACCTAATGTGGGAGCCTTGCGCCCACGCCTGCGAAGTCTTATAGAGCTGTCATAATTGGAAATTGAAGCTATATACGAGAATAATAAAAAATTGAATAAGTCTTAATAATGTGCAAGAGAGTGGCCAACTATTACTTAGACACATTTCAAAAAGAACTAAATAAAAGCGATGTTGGCTATAAAAATATCACAAAATAGCCATAATCTTAAAATACATGAGTGCACAAATATAATCTACATTATTCCAGAAATAATCCGAGAATACAGTAAATATTACTACATGTTCAGTATCTGCTGTAACTTTTCTTGTATTATGCCTTAATTTTTCTACAGACTTATAAATATTGTCTGTTTAATTTCTATTACAGAATTACTTTTCTATGCATAATTTCTTTTAATAATTTTATGCTCTCTACAATTTTATAGCAGTGCACTCTCTTTGCTCTATTTATTTATAATACTTATAACAATACATTGTACTTAAATTTTTGGTCATTTTAGTATGTTTTATAATTAATATTCAGTAGTTACGGTATAACCTATAAATAAGTCTTTATTAAGATTCTATTTGGCAAATGAATTATTTTACCTCCTGTGGGTTCATCTTCATAATTCCCTCGAAGTATCCCTTGCTTACTCTCTTCTCATATAATGCTCTCTTGGATGCTCTTCCCTTCTTTGGCTTAGGTTTGTCTGCCTTTGCTACTTTTGGTGTAGATCCTCTGACCTTTCCTGTTTTGTTCAATGATATTGCTTTTGCCATGGGATATGAAAAATAAAATTATTTTCTATTTTCTGTTCTGCAGATGAATTGCTTATTTTCCACTGAAATAAATAAATTGGTTGAGTGTTTAGAGGCAATGCAGACCACTGCGAGTATCAGTCAAGTAAAAACAGCAGAAAAAATAGCAAAGAAACTAGACTTGATATACAATGTAGCAATAAATGGGTTTGAGAAAGAAAACAGAAGAATATCTGAGGATATATACAAAATTACCACAAGGCTAATGGAAGAACTAGAAGAAAAAGAGCTGTTAATAAAAGAGTGTAAAGATATGTTAAGTGAAACAAAAGAAATGGAAATAGAGGAGATACTATCATACAGTAGAGTTTTAAGTAAGCACACAAAATGCCCATTGCTTTGGACTGAAGATATGGCATTAGACAGACTTCCAGCATACCCAACAGACAGTCTTATACAACAGTCATTATTAAGAATTAAACAAGTAATGGAATAGGCATTATATCATGGTATAAAATATTCATAACACTGCATGTTTAATACTAAAATGCCCATTATACTGTTCTATAAAAATAGCTGTTACAACAGATAAAGTTAAGAATAAATCTGTACTTACTTCTCATTTAAAGCTATAATATAATTTATAACAAGAAAGTAGTAAAGTACAATATTCTGGCAAATATTCTATTCTAACCAGAACAGCGAAATATCAAAAATAAGAATAATTCTAAATTATAGTAAGAATTGACTTAAAGGAGCAAATGCCTATTTATACTAGAATAAACTAAAATATTTTCTAAATAAATAGTACTGTTTCTAAGCATGAAATAATTCCAAAAATGCAAAAATTATTTTTAAGTCGTTTTGCTGTTTGAACTATTTCATTTTAGCGCCTATAATATATATTTGTTATGCCCTTAGAGATATTTTAGATTATTTGGGTTAATTTTATATTCAGGCTATTTGGTTGGTTCTTTTTAATTATTTAAATGTTTATGTACGCAATTTGATGGCATATGATACAACAGGGTGTTATGTGCAAAGGAAAATATCAGAAAAGCTTATATTGGTTATTGTATGTATGACAATAGCAATCATTGCACATCTTGCTTTTACAGTTATTGTTTACTTTGTGGATAAAAATAAGGATGTATCCAACTTAAAAACCGGAGTAGAGTTGGGCATTATTGTTCAGCATAATATAATTCTGATCTATGCACTTATCATTATACAAGGACTTCTTGAAAGAGATATTTTCCAGGTGTTTCTTGCTACATTTGTGACAACAGTTGTGAATGCTCTTTATGTGGCTGTATCATTTATGCTGAAATTTGAAGGACCACAAGTACTTTATATGTCAAATCTTTTTTTTATAGTTATATGTGGTATAATACTTCTTTATATAATATGTTTTACAGGCGAATTACAAGCTGATATTGGCTGGTTCTATTACAAATCATATGGACCAACCTATAATGTTCAAATGGCACTAGAAAAATCAACATATACATTCTTTAAGATTAATATTCAGTTATTTGTTTCCTCTATAATACGTAAATATTATTTAGTAGTTGACGTGGGATTTTTTTATATTGAAACAGCTCTATATGCAGCAATAATAATATTAAATATTTTAGAAAGAGCCTTCAAAGTGGTTAGCTTACTGATTAGACTGAGTATTATATCTATAACATGTGTTTTATTGGGTTATAATATCATTCAGTTATCTGATGATTCTATAATCAATAAAGATTATACTCTGTATAAAAATGATACTACAGATTATTATACATTATATGAACAAATGACACTGGGAGTGCAAGCTGCTATGTTAGGGGGGTATGTGTTTTTGCTAATTGTTCTTACATTAAATCAAACAATTGGCTGGGCAAGTAAAGAGGAAATAGACCAAAAAGGTAAAAAAAGAATATCCATTTAAAAATAAATATACATATTTTAACTTAATAAATAGGATGGCCTTAGCTGTTTTTTCCTTGAAGGCTTAGGCATACGAAAACTTGTTATTTATTGAAATACAAAAACTCTTATATAGTTTTATCCCCATCATTTGTGATAGCTGCATGTCTATCCCTATCGCAAATGGCACACACGCCATTTCTATTCTGGATTTCACTATCCAAAACCAACAGGTTTAATTATGTAAAGATTTGAGTATTATTGTACACAATATAAGTATGATTTATTAAAAATATAACCATGCATTCTTTACACAATATATTAATAAACTGCTTTTCGTTACAAATATAATACCCTACAACTTATCTGCTCTAAATGCATTAATATATAGGATATACGTTCAAGTAGGAAAATTTCATAGAACGCAAAAATGCTGTGTAATATGATTTTATATTCTTAAATACGCATAAATAATTATTGGTTACTGTGAATATTCTTTATAATTTTGTTCAGTTATTTTGAGAGTATTTTAATAGTTAAGTCTCTGTAAACAAAGCGCGCATACGGTTTAGTTTAATATAAACATCTGAAATTAGATAAGATATTTAGCGCGCGCTTCTTAAACAGATTCTTATATGAAGCAATAAATACGAGATATACTACAAATCATATCGTTGCTTTTTAAGAGACCGTATATAGCAGGTAGGAGGAAGAAAAGTGGCAACTTCTGATGGCCTATACTTTGGGGATGCATGATCTAATAAAGCCTCTCGAATTGCGTATACTACCCACAGTGCAACAAAAAACCCAAACAGATGAAGAACCCATTCTATTAGAAATCCTGCTATCTCTTTGTACAAATACAGCATAAAAAGAAAAAGACTAAAAATAATATATGCAAGTCGAAATGAGCAGTACGCACAGATGGCAATAAACAGAAGAACTGCATAAATAAAAAGATATTAAAATTTATTTATGAAAAATCCAGAGAACTTTCATCCTTCTGTAAGCAAGGAAACAAGGCCTCTTCCCATTCTTAGAGACATTCTTTATTGTACGGCGCTTGCAGGAAAGGCTTTGATACAAGACGAGTTTTCTTCGTGTTTTCAGCAGAAAGAAACAAAGGCAGAATTCACGGTTTCGTATGGCTGGAGTATGTTTTGTCGGTACAGCTTAATTTTGCCACTACGCCTGCCCGCCACACTAGTTATACTTTTGTTCTACTCCACTTTAATTATACTCTCACGGGTGGTCCTTAGAGGGATAGGAAGCAATCTTCTTCTTAAGTTAGCATGCAAAGGGCTACTTTGGGCAATGGGGGTGCAGGTAAAGCACTACGGAAACAAAAAAAAGCCAGACTATCCACATGTATACATAGCAAATCATACTACATATATGGACTATATAATTTTGAGCAGCCATCGTTTTGCACACTCTGTCATTGCACAGAGACAGGATGGATTTATGTCCATGCTTTTAAAACTGGTAAGTGGGTCAGTGCAGTTTGAAAGAAAGATAAAAGCAAATCGAAATGAGGTAAAAGAAGAGATTCGAAAGCTTGCGCAAAATGCATCAATAATTGTGTTTCCTGAGGGAACGTGTGTAAACAATGAATACACTGTTATGTTTCAAAAGGGGGCATTTGAGCTGGGAGTTCCTGTATGCCCAGTTGCAATAAAATATAATAAAAGTTTAGGAGACCCGTACTGGAACACAAAGAAGCAGTCATTCACCAAATATTTTATATATCTTATTACAAGATGGCGCACAGAGGTGTCTGTTTGGTGGCTGCCTCCTATGAAAGCAGAAGAGAATGAAAGTGCTGCGGAATTTGCAACGCGTGTCAAAAAGTTGATATCAGAGAAAGCAGGACTAAAAAATCTTGTGTGGAATGGATACTTGAAGCACTGTAAAAGTCCTGAAGAAATGAAAGAAATAAAGCGCTGGGGTGATCAACTAACACCTACTCTTCTACCAGAGGCGGCTAGAAAATCAAGTATAGATGGCTAGGTGTGTCGCAATGCATAAAACACACTAGTTAAATATATATGTAACTAGAAATATGTAATTGTAATGAAAATATCATAAATAGAAAATCACTATATTTATTTGCGTATAACTGAAGTGTATTTCTTAATAGAACAATAAATTGAATATTTTATTATAAGAGCCATAATACATTGGCAGTCTAGCAAGCTTCCAATTTACTGCACTCTAGAGTAGAAAAATGCAAGGAAGTGTGTTTTTCTGCTTGCATCCACTATAATGAATTTTAGAAATTCGGGTTATTTCAGATAAGCTGAGTATGCCATTAATTTTAACTACCTCCGATGGGAGATACTATTCATATAGCTTTGGATTATGTCCAATGTATGTGGAATCCATTGTGATTTTTGGATGTGCTGTGATTTGCGCGGTGGAGTGTTATTTCTGCGAGAAAGAGTAAATCTGCATGTGGGTATATTTATGTGTCCATGCATCTTTTAAATATAATAATTGCAAATAGCAGCCATTGCTATGAAAAAACAAAAAGCCTACAAATTTAAAGGTATGTATGTATCAAATATAAGCAATTCTAAAATATAAAAAATTAGAAGTATTCCTGTATTACCAGAGAACGGGCAGATATAAAGAAAAGAAGATGGGATGCGGCATGCATGTTGCATTGAATAATATAAGGGTATGTAAATTGTTACATATGTCATAGTAGGGCTTTTTGCATTTAGTAAATATCTGTAACGGTTACAGTTTTCTTTTATTTAGGTAGGCCTTCATAAAGATAGATGCAGCGGTGTGAAACATTTCTTTTTGAAACAGAAAAAGCACCAATACACTGCTATCAGTAATGAAAGTGAAATTGCCACCAATGAAATAGTGTTAGAAGATATATATAGTTGGACTAAGTTCTTTGCATGAAATGGTCAAGCTTTTTGAGGTTTCTAGGAATATCCTCAGGCGTTGGAGAGACTTATCCAGATGCAAACTACGTCGGGACTCTTGATAAAAAAGAAGTTACAATATACAACACATCGCAACCCACCTATCGTCTTATATATGATCACCATGTACAGGGCATTCGCTTTCTAAATCTTCAGGCAATAAAGAAAAACAAGCAGCACATTAATGCAATTATGGTTCTATCTAAGACCGGCGGGGGCGGAGACACATACAAAATACTTATTAAGCCAGGAGACCGCAGGGCCTCCCTTAAAAACAAAACGCAGAAACTTTTGTGTGTAGTTCGGAATGACTATAAAGTTACAGCCTGTAAGGCAGATAGCAGCCCGAGCGCATACACGATGGAATGGCAAATTAAGCCTTTTGTAAATGGGTACAAACTACAAGACAAAGACAGCCAGTATTGTTTGGTTAGAACAACAGACAATGGTATACTAACCATGGAGTCATGCAGCAAGTCTACGCCAGAGCATCGATTTGATATGCTAGAGGTTGCAGACGATCCGTACAAGCACCTATATCTATCAGGAAGTCAGCTGCTGGCGTATGAGATGCAGGGCTCTGGGGGAGGTGGTGGGTCTTTGCCGGAGTGGATGATGAATGGGCTGGCAGGAACTGGCAACAGCCACGGTCCACCTCCAGATGAGCAAGGCCACACCTGGCCGCACCAAAACGATGGGTATGGGAAGAATGGAAATCCAAATGATCCAAGCAGCATGAATTCACACTGGGGGCATAACAACAGACAGCCATGGAATGGCTCCAACACACCGACAAACGGGCTGTATGGCCCGGGGAATCAATACTGGCCTAATAAACCCGGTGCAAATGGGTATAATCCATACTGTCCGCCAACTGCAAACAACAATGGGAATGGTCCAGGGTTTAACAACGGAAATAATGGCTGGGGAGGCAACAATGGAAACCATAACAACGGATACGGCCCAGGGTCTAATAATGGAAACAATAATGGTCCATGGGGAGGTAATAATGGCAATGGCAATGGATACGGCCCAGGCTTTAATAATAACAATGGCTGGGCTGGAAATGGCAACCATAACCATGGAGGTAACGGCTGGGGAGGCAATAATGGAAGCAATAACAATGGATATGGTCCTGGGTTTAATAATGGAAACAATAATGGCCCATGGAGTGGAAACAATGGAAACAACGGCGGCTGGGGTGGAAACAATGGAAACAGCGGCGGCTGGGGTGGCAGCAATGGAAATAATGGCGGCTGGGGTGGAAACAATGGAAATAATGGGTATGGCCCTGGAGCTAGCAATGGAAACAATGGCCCGTGGAGAGGAAATCAGTTCCATAATAACATGATAGCTGCCATGAACAGAGGCAAGGGTGTGATTGATCTGCACGACCTTGGAAATAACATTGGAAAGCTCAAGGACATAGTGAAAACATTAAAATCCTTCTGCAATGAATCATTCAGCGAATTCGGTATATGCGCACCATCTAACAACATCTCAAGCATGAGCCCGAACGAGCTTCAAAAACTTATAAAGCAGCACATGGAACAGGCATATCAGAAACCCCCCAGTGAATATTCTCCAAACAATACCCACGCCCACAGAAACAATGCACCGCATGATGAATATTCTCGATACCATCAGCAAGATGGCATTAATTCACACCACCAAAGACATCCAATGCATCCTCATCGCTACAGGCATCCTAGGCACGATGAAAATATAGAAGAGCATGGGCCAAGGCACAGAAGGCATGCAGTCTACCGCCATACATCCCCCAGGCCAAAAAGGCCCTATATATCAGATGATAACCAAGACAGCGACTATGAAAATTGCGACTATGTAGATAAAACTATGAATAAGCATAGAAAACCCAGAATAAAGCATGATAAATACGGAAGAAAGCTGAAGTGCTACCCATTGCATGATTTAGATGAAGCCAGGCTGTCATCTCATCGGAATAGAAGGCGAATAACCCATGATGATCCCTACTATAGAGAGCACGATACAACAGAATACGATGAAGAATCTCCCTATAGAAAGAAGCATTTTGATGATCGGCAAAAAAGACACCAATCTTATGATTATTAGTCGCTTGATGGGCTGGACTAATCTTCTTTTTACATAATATTCTGCGTTGATTTCGGGTCAGTCGCCTTGCCTGCTGTCTTTATAATATCAAGTTGTATTTCTTCAATAAATTTATTATTTATTATAGTCCTGTGGTATATATTTTATTGATAACTGTTTGAGTTGTTTCTTTTTAATAATGCCTTTTTAGATATCTTAGCTGCATTTAGATACAGGTTATACCTACTGATACTATGTAATATATTTTAAATATTTTGAATATTTAAAGGCAGTTCATGTATTTAAATTAAATATGCATGGATATAGCTAGAAAGTGTAATGTCTGGATTTTTTGAGTATTTTGGGAGAAAGAGTAGTGTGTTTGTGGGATTTTGCGTGCCTTCTTGTTTGAGAGTGTGTGTCATAATTGGCCTAAGACATGAAACATGTTTTTACAAATACCATTACAAACATTTGGAAGTATAACTCAAACATGAAAGATAAGCTAAATCGAGTAAAAATATTCTCTTGTGCGCTATTTGTACTCACTCAGGCGGCAGCCAACTTAGAGCACATTATGATTGAGCCTGCTATATACGAAAAAGACATGTACATATCTGCAGATGAATTTAAGCTGGAAAAATACCGGCAGGATGAAAGGCCCAAAGTAGATAATACTGGCGCAATTGCACCAGAAGTAAACTATCCGATTGATATTGACACAATGGTGTTTAATATGGAAAATATGTCGAAGGTATACGTGAATCGGCAAAAAGAAAAAAAGGAGCAGCAGGTGTTTATATTTAAAAACACAGACAATAAGTACATGACAGGCATCAAAGATCAGTTCATCACAATGGCAGGAAAATTGGAAAAGACCCCTGATGCACAGCTCTGGCATTTGATTTTTTTAAAGAATGACAACCATTACATGTTTATGTCCATGAGCCATCAAAACATGTGCTTGACAATAGTTCCCATGCAGGCCACCACCAACCCGAACATGCCTCCCAGCACGCTGCTAGGATCAAATTTAAAACTTACTAAATGTAATTCCGAAGCGATTGAGCAGAGGTACATCATAAAAAAAATACATCCGGCAAAGGATGAGGTTGCAGAGCTTGATGAGTTAAATGAATCAAGCGTAGCAGGCGATGCAAATGGGCAGAACTCAACTTCTCAAATCCGTGCTAATCGAAACCTAGCAATGATTACTGAAATGCTTCGCGCAATGAGTCAGTCTTTAATACACATTCAAGAAAAGCTTTTTGGATACCCGCCTAGTGAGATCCGGCCTCTTATCGGGGATGGCCCAAACCAGGCAGTTCCGGATGCTACTAACCCTGTATATTCGCAGAATCCGCCACCATACACTTTAACTAATACGAATGCACCGCCCCCGCCATATAGCACACAGCCGGCGCCATACTATCCTGCGGGGCTTAATGGCTCTCCTCCAAGGTACAGTAGCCAGATTTCTTCATACAATCCAGGCGGCCGCAATAGTACTCCACCCCCACTGTATACATCTAGCCCACTTTACAATCCACCCAGCGGAATGGGCAGCAATTCTTTTAACTACAACCCAAGTGCACTGTCTGGCTCCCCTTTGAATCAGCAGTCTTCTCTAGTCCCATCTAAACCTGTCAGTATATATCCAGACAACCCTGGACCAAACAACCCAACATTGCAAAGAACCCCGAAATATTCTTCTAATCTACGCATATAAATAGCATAAAGTATTTAGATATTCTACTTTATTATAAACAACTAGATATATCCATTGTAGAGACAAGTAATAACCCCGAAGTTTGTGCTATCATGCGTTGTATACTGATTGAAAGTTAATAAATGTTATTGCACAGTTTTGCTTAAGTATATCCAGAAATCTAAATGTTTTCTATTTTTAACACATAAAGGGCATAGCAGCTGCTCTTAAAAAATAATTAGTTGGATTTATTATTTATTCGTGTCTTTGAATTTGCAAACAGTTTGTTGATATATGGTATGAGTAGCTCATTTGTTGGGTGTCTTGCTGATGCCATGTAATTATTTTATATAGTTCATAATACATTCTCCCTGCTTCTAGTGCATTTTGTATAGAAATAATAGTGATGTATTTAATAGTTTACCTTTAATTATCTAATTATATCTTATTTTGTACTCTTGTATAATGAATATTGTAAAATAAAAATGAACATGTTCATATTTTTATTGTAATATAAAATTGAAGGGATTGGTTTCTAATTTAAAAAACAAAGGAATAATAGAAAAGAATAGAGGAATAATTCAAATTTTATAGAATAGAAAAGAGAAAAGGCGACTCAATAAACACAGCACACACAATATAATGTATAGAAAGCTATAAAATATGGCAGGCAGAAAGTTTATTTAAAAACCTATTTAAATGCAAATGTTAGATATCACATATAATAGAACATTCTGTTTTATAGCATAGAGACAAATACATTATTTAATAACACATAACTAACACGGGTTCTATTTATAATGGACCATTTATTGCATATATCTAACAATTCTACCGGGTGACTTAAAAACAGGTATTTATACCAGAATTTACTGTATAAAGAATTCTGATAGTGCGCTTTACTCTTTTACAGATGCATGACCAATGATTGCTCACAATGGGCAGTGTTTCAACTGGAAGCCTCTAAAGCGTTTCAACTTATTTTATCTGATATATGCTTACCCGATTTGGCAAGGTGATTCTACAGATGTTACACTCTATAACCCCAGAAGAGAGAATAGAGAACATAAATATATGGAGGTATTCTGCGCCCAATAGACTGCTTAGCTGGCAGACATATGGCGGAACAGGAGTCTTTAAAATAGGCACAGATGACAGCGACAATCCGCTGTGCAGCTTTCAAATTAGATATTTCCCGCAGCCACAGGAGAACCCGGTTAAAAACGCGCTGCCTGTGAATATTTGGACGCGCGGGCGGCAGTCACTAGGACTATGCGGGCTTACTATTCAATCTATTCTGTACAAAAATACTTCTAACTGTACTGACCAGTGGATTTTTGCACAGAGGCCTTTAGGTGGCTTTTATATTAAGCCATACAATGACCAAACACTGTGTATAAATAATTTTGATGACAGCCAGATTAGAGTAGAAACATGTCGGCCCGACTTTCCAACCATGGCTTTTATGTATGGAACACCATCAATGCGCACGCGGTTCTTGTTTTTGAATAAGTTGTTGAATATGAATATTGATGACGACTCAAAGCTTAAAGAAGATATAAATCGTATTATTTCAACTGGCGCATATATGTATGAGCCGGATTCAATAGAAACTATATTTAGCCATAAAGACTTTCCAATCCATGGTATAAATGAACAGGCACTGGTCAGTACACTATCCCCATTCGCGCGTGCAATTAAAGAGGAAAACCCATCAGCAGTACAAAATACTTCAATAGAACAATCAACTAGTCTTGTCTTAAACTCTACCATCGATAAAAAAGAAGTGGTACCGCAAGAGCCTGTAAGTAGAATGGCCCTGCCGCCTCCTGTGACGCCAGTAGCCATGCATTCGCCCTATCCACCAAGGCATTTATTAGGACCGCATGGTGGAATAAGGCTATCTAATGCTTTATATGAGGCTCGTGATCTTCTTAGAGAAAGAAGCCCATATTTCTCATTGAGAAGAACTTTAAATAAGTTCGATTAATGAACAGCACCAGCACCTCTATTTAAAAACATAAAATAACAGAATGAAATTATTTGGAATCGTCTACTGTAAATATAAACTTCACTCTAAAATAGTATTTGGCATGTTTTGCAGCCTTAGCTCTACATAGTAAAGAAGATGGGATGTCTAGGTACATATAAGAATAAAGCTTAGTTTAATTAATGATACTGTAGAAATAATAGAAAAAGTAGTAAACTGTAGCCAATAATTATTTTATTGGTTGTAAAATATAAATAAAGCTACAAAGCGAATATTTTGGTAATATTAATTTATTTTTATACTTAGTATAATAATAATCAAAGCTGTTTTAATTACCTATTGTTATGTGCTAAGTACAGTGCAGCTCCAGCAATTATCATGCTTGGTAGAGATGCCATTGAAGATGGTTTTCCTGAAGCGCTATGGATATTATTGCAAGGATTGCTACTATCTTCAGTTATTTTGGGAGTTTCGGGCATGAACTTGGTGCTAAAATCTTCTTTCTGGGGCTTGTTTGTTGGTTTTCCCTTAGGAGAGTCTTCTGTTTTGCGGTTCAGTTGTGTTTTGCCATCAGATGTTTTGGATAGCACAGTTTTATTATTCGGAGAATCTGCACTTATTGCAATTGGTGGGGTTTCAGCAGGGGCAGTAGGCTTACTTTCATTTGAATTAGTGAAAGGAGGGCGTGCTGATGTTCTTGTTGCCTCTGTAGTGGCGGGTGTTGGTGCTTTTTCTGGTGCCATAGTAGGAGCATCTTTTGGTTTAGTGGGTGCCTCCGATGATTTAGAAGTGGTGCGGGCTTCTTGAGAGCTGCCGCTTTCGTGCTTATTTTCATTTAAAGAAGGATTTAGAGCAGGTGTTGGCAGAGTATTCTTTTGTATAGTAAGCGTTTTTTCTGGTATAGCAGGATCTGCACTGCTGGCTTTTTTCAGAGTATCTTCATTTGAAGAGATTGCAGGTGTTTGGGAGGGCACTTTGTTTTTCTGCGATGTAGAAGAGCCTGAAGTGGCTGTGGCGGGCGGCTGCTTATTACTGTCTTCTTGAGTGGAAGGTTTATTTTCGTGTATTTTTGCAGGTGCGCCGCGTGTATTGCTTTCTTCTTGATTATTAATAGCCAAAGTAGGAGATTGTATGGGTGTTTTTGAAGTGTCTTTTAGTTCTGGTTTAGTAGAAGCGGGTGGGAGTGCGGGCTTTTCTTCTGAGATATCAATCGCATAGTTATTTTCTTGTTCAGTTTTTTTTGTGGCTGATTCTTCAGGAGTTTTGATTGGAGTTTTTTGTGTATTATCATGACTTTTATCATTATTTTCATTATCTCCAGAGCCATCCGTTACATTTTGAGGTGCTGTTTCGCTGTTAGTACCTTCTGCTGGTTTTTGAGGTGCTGTTTCGCTGTTATTGTCTTCAGGCTTAGTGTGTGTAGACCCCTCATTTTCATCATCCCCTGAGCCATCCGTTACATTTTGTGGCGCTGTTTCGCTGTTATTGTCTTCTGCTGGGTTTTGAGGTGCTGTTTCGTTGTTATTGTCTTCTGCTGGGTTTTGAGATGCTGTTTCGTTGTTATTGTCTTCTGTTGGTTTTTGAGGTACTGTTTCGCTGTTATTGTCTTCAGGTGTAGTGTGTGTAGACCCCTCATTTTCATCATCCCCTGAGCCATCTGTTGCATTTTGTGGTACTGTTTCGCTGTTATTCCCTTCTGCTGGGTTTTGAGGTGCTGTTTCATTATTATTGCCTTCTTCTGGTTTTTGAGGCGCTGTTTCGCTGTTATTGTCTTCTGTTGGATTTTGTGGTACTGTTTCGCTGTTATTGTCTTCTGCTGGGTTTTGAGATGCTGTTTCGTTGTTATTGTCTTCTGCTGGGTTTTGAGATGCTGTTTCGTTGTTATTGTCTTCAGGTGTAGTGTGTGTAGACCCCTCATTTTCATCATCCCCTGAGCCATCCGTTGGATTTTGTGGTGCTGTTTCGCTGTTATTGTCTTCTGCTGGGTTTTGAGATGCTGTTTCATTATTATTTTCTTCGGATATAGTGTGTGTAGACCCCTCATTTTCATTATCGCCTGAGCCATCCGTTACATTTTGAGGTACTGTTTCGTTGTTATTGTCTTCTGTTGGTTTTTGAGGTACTGTTTCGCTGTTATTGTCTTCGGGTATAGTGTGTGTAGACACCTCATTTTCATCATCCCCTGAGCCATCCGCTACATTTTGAGGTGCTGTTTCGCTATTATTGCCTTCTGCTGGTTTTTGAGGTGCTGTTTCGCTGTTATTGTCTTCTGTTGGATTTTGTGGTGCTGTTTCGCTGTTATTGCCTTCAGGCTTAGTGTGTGTAGACCCCTCATTTTCATTATCTCCTGAGCCATCTGTTGGTTTTTGTGGTACTGTTTCGCTGTTATTGTCTTCAGGCTTAGTGTGTGTAGACCCCTCATTTTCATTATCTCCTGAGCCATCTGTTGGATTTTGTGGTGCTGTTTCGCTGTTATTGTCTTCGGGTGTAGTGTGTGTAGACCCCTCATTTTCATTATCTCCTGAGCCATCTGTTGGATTTTGTGGTGTTGTTTCGCTGTTATTGCCTTCTTCTGGTTTTTGTGGTGCTGTTTCGTTGTTATTGTCTTCTTCTGGTTTTTGTGGTGCTGTTTCGCTGTTATTGTCTTCTGTTGGATTTTGTGGTGCTGTTTCATTATTATTTTCTTCGGGTGTAGTGTGTGTAGACCCCTCATTTTCATCATCCCCTGAGCCATCCGCTACATTTTGAGGTGCTGTTTCGCTGTTATTGCCTTCTGCTGGTGAATCTTCTGGATTGGCCGCAGCAGGTGAATTAGAGCTGGGATCTTCTGGGGCAGGATTTTCTGGAATAGCAGTTTCGTTTTTTTTTGAATCTGCTGGATCTTCGCTATTTGAACTTGCAGACGAACTACTAGGATTAGCGGGAGTTATTACCAGATCCCTATTGGCTATATTGTTATAATTCTTCTGTAAGTCTGCTATTATGTCGTTTGTATTTACTATTTTTGGATTATTTTCAAAAATATTGTATGGGCTATTTTGATTCCTGGTTAGCTCATTAATTCTATTTAAACTCACTACACTTTGTTCCATGGCAGTTTGAAGAGACTCCTCTAATGAATTTAAAGAATTAACACATTTTTTGGATATATCATTAAAAATTTCATCATAATTTTCTGAGTTAACTATTTCTTTAGCCATTTTATGTAAATAATTATCTATATCTGATGATAGATCGCTTACTATATTTATATATATATTACTTATTGCTTTAAAGTCACTTATTAATTTTTTATGACTGTTAATACAGGTGTCTAAATTATTAGGATCAAATGACTGTAAACTATTTAATAAGTTTGCCGATTTCTCTAAAAGGCTATCAATATTAGTATTTAAAGGGCTGTTATGATCTTCATTTATACTCATAGTACTGCCAATTTCTTTTAAAATAATAGCAGTATTTGAAATTAATTCTCCCATATTTAATATAATTCCTTTTGTATATCGCATTTTTTCTATGTCTTGCGGGAACATTTCCAGTATTTTATTATATTCTATTTGTTTGTTAGCTAAGGAGGCTGGTTTATAATGCTCTGATAAATAGTCTACAAAATCTTTTTCTACATTTAGATTCTCTATAGCATAGTAGCCATTATCTATTTCATTTGAATAATATTTAATTATCTCTGTTATTGGCCGGATAAAATTATTTTTAAAATGATTATAGACTCCCTTGAGGGTGCTTGTATTTTCATCCAACTTGGCTGCCATAAGTTTACTTCTTCCGATTATAACTTTATTTTTAAACTCCGAAATCATATGCTTAGCGTCTACTATTTCTTTTTTAATATTTTGTAGCGTAATTGTATTTTTTATTTCTGGTTTGCCATATATTATATTCATAATACTATAAAGAAAGTTTTCGGATTGTATATATGAACCTAGTGAGTAATTCCATATATTAGTAGATTTACTATTCTGTATACTAGATTTATGGCTAGTTGGGCTATTTATCGGATTTTTTTCAAAAGTAGTTTTAGAAAGACTATTTTGACTGCTAGCATAGGTATCTGGGTTATTTATTGGCGTGTTCGGTGCAGGGTGCTCAAGATTTATATTTTGCTGGTCATCTCTTAAATTTCTACTGGCTGCACTGTACATATTGCTAGAGCCTATCGGGCTATTCTCAATTGTTCCAGGCTTATGTAAAAGCGCGGGCTGCTGGCCTGGATTGTTTAAGTTGTTTTGTGTGGTTGGTAGTCCATTAGTTAAAAGACCCATAAACGGGAGTGCTAATGTAGCTGTCATAGATATATTTTCAAATATTTTCATAAAATTAATTTTATTCTTAGGCTTATATCCATGTTTTAATCTCTAAATCTTTTTCTTCTATTGATTTTTTAAATACAGATTTTTAATATTTTTATGTAAGCTTTACTATTATTAAAGAAATATTCCCCAAATATAGGAATTCATTAAAATTATATTCTTAGAAGCAGAAATTATCTAATTAAACATTAAATATTTAGAATATTAAAATTATTCATATATAACACATCACAATACAATTTTTGTTGGCTTTTTTCATTCTATTAGTTTATTGGAGTGGCTGTTTTTTTCTTGAAGGCTTAGAAATACGAAAACTTGTTGTTTATTTAATCCGCGCCGTCCTTATATAGACGACTTGCGAGTATAAAAGCGGCCACTTATTCTTTTGACACTTCAATACAATCTTTTTGGTTGCTATTCAGGGTCTGAATATCCAAAACCAACAGAAGTTATATATTGCTGCTTTAGTACTTTATGTTATTTCTTGTCTTCTCTTTATGCTCTATTCTACTTTCTTATGTTCTATTCTCTTTATATATTTAATACTATTCTTACAATATTAATAATAGTTATTTCCTAATATTTAGAATAGCTAACTAATTATTTCTATAATATACTATTAGGGTATATTTACAGGCATATTTTGAAATAACAAGATATTAAGAAGCTTTATTTATAATTGGATGTATATAACTGTACACTTTTTATTTAGTCTCTTTTACACAGAGCTAGGAGATAGAGGCACACTTCCAGTTAAAGAATCTTTTTTTATGTCCTAACTTTCGTAGCTGTTTTTGTATGGTTGATCTGCTTATGCCCATCTGAGATGCAAGCACATCGCATGTGGCAGAAGGATTATCTTTAACTAATTCTTCTAGCTTTTGCAGATTAACCTTGGACGGCCGTCCCGACCTGCTTTTGTCAGATAAAGAAATGTCTCCTGTTGAAAATTTAGAAAACCATCTTTTAACCGTAGAGCAGGTTATTATCTGTTCTGGTTGAGATATATTGATATTTTTAGTGGCTTCTATTGGTGTTCTTCCACATCTAAATTCATAAAGAAGTAAGGACCTCAATGCTTCTTTCTTCATATAAGACAGATAAACGAATGGATTATTTATTTTACTATAATTATATGCAGCGAGTCTTATTTAATGAGCTTCTTATAACTAAAATAAAAATCCACATATTTTACAACTATTTTATAACATATAAAGGCCTATATAATTTAAGGCATAGGCCGTACATGACGAGAGCTACTGGAGCGAGTGGTGGTTGTTATGGTTGTTTTTCCTGGGTTATTAGGATCAGTAGAAGTTATCTCTTCAGTGGTTGTTTTTGGCTCAGAAGATGAATACTCTACACTTTCTGCTGGCTGAGAGGAGGGCTGCTCACCACTTGTTGCTGGCTGAGAAGATGGTGATGATCCAGAACCTGGGGCTGGGTTGGACTGCTGTTCTGGCTGGGCGGAATTTTGCGATGAATTATTAGACTCGCTTGGATTGTATTGTGATGATGGCGAGGATTGCCACCCACCAGAAGAAGGAGATGACTGCTGCCCGCCAGAAGAAGGAGATGACTGTTGCCTGCCAGAAGAAGGAGATGACTGCTGCCCACCAGAAGAAGGAGATGACTGTTGCCCACCAGAAGAAGGAGATGATTGTTGCCTGCCAAAAGAGGGCGATGATTGTTGCCCGCCAGAAGAGTTTTGTTGTTGATGCGGAGGGTTTGGAACGTGTAGATTTTCTGGCTTTTCATTTGGATTAGGCTGCTGGTTTTTTCCACAGTTCTCTTCGCAGTACTTGCTATTAACAAGTATATACTCCCCATTTGAAGGGTCTGGAATAGAACGGGTACATGGTGCGCACCCTCTAAAGTAATATGGCGATATTCCCTTTTGAATATAGATAGGATCTGAGTTTTTGTCATCATTATCCTTTTTATACATTTTAAAAAGCTGCTTTGTAATCACTCGGCTATTTTCACTCCAGCACAGCGACAGTGTCAATAATTGTTTTCTATTTGGGGTTAGACAAAGTCCGGTAGAGGATATTATTCTGAAATATCCAGGGAAGTTTTTAGCAAGTAGTATTGTAAAATACTGAAGCGGATTTCTCTCGTCATATGGAAGCTTAGTAAGCATTCCCAGCGGTGTCATGGAGAGGACTTGTTCTGATGAATTGCCTGCTTTTTTGTCACCGGCCAATTTAGCAGGAGTTACTTTTAAATTATATACAGGAACCATTTTTATCGGCTGGAATATCGTTATTCCTAGCTTTATGTCATTATCTCTTCCTATCACAATAAGATTCCCCATAGGAACTCCTTCAAATATTTTGGGTGTTGATACAAATCCATATGATCCGTAGTTATATAAAAGTCCTTGAGTAGGCAGGCCAGTTGATTCATATGTACGGGGCAGTGCTATAGCAAGTGATTCGTATAAGAAAAAAAGTAGTAGTGGCAGTGTGCTAGTACGCATGCGTGTTTTGATTTATGATTCACTATGTATAAAATCATATGAATGCTTAAACAATGTTTCATAATGATCATATCAAACAATGTAAGACCGGTATAAATGGCCTATGCCAAAGACCAAAGCGTTTAATACAAGTTATTTATTTAATTTTGGCCATCTAATTCGCCCAAATTATCTGTGATCGAATGTAAATTTTATATAATATAGAGACTAGCTGCATAGCGGGTAATCACCATAAACGAATCATGTTATTTTCCTCTTTGTATGGAACCCAGATAAAAGTACACATTTGTGGGTTTTCATTGCATTTCAATTCAGATACAAACTTGGCATGTGATTCCTTTCCTGGTACAGATACAAATTCCTGGTCTAATTCAGATTGCAATGCAAATTCTTGGTACTTATTTATTTGGCGATTAAGAGAAAGCAAATCAACAGCTTTTCCTATGACGCCTTTCTCCTTTTTGCCTCTTAATCTGTAGTTTTTGTATCTAGAACTTACTCCCAGTATCTTAAATGACTTACTAAGCAAAGGCCCTGGGCCTACTGAAACCTCGTGGTTGTTGTTTTGCAGTCCTGGAACAGATTCTGCCTTTGGGGTGTTTTCTATATTATATGTATTAACAAACTCTTTTGCAATATTTTTGTTATTCACAAGAAAAACAACAGGACTGCTCTGGTCTTCTTCTTTATGGTAGATAGAAAACATAACTTTTTCATAATCACTACCTACACCAAACAAAGGATCATATCCAATCTCTTTCTTTTTGATTCCCAGCGGGGCTTTTAAAAATGGGACATACAAATACCCCATGTGATTTTCTCCTGGATAAACTAGGCTTTCGTCATTGGGATACGGTGGCTTTTCCTTTCCTTCATTCATTATATCTATAGACTCTTTACGCAAATCAGTGATATTTGCAACTGCGTTACGAAAGGATGAGTCATCTTGTAGAGGAGATGGGTGAAAGTTTGATCTTCTAAAATCCCAAGATAAAAAGTCTGAATGTCTCGCGCTTACAGTATATAATATACTTAAAAAAGCATATAGCTTGTAGCGCATGTTCATACAAACTTGCTTCTTGCTATACATATAGCTTTATGTGTAACTGTGCTTCGTATTTATGCTATTTCTATTATTTAGATCTATCTATTATGCTGGTCTTTTTCTGATTAATAGGTCAAAGAAATTCAGCCAGAAATTAGTCCATAGAACAACAGAGTGGGATGAAACAGCGTATTTGGGCAATTCATTTTTTAATTTCAAACAAAAGAAAAAACAGCCGATTGTATTCATTTAGATAGAAGTGTCTAATATATACTTGAAAATTTATGAGTAAATCTAGTATTTTTACATGATATTGTACACCAAAAAGAATATATACATGCTCTGGTATTGTACAATAGACGGCATGCAGAAATAATACAGCAGAAATAATATTTGAATACTATTATGATGGTTCTGAATGATTTTTATTGGATTTGAAACTGTGTATATTCCAAATTTATGGGGCCACTAGGATTATTCGGGTTAGTATAGTTGATTTCTTTTTGTTAAACAGTTTCTATTTAAATTGAGTTTTTCCCCATACTTAAGCAAGTAATAGATTATAGCTAAAGACAAATCTTTAGCTTACTGTTTGTTTCTGGCTATAGCTTAAATAAATCAATATTTTATACCATATGAAGCCTAAATAAAAAATCAGTAAGCACGTATAGTTCTCTTCTAATATACTTAGTCTATAGATTCAGAGTTTTGTATGAAACTTTTTAGGCCGGTCTATTTAGGCCTATGCTAGTAGGCGGATTGGGTGTTTTTGGAATGCCAGGCATACATAGCAATTATTTCTGAAATACAATTCTTTTGGTCTTTAAATTTCAGAATATTTGGTATTAGACCATCACTAATAAAAAACAAAAAGAAATGAGTTCAAACAAATTTAGTTTTGCATGAAAAGATTGCATTCCAAAGAAGAAAGATCTATTTAAATCGCATGTAAACCAAACAATGTAACATGCGGCAGTTATATAGCAAAACAATCTATCTAGTATGACACTATTGGCAGCAATCATTATAGGAATAGCTCTTAACGCCGTTTTGCATTCAGAAAGCTTGATAGTGCGAGCAAGAATACAATATATGCAAATGTATGACTCTAGATATGACAAAGGCGGTTATTACAGGCCATATGACAGAGGTATTTATTACAGGCCATATGACAGAGGCGGTTATTACAGGCCATATGACAGAGGCGTTTATTACAAGCCACAAGAGCCAAGTTCGTACAATCACTACTATTCTAGATATAACGAAGAAAGACCGCCTGATTATGGAGTTTCACATAAAACAAAAGCACCAAAAATGCATGACTGCAGAAAAATTAACTTCTACAGTAAAAAGATTAATGCTGGGTATCTTTATAATGTAGGTACAAAGCGGTTTATAGGCACGGATGACAAGAAATATTGGGTGTCTGCGGTGGATATACATTCGAAACCTCTTCCTATTGCAATTGTTGCATCGTTTGGAGATGGTGTAGGAGTCTACACTGAAATTCTTTCTGTGGATAGTGTGGAAAGCCCGAATCTTGGAAATAAAACAAGCACCGGATATTATGAGAATGTAAAGAGAATCGATGTAGGTGGAGGAAAAAACAATAAATCCTGTTATTTACATGACCGTAGCTCTACCTATAATAGATTTTCAATAACCCCTCCTTATTACAAAGGAGGCTCAGAATTTAAAATACTAAAATCTCCAAACTGTTTGGGCGTGACCACAGACAACTCTTTAATCGAGATGCCTTGTGTAGATGATACTACTGAAGGCGAGGGCACCGAAGAGAATGACCGACAACTTTTCAAATTTTGTAGAACCATTTCTTCTGATATTTCTAAATGTTAATTTTTGTCTAGGTATGGATTTCACGCAATTCACTAATGATTCTAGTGTATACGCGCCTGCTATAACATAAAATGTATATGTGTTACATTTCTGACTAGCCAGAAAGCACTGCATTTTATTTCTATATTCCTAGGCAACTTGTCTTTTTTCTAGCACTAATGTCTTTTTGTTGGTAAGTTCTTTTTGTGAGATTGGGCGATTAAATTAAGTTTTTGCCTATTTGTAATATATGCACATGTTTATTAAATGTGGAGTACGCATAGATTTATTAAAATATGTAAAGCATAAATAATATTTTATTTTTAATAAATCATGCATAGTTCACACAAAATATAAAATTATTTAATCTTTATACATTATGTTAAAATCTACTTTTGGGTTATATTTTGGATTCTTATATATAATATGCTAAAATACTAAAATTTTTGTGAAGTTTGTTAGTTTCTATCGTATGAGAGGAACCATATTCCATGTGGGAGCCTCACGCCCACATCCGCGAAGTCTTATAGAGTTGCATAATTGGAAATTGAAACTATATAAGATAAGAATAATAAAAATTGGCATGAGTTTTAATAATGTTCAAGGGAGTAACCAACTAAGTTGTTTCTTAGATGGAATCAAGCTTACTAAACTGGTGGTCAAATATATTTTAGAAATTACTATAACTGTTTTTATATAAAATGCCAGGTGATAGCATTTATTAAAAACATGACTCTTTAGTGGATTTATTGTTTTTCTATTTAAATATATTACAAATCATGCAGAAGTTTGTGTTTTATGCACAATAAAATATAGCCAGCACAATTTTGGATTATATTATGTTGTTTTCTATCTAGATATACATACACCCTTTCTATTGATTCTTTTTATGTTTTGTAATGGATAAATTATTTTATTTTTAATATATTCATGTTGTCTTTACATGCTTTTGCACTATTAATATTTTAACTGTGCTTTACTTATTAACACATATAGTGCATTTAATGGTTTATGGTGTTTTATTATTCACCATGTGCAATTATTGCATGATGTCGTTTGAAAGCAAAACACACCTTTTCCCACGTGGAGTGATCAAACATTGTATCATATGATGTTTATATAGCAGAATGATCTCCTCAATATGGCAAAGTTAGTAAAAATATTTATATCTGCATTTTCTATTATTTGCATAGCATCCAGAAACTTTCTTGTAATGGCTGTTGGTACTCGAGAGGAAAGGTTCTATAGCTCAGAGGGCGGCAATCGAGGACCTAGGCACGAGCCACAAAATCCATCCCCAAGCAGCAACACCAACGCAGGGCAGCCAAACTATAGCTCTTCAAACACATCACCTGCTCCAGCAAAACCAGAGCCTAAGACAATTAATTTCTACACGAATAAAAATAATGTAGGGTTTCTTTACAACGTAGGCGCCAAGAAGTTCATAGGAACTGATGCTCATAGATACTGGCTAAAGGCAGTAGATGAGGCATCTTCCCCTCTTCCCATTGAAATTGTGGTGTCTTATGGAAATGGAATAGGAACATATACAGAAATCATCTCAGTAGACAGCGTAAAGTCGCCTAATGAAGGCAAAAGAGCCAATACGGACTTCCATTCAGACGTAAAGAGATTCGATGTAGGTGGAGGAAAAAACAAAAAAACCTGTTATTTATATGGTCACACCTCTACCTATAATAGATTTTCAATAACCCCTCCTTATTACAAAGGAGATAGTGCATTTAAAATATTAAGATCTTCCTTTTGTTTGGGCGTGACCTCAGACAACTCTTTAATGGAGTTGCCTTGTGTAGATGATACTACTGAAGGAGAGGGCACGGAAGAGAATGATCGACAGCTTTTTAAGTTCTGCCGCCAAAACTCTGCAGATAAATGCTATTACTAACTAAACAGTGTATATTAAACATCTGGCACCACTTATCAGTGTCTAGACATCAGCTATCTCCTAGGCACAATATTACATTATGTGATACTAAACAATTCATTTTATGCGCATTCTTTTACTTGGATGCACAATAGAAGAAATCTTCTTAATAATAATTAAAGCATTACTTTTCTTAAGCAACTTATTTCTTTTTTCACTTCACTTAATTTATTGCAATTATGTGCATATAGCATTCTAGATTTTTTAACTGGCCCACGACTTGCCCGGTGCTTTATTTTCCAGCTAAGCCAAGTTATATACTTTCCTTGCTTTATTTTTTTATTTAGTCTATTATGAGTATAGCACCAATTATATTTTTATTAAGTTGCTAGTATTCTATTTCCTTAGTACTCATCAAACTATATGCATCTTTAAGAGTTTCTATGGCAGGATCTAAGCGAGCCAATAGTCATGCATAACATAAAATACCTCAGAGCCGTCCAAAATTAAAACATGTGTTACATATACTTGCTGTGTTTTATAGTATGCTGTCTACATTGGGCCAATTTGATACGTATAAATAAATAAGAAGAGACTAGTTTCTAGCCTAATGATCAAATTTGTAAAGGTTGCAGGCATATCATCGCTCTTTTTACTGGGCATAAGATCAGAAGCTTCGTATTTTGACTCTGCATTTGAGCTAAATAAATCTGGATATTTATACAATCTGGGAGCAAAGGGCTATATAGGGCGCGACACGGCTAAGAAAGAGGTAGCCAAGATACTTGAGGAGCCAAGGCTAGCGATTCGATTTCGCAGCTATTTAAATGGAAAAACTGGGGACGCTGGGTTTGTGTTCATAGAAGACAAAAAAATGGAAGCCCCAGAAACCCCAGGAAATATGCCAGGTAAGACTGAGATTTTTGGAAAAGACGCGCTAAAGACTTGTGGGTACAGTGTTCCTAGAAAGGTTGTTTTGGACTCATACGATGCGTCAAGTCATTTTGGTTTTTTTATTACGCCGCCAGTGCTTTTGCATGAGAATGCATTCAATCTAATGGTGGGGAATGAGTGTATTACTGTAGATAAAGAAACCAATATGTTAATGGCGGCCATTTGTGTTGACTCTCCGAATGAAGACAGAAACTATCAAATGTTTTCCTGGGTGGACTCTGGGCAGTACAACCGAGGAGTAGATCCTATAACGTATAGACCCAACCCCAATGTATACGCCAAAAACAAACCTGATGATGATAGCAGAAAAGAAGAATGTAAGAAGCATAAAGTATCGGGTGTGTTTCATGCCCATCTTAAGAACCCCTCAAACCTTGCGTTTGATGGCCCATATCGGCCGGAGCATGGAAGATCCCAGCAGCCAGATTACTGTGGCCACTAGAGTGTTTTGTTTCTTGGATAATAAATTGATTTTAATATTAATCATATGTTTTTGTTAGTAATTAGAATATTTGAGTTTTGGATTAATTTTTATAAATATTCTAATTTTGTTTTATTTTGTTTCTTTGGTGTACACTTTAAAATATTTATTTAGTACATGTAAAGAATAAATTAATTTTATTTTCAATAAATCCATGTGCACTCTTACAGTATACAAGCATTAAGAATAGAAATATGTAAAAACACAAATAATTTTTCAGATCTTGGTAAAAACGTGCATACACATATACAATAAAGCTTTAACCAGTGTAAATTATTCATATAAAGAGCATTGGATATTTAAGTTTTTTTACAACGTACAGCAATATATTTAATGACGGGTAGTGAATATATGTTTAAGTATAACCCGAATAACCCGAATACTGGTAATTTTAGATTAATTAGATATAATATGCACAGTATTTAAATAATATTGTTTTTATCATATAACCTGCTATAAAAATTTGGATTCTATATTAAATATACTAGTTGAGGCCAGTGGGCTAGGCTGTTTTAGAACAATGCGCGATTTGTTCAAAGATAAATTTTTATGGATATATGCTATACCAAAAATGTCAAACATTAGAAGAAAAGAAAAAAAAAGGAGGTCCATGGCAATTCGATGCAGGGCTATAGGTATATATCATAAAACAGTTACAAGTAGAGTAAATATAAAGCGTTTAAGAAAAAGTTACATATGCATAAAATAAAAAAAGTCACTGTATCTTGGGCTGCCAGGCTTATTTTAGCACTGGGGTGCATGTTTCAGGGAGTGCCGGTTATGGCAGCAAATGAAAGATTTATATCGCTACGAGAAAAGATAATGGATTCAGAGTTCTTTGTTTTTAACCAGCCTGGTTATTTATACAATATAGGACTAAAAAAGTTTATGGCCATCGATAGATATTCTGATAATTTAGGATATCTTTCACTAAGAATGACTGCAGATCCAAAGCAGGCCATTGTTTTTGAACTAAGCAAAGAAGTATCGGGAGAAGAGGCGCCATTAACACGAATTATTACAAATGATTCAAAGCTTCCCAAGTTACTAAATAGTGCGAGGTATATTCTACAAAGAGGCACGAGCAATGACAACCGGGTGGTTTTGAGCAAGAATGACAATAAAAATTTACCTGAGCAGTCTGTACTGATAGACACACTTGTATCAGGAACCAGGCCGGCATTTCGGGTTCTTATGGGAAGCTATAGGTGCATGTCTGGGGGCATTAGTGCAAGTGTTTATTATCAGAACTGTAAGGATACACAAACCCCAGACGAGGAGTATATAGATGATCTTTGGCTATGGATTGGAATGGATGATTTTGAAAAAACCACATATAACATGAAGAGAATGCCAGACTATCTACAGATAGATGAAAACGAGATTTCAGAGCACAGGAACGCATACTCAAATGGTAGAAACCGCATGCGATTGGATATAAACGAACAAAAGAACAACAATCCATATTATAAAAAAGCAGCCTACTATGAAAACGCAGTAAATAAGCAATCTATCAAAAGAAATAAAACAGGAAATGCCAATAAAAATGAAAACATAAATGAAAATAGGAATGAAGGTAAGGATAATAATAAACCCAAACCACAAGCTGGGAATAGACTCAAGCCACAAGCTGAGAATAGGCTCAAACCACAAGCTGGAAATAGATTCAAACCACAAGCTGGAAATAGGCTCAAACCACAAGCTGAGAATAGATCCAAACCACAAGCTGGAAATAGACTCAAACCACAAGCTGAGAATAGGAAAGAGGCCCCAAGCAAAAACAACAGAGAACCCCCCAGTCCAACAAATAAAAAGAGCATTCTTTATAAAAACATTGGTAGATGGAGCCCCTATAAGAAATCTAATAATAGATATGTTAAAACAGAGGAAGTTAATCCAGTAATAGTTGTTTCGTCAACAGATAAGTATTTCCACCCGGATATGAGCTATTTAGATCAAGGAAACTATTATAAAGGGATTGTTCCGCTGAAAAGAGGCCAGCATATTTTAAGATGGGCCCACGCTGACTATTATTGAATTTTCTATATAAATACTGCTAGTGGATATGCTAAGCACCCTTCTAACAGAAAATAGCCACATCTAGTAACCAGTAATAAAATAGCTGCTTTAGACCTTTTCATATTCACCAATAAACAACACATAATTATTTCTAATTTATTTCTAATATGATCATTGTTAGTTATTTTGGGGCCCGCGAATACCATGCGCGGTTTTAGAGTAGAAATTGTTCTTAATAAGGCATGGATGGGTGATAATAAATATAATTTAGATTATTTTATTAGAATCGGGCATGATTACAAGTTAGGCTATATAATAGTTTTAGCTTTTGACAAACATAAAAACTTAGTTATGACAAATAAGACTCTGTATTTACAACTAGAACCCCGAAATTTTATAAATATTACCGCAGCGCTTGAATAATGGGGGAGTATAGTTTAATTATAATTTCGGGTTTTGTGAATTTGCTAGTATGTGGTATTTTGTCTATTTCAGATTATATCCAGGATAATTATACTTTGAAATAAAAGAAATTAAATATAATGTTTTGTGTATAAGAAATACAAAAGGTGAAAATATAGTTACATACAATCAAGAATTTAAACCCCACAAAGAATGTGCTGCTGTTCTACTTTGAAAGCAAAAATGGGTGCAAAAACATGCAAAAAAATAAGAAAGCACACAAAAAATTATTCTGGGATAATAAATATATTCAAAGTAAATTGGACGATGTATTACAAAAGACTATTTTTAATTCTATATATAAAAGCAGATTATTGGCTTGTAAATTGCATATAATATAGGAAGACGGATACATAGGATTAGGGCTTTCTTGTATTACTCATAGCTCGCATAATTTGATTTTTGGGCCATAATTAAATATAAAAACAATCAAATAGAGAAATACGGTATACAAATAAAGAATATATTAGCAGGCTATTATATTTTCAGGTTATTTAATCGGGAGTATAATATGATTTGATTTTTGCGTGGCTGTTTTAATAAGATGAAACTATGCGTGTTTTCAAACATTTTATCAGAATGAAACAGGTTACACAATCAGATATAACCCAGAACAGCATCTTTTGTTTATGATTATGCCGAGATGCGTTAAGATCGCTTTTATTTTTATACTTGGGCTAGTTTCCGTTATGTGTGAGTATTTCCCTGCGTTTGCAGCAGGATCCGCAGGGTATTTATACAACGTAGGAAGCCATATGTTTCTCTCATGGGCAAGGGCACCACACGATAAATACATGTGGATAAAGGGAACTAAGTCCGACAAAATAGCCTCATTGTTTAAAATACAAAGAACAAAATATCATAGTGCAACATACAGCCTTATTATGTCAGCAGATCCTAGAATTTTAAATGCTAAAAAGAAAACCTCCACTACGCATATTGACTTCCCATTTTATGGAACTCCAACAATAGGGTTAATTGGTAATCAAGGGCAGATGCACATTGGAATGACAACAGATACAGCAGACTCGAATGCATGGGTTTCCTTCTCTCCCCCAATTACCAGAGAGAACTTTTTCAAGATATATCTTAAAAACAAGTGTCTGGCTATAGGAGACACAGGGTATGCCATTCTAGAAGACTGTGTTTCTGGCCCAGATGAAAGGCATGCAAGGCAGTTGTTTAGGTGGCTGGCCGATAATGAAAACATTATAGTAACTCGAAAAGTCATTAGAAGAATATCGATAGGGCCGATAAAAAAACAAACGTTAAGTGTAAAGGGATACACCCCAGACACTCGGATGTACTATAACCCAGATGCACATCCTAGTAGAAAAGATCCATATCTTTTGAACCATCCAGATCCAATTCTAAACAAGGATGTTCCAACTGCAGTTGTTGCAATAAACAATGACTCTATTGTATCTATTAATGGAAAGCCACTGGGATATTATGACGAGCCAGAGTTACCTAAAAAAGCAACAGAAAAAGCTAAAAAACTACTAAATGTGGATGAAAATTCCTCTACCCCCAAGAACAACAATACAAACAGTGAATATCTTCCTCCGGGCTTTTAGCATTAAGTAGTACAGCAGACAAAAATAATCTGAAAGTAAATATTTTAATTTCATAGTACTTTTATAGCTGGTGTAGCAGCGAACATTTTTATTTTATAGTTTATGCATGAATATATACTATTTTAGGTCTATTTCAGACTATTTACAATAAAAAATAGCATTTCTAGGGCTATTTTAGGTATATTAGAACACATTTATATGCTCTACATTACATAGCTAGTAATATATTGCACAGAGTAGATTTCAAACAATCCCCATTAATATTAATGAGCTGCAAAAAAACCATTATAATTAATGGATGGCGCATTGGTTAGTATTGATTACAATTGTGTTTTATAATACTTCTATAGATAATTCTTCTGTTTGTGAGTTTTAAATATGTAAAAGAAAGAAGTTTTTGTAAATGAAGCCGGCAGATATGAATATAGAGGAAAAAGCATAAAATGTCTAAATAATAAAACAGCAGAATTTTCGGTGTGCATGGGTGTGTAGCATAAAGTATAGCGAGTACCGAAAGCTGTAGTGTGTTTATGTAATGAAATCATCATCTGTTTGAAACCATTTGATGTGTAACTATGTGATACAGCGTTGCAAGATTTATATAAAACATTTGATTCTTTATGCAGTATGAATTTGCATGATAAGTTTTTGTTTTTATGTGTTATACTACCCTTAGTGTCTTGGGCCCGTGCGCTTGGTGAAGAAAGAGAAATTGCCTTCTTTAATGAAAATAAAATAGGTCGCTTGTACAATATTGGGACAAAAAAATATCTTTCATTCTCCATCAGTAAAGATGCCCAGTATGTGGGGATAGATGATAAGAAAGAAATGGCAGCAAGAATGCATATTCGAATTGTGCGAGATGGATCGGCTGCCTACGGCTTGATTCTATCTGCAGAAGAGCATGACACCAAGTCATGCAGTAGTGCACAGGATGAGTATGGATCAGGAAAAACAAAGCAATATCTAGGATGCCCAGCCATGAAAATAAAAACCGGAGAGAAAGGCCTTATTACTATGGAAAGGTTTAGTCCTGCTGCAGAGTTTAAATTTTTCTTTTCTCCTGCAGTGCTGCCTGCATTCCATGCTATTAGAATATTTAACGGAGGAAGGTGCTTGGCAGTTCGGGAGACTGGAGAGCTTGGAATAGAGGAGTGCGAGTATGAGGACATAGTTAAGAAGGCAACTCAGCTATTTGTATGGGTTGATGATGGTCTGTTCTCTAAAAACTACGACCCAATGCAAACACTTGATCAGTCAAAGAACCCATCTACTCCATATTACATTGCAGATAATCCAAACGACAATACAGTTTGGAAGTAAGGGAGCATGTGATTATTATACACAATAAAACACTTAATTTATTTTAAGCTATATTTTATGCATGTGTGCCACAAATTCTTGCTTTTATTGAATGCCAGAGACTTAGAATATTTCTTGCTGCATAATAAGTAAGAATGAAGCTTATTTATAAATATATTGAGAAAGCCATAGCAGAAGTAGATTTTAAAATGCTCTAAATATCTTTTCTATTTGAATAAGCTCGCAAGTACATGCGTATAGTTACACATATAATCAGAATAATTTAGCATATGTTTAAACAATATTTTTAATGAAATACTAAGAAGCAAAGCAGTTCTTTCTATATACAAACATATATTTTATAGAGATAATTTAAATGGGGTCATGCTGAGTGTGTATAATAAACTTACAAAATAAATTTGATCTGCTTTTTGATAGAAGATTGATTTAATCAGATTTAATCAATCTATCAAATGATGCAGTAGCAAGGAGTGTGTATTGCAAGACGCAGCACCGCGTGTATAAATTTCTGGCAGTGTATAGCGTATGCCTATACTGTGTTTTATGCCTGAAACACTGGTTTAAGCTATATAATCATTCTAACACGTAGCTCGAAATGGAACTATTTTATATTCTTATTATTCTAGGAGCGCTGTGTGTTGAAAAGGCCTTAGGAATGAAAGTCATTTTTGCCAACAATCAGTCTGGATATCTATACAACATAGGAGGAAGAGGATACATAACAAACTCTCCAATAAATGGGGCAAATGGAGTAAAAAATGCATTGTCTGTGACAAACGATGTCGATGATGCTTTAGAGCTAAAGGTAACAAGAAAGAGCTTCAAAGATCTCACATACCATACTATATCTGCTGCAGACAAGTGGTGTCAAAGAAGCACGGAAAGCCAGAATGGCATGGGCAAGTGTGTATTTAGCTATACAAAGGACCTGGGGACACGTGCAGGATTAGCACTTTCTCCAGAAAAGGGCAGTTTTAACAACTACTTTATGTTTTCGCTTCCTTTAACCCGCAAAACAAACGCCTTTCAGATATACAACCAAGGGATGTGTTTGGGTATAGATTCCGTTGGTGCCCTGGATCTTTCAGACTGTGTGGAGGAAACCTCCCTAGCAAAGGACAAGCAGTTATTTATGTGGGTTGACAAAGCATGGTTTGACAGAGGAATGAAAAATAAAAGGGATGAAAAATAACCTAATCACCACACCCCAGCAGCAATAAATACAATTTAGTGCAGTCACACTGTATATCTTTCCAGATGGGTTCTGTTTATATCTGGATATTTTACTAAGTCTCACTGTTTCATAATGTATTTTTATTTCCCAATCTGAAAACACTACAAAATACTTAGAAGGATCTACACGCATATTAAAAGATCCTAAGAAACATCCCATAGCATTGTTAGGCCATATAGAGCCAGTTGGTATCCATATATAAATAAGATGCATAAAACCACGCTATATAAATAGCAATCCATCATATGTTTTAAATATATTTAGCACTGTGGTATAGGCCAATTTTAGTGCTTAATTAAGTATTTGCAGTATCTTAATTTTTAGGTTATTTATAGACATGCATCTGTTCGCATTTCTCCATTATTTCCTGTTTCATTTATTCTATTATATTCAGAAAATTAAAGGGAATTTTTTGTTTCCTATATAACTTTGGACTTTCTGGTTATTTCATGCTCTATTAATATTTTCTATTTGGCCTTACTTAATTAGCTAACATTTAATAATACTATCATAAAAATAGAAGAAATAATCCAACCTTCTAATAAGAAGAATAAGCGCTAGTAATGTCTAAATTTATTCAATTTTCTAAGCACAAACACTATACAGATTCAATTTCACGGCACCTAGTTTGCTATGTAAAAAACAGATGGCGGGTTTTATATATGGGTTTAAATATAAAATGTATGTGTTCTTTATAAAACACACAGCAAGTAAATTGCATTTATGTTGCTCATGTATTGAACAGAGAAATTATGAAATTTTTGCCTTCGAAAGAGCAGGGGCTAAGAATAAAAATAAATAAATACGGCTGGTCTATAGGAAGTCTTTAATCTGAAACAAAACAAGGTATCAGAATCACTGGCAGTACATAAATAGGAATCATTTCAGGAAAAGCATGCAGAAAATGCGAACATGCATTCTTATATCACTATGTATATTTATTTATCAGGTCTGCGGAAGCTCTAAGAAGGGAAATTCGAACAAAGACCTTGAGTATCTTATTCAAGACGAAAATAAAAAAGAAGGAGTGCTTATATCCACGTATACAGGAGATCTATATATAGCTATAAAGGATGGAAAGGTCATTGGAGTAAGAGATCCCAGACAAGCAAATCTTTTTGATATCGATCTTCCTACAAAGGAGACTGACCCGCAAGAAATAAAGCTCGAGCCGTGGGTAGAAGGCAAAAAGTATGTTATTGAATCCAACCCAGTAGGAGAAGGCCTGAATGTAGAAATTCCAATAGAAACAGAGCAAGAAGCAAAGTCTAATTTGATGATTATTCGAAATGTAATAGCAAAGAATGCGAAAAAGCCAGTTTTTGAGATTGTTTCTGCTTCTAGACAGAGGTGTTTCTCATTGGACATAAACACATTAGAGGTTAGTCTGCAAGAGTGCTCAAATGGGTCAAACGATCTAAGGACATTTATGTTCCTTTCCATGCAAGAGGCATCTAAAAATGAAGCAAATAAGAATGGAGGCACCGCCTTTAATATGGCAGAGTACACAGCCAGTACGCGGGTACCAGCTGGCACTTTGCTTGTAGGAAGTAAATCTGGAGTGCTTTATCTGCATTAAAGTGATTGAGTTTATATAAAATCCAATATAATAAAGTATTAGCATAAAAGAAACATATTTATAGATGGAAATATTTTATTATTTACCAGCAATGGTGATGAAAGAGAAGGTACATAGAATAATTATAATTAACTGAAATAGCCCAAAATAAAAGATTGCCAAGAAAAATAGAAATACTAATTTATAGTTACTTAATAGGCAATGTTACATCCCTTAGAATACTATGGCATAAATGCGCAGAGTTGGTCTTGAGCAGATTCAAGCGATATGTCAGATATGGAAGAATCTTTTATACAGAAAAACTTATTTCCTGCACCGAGTGTTTCCCCTCTGAACGTGCATATGAACAGCTGCTTGTTTTCAAACACCCGGCTGTTGATGATGTTCATAAGCACCTGCGTATCTAAATTTGCATCAAATTCATCCATTAGATAGAACGGGGCCTCGTATATTCTTTGCACAGCAAGTATCATACAGAGTGCAATAACTGTCTTTTGGCCACCGCTGAGCTCATCAGACTTGACCATGGGCTCTCCTGCAAAGGACACATCTATTTCAAGGGCTTCCGGCTGTTCTGCTGACATACAAGCAGTTCCTCCTGTTAGCTTTCTGAAAAAGTACTCAAAATTAGACTTTACTTGGAATATTGTTATGTTTATAACCTGCTCTTTTTTTGCCTCCAGGTGGGCCTGCATCTCAAGAATTTTCTCTTTCGCGTGCGAGAGCTCTTCTAGCTTGGCAAGTGTCTTGTTATAGTCGTGCAGAACAGTATCCGATCCTTCTGATAAAGAAACACTTTCAGATAGGTCTTTCTTAATAATAGAAAGTGCTTGGACTAGTTCTTCCTTAGAAGAGCGCTGTATGTCTATTGTGATATTATTTACTGCTATTTCCTCTCTGCTTTCTACGTTTAAAGAAAGAATCCTTTTCTGAATTCTCCTAAACTTGCTTTCTAGCCGTAACTTCTCTGCTGCTCTTTCTTTCCACTCAGGGGATCCTGCGCACTTATACAGCCTCTGCTCTATCATCTGGGCGGCTTCTTCCAGAGATGTTCTTTCTCTGTGCTTTTTAATAGCTGCTTCTAGTCTGTGGCAATTTTCTATCTCTTTTTGCGTGTCCTGCGCTGAGATTCTTTCTAAGTCTGTTTTCTTTTGCAGAAGCTCTACTTCTATATCACCTGCTTCATTTTCTAAAAGAAAGATCGCATCTTCAAAATACCCTGGAGCACTTAGCGCACTCTCTGGTGTGGTTCTATTATACTCCTCAGAGATTTTTCTCTTCTGTGCTTGTATCTCTGCGTTTTCCTCTAAAATACTCCTGTACCTTGCTTTATCTGCTGTATATGCCTTAAAAAGATATGAAGACTTGTCGTTTCCTCCTGTAATGGTTCCCGAGGACCCAAAGTACTCGCCAGCAGCAGTTATTACAGCTACCCAATGCAGCTTTGATGCAGCCCTTGCGGTCTCAAAGTCTGACACGAAATAGATCCGCCCAAAAAGCCTATCAACCAGCGATGCGTGCTTTTCAGATGAGGATATATACTGAGCAAGAGAAGGAAGGGGGACCGCGGGTTTATACGTGCTATTAGATGCTGCCTGAATAGATATTACGCGCTGTTCTATATGGTGGGTTCGTACAAGGCTAATTGCATCCTCAACGCTTTCTGTAACAATAGTAGTCAAATAGTTTGGAAGAGCACTTGAAACTGCAAAAAGTATTTCTTTTGGAATGGTCACTAAGTCATAGACATATCCAATAACGCCCTTGATATTCCGCACTTCATCTCCCAGAGAGAAGGCTCTTTGCGAAGACAAAAATGCCCGCTCAGCCTCTTTCATCTCATATTCGACGGTTTTCATCTTTTTGCTGTGCTCTTTTTCTTTCTTCCAGATGGCTCTCTTTCTTTCTAAAAGGTCTTCTTTGTTTTGGGAGCTTGATAAAACATCCTGCTCTTCCATGCTCTTTAGTTCATTGAGCTTTTTTTCCACTGCCTGGGGCCCTCGCATGCGCAGTATGTTGATTTCTGGAAGGATTGTCTTACTGCTCTCCTGAATCCGCTCTAGCCGCTTTATTTCTGCATGCAGTGCGCTTGCTGTTCTTTCTTGCTCCTTTAAAAAGGCCTCCAGCTCCTCTCTTTTTTTCTGCAGAGTGTCTAGTGTGTTTGCATTAAGAGCGATCTGATTTTCTAGCGAAGGATCAATTACAATAGCATGAATAGATGCCAGTAGCTCCTCCAGCTGCATTCTGAGAGCATCCTCTGTTAGATCATTTGTGTCTTCCATTTGGCTGGTTTCTTCGGTAATCAGCGACTCTAGCTTTATTCTTATTTTATTCAGCTCTCTCTTGTAAATCTCGTGGATCAGTATTTCCTTTGTTTTTTCCATTTCATTCCTTTTTTCTGCGCGCAGCTTGTCTGTTTTTATTGCCTCAACTCTTCTCTCAATAGTCTTCACCAGCTCTTCTATTCTCTGCCCAATTGTCTCTGACTCATTTAGAACCTTCTGAATTTCTTCTTTGTCCTTTTCATATACCGTAGACCCTGCAAGCTCCCGGATAAGGTGCATTCGTGCGCGGCCGTTCATCTGGGCAAGCTCCCCTATCTTACCCTGCTCCACCACAAAGTACGGCATGGTTTTTGAAATTCCTGCTGTTTCGTATAGGGATATCATCTCTTCCCTGGACACGCTGCGGCCATCTACTGTGTACTCATCAGATTTCTGGGTAATTGTTCGTCTTATAACCACATGTTCTCCTGCTGGAAAGGCTTTGTTGCTGTTTGAGAATTCTATTTCTACGTATGCCATTAGCTCGCTGCTGTTTTCATTTACGAATATTCTTCTTTCTAAAGGCCCGACTCTCTGGTGTGCATCAATAACAAACCGGATTGCGCTCAAAATGCTTGACTTTCCTGTTCCATTTTTCCCTATGAGTATGTTTATGCCCTCAGACACACAGTCGATTCGGGTTTCTTCAAAAAAGCTTTTGAAGTTAAAAAGGGCTATTCTACTTATTCTCATAAATCTTGAAAAATTTTATGAGGCGGATAGCATATTTTTATAGTCCAGACTCGGGCAGCTTTCACTACGGAGCCTCGCATCCTATGAAGCCGCACAGAATTGCAGTGACCAACTCGATTGTATTTGCATACGGCCTGCAGAAATATATGGACATATTTGCAATAAAGCCAGCAACCAAGATGGAAATGCAGCAGTATCACACAGAGGAGTATATAAGCTCGCTTATTTCTGAGGGATCTGATGTGCCCTGCGATAGGATCACAGATGACTGCCCGTATTTTGAGGGCATTGGAGAAATGTGCGCTCTGTACTCTGGGGGGTCGCTCCAGGCGGCCCGGGCACTAAACCAAAGCCAATATGACATAGCAATAAACTGGTCTGGCGGCCTACACCACGCAAAGAAAGCAGGGCCAAGTGGCTTTTGCTACACAAATGATATTGTGCTGGCAATTCAAGAGCTGCTTAAAAAGCACAGAAAGGTTATGTACATAGATATAGACATACATCATGGAGATGGCGTGGAGGAGGCTTTCTACCACACAGATAGGGTTCTCACGCTTTCTTTCCACAAGTACGGAGACAGATTTTTCCCTGGCACTGGAAACATATGCTGCACAGGAAGAGGCGCAGGCCGCGGGTGTGCTGTGAATGTGCCTCTTGATTTTGGCATAGACGATGAGTCATACCACTATGTATTTAAGAATGTGGTAAAGATGTGCATAGAATCTTTTGGCCCGGAGGCGATCTTGATGCAGTGCGGGTCTGACTCGCTTGCAGCTGATCGAATAGGGTGCTTTGGGCTAAGCATTAAGGGGCACAGTGAGTGTGTTAGATATGTTCGCGACTTCAATATTCCCATGCTTGTGGTAGGCGGGGGAGGATACAAGCCAAAGCACGTGTCTCGGTGCTGGGCATCAGAAACTGCAATACTTTGTGGCGTGGAGGTAGATAATAAAATCCCGCCAAACCCGCACTCGGAGTATTTAGGTGAGGATGCCGAACTGTACATTAATCTAGAGTGTGAGTATGTGAATAAAAACTCAAAAGATAACTTAGAAAGAATTATATCATTAGTTAAAGAGGTGCTCTCAGAGCAGGAGGAAGCATCAGAAGGAAAAAAGGCATAGCCAAGGCACACATAGAATATGCAGCACTCTTTGAGTATTATACTAACCGGGGGCATAGCCTAAACCATTCCAAGCCCAGAAATAAACTACTTATTCTGGTTGTTTTTACTTAATTTTAAATTTAAAAAGATGTAGTAATTAGTTATTGAGTTTTACTGAAAATTGTGCACAGTTAGCTTCTTTGTGTATAACAGAGTATAACTGGAAATATATAAAATTTCAAGTGCTAGTTTAGAGCTTAAATGATTTAACAAACTGTATATAAAGTTTTTTGCGTGTTATAGGAAAAGTAAGTAAAAACTGTTTTATTTTAATAATAGGCAGTGCTTTTCTATTCTGTTCGCATTTTTGTTTAGTTATCTGGGGTGATGAACACTCGCCTGGCCAGCTCCATATATATCTTCTCTCCGTGCTTAACTGGAGGGAAGAAGTAGCACTTCATTAGGCCGTTTTCACCTAGGGCCCTTTTAATGTGGCCTTCCTTTTTCAGACTAGAGTATAGCTTAATTCCTTTGAAATAGTTCACTTCTTCTCTGGAGTGGAACATTTTGCTGACAACACAAGATCTTCTCAGTATCTTTGCAGGTATTCCTTTAAACACCACTGTCCTAATGAGAATGGGGTCTTTTCTTGTTGCACACACCGCACTTCCTACACACCGGCCTTCTTTGTAGATGGCTATCTTGTCATCTGTAAGAATCAAAGGGCCAAGGAAGCACGCTGTTCCAGTTGTTCCCTCGGTCTTACACTTGACTATTTCTGTGCCGTTTCCTAAAACACAAGAGGAGGGAGTAGTGCACATAAATCCATAATCAAAGGATAGGCTGCCGTCATATATGCTAATGGCCTCTTTTGTCTGGAATGAAAGTGCGCATATTGTCATTGCTCCTTCATAATCAAACAACCCATGAACAGATAAGAATCTAGACTCAACTGCATCTGCAAACGCTGGTATGTGCTCCTCGCATATTTCAAGAACAATTTCAAGTGGAGTGCTCACTGGTACAGGGCTTTTCTTTGAGAGCAGCTTTCTTCTAACGCGCTCGGATCCAATGAAGCTAAGCCTCTGGTAGTATTCTGGAAGATTCTGTGATCTAAACACTCGCAAGCTTTCATTTTCTTTTTCATTAGCCTTCTTGTGCAGCCCCATGTTAATTGTCCGGAACCCTTTGAAGTCTTTGTACTTGTGCACAAGCTCTTTTTTAATATTCTCCTTTTCCAGTGCACTATATCCAGCAAGATCTTCTGAGTCTATCTCACACGAGCCTTCCTCTTCTTCAAAATCTGAGTAGTTTTCGCTCATTTCCTCGCTATCCTCTTCCTCTTCTTGAGTTTCTTCTACATTAATGCACCCAATCGAGTCGTCTGAATATTCCGGTTGGTCATTTATCTGGTTTTCGGTTATCTTCAGAGTTGACAGAAGATCGGTCATTTCCTCTTCCTGGTCTTTCTTTTTCTGATATATCTCCTCTCTTGTAAGCACTGCCAAGCTTGAAATGTCAAGAGGTTTTCCATTAACGGAAATTTCCTGGATCTTTCCTGTTATACCCCCGTTAATTAAGACCTGCCGGGAAACAAACCCCTTGTCTACTGCCCCTGTGATTTTAAACAGTCGTTCTCCTACTTGCTGTATTGTATCGGGGAAGAAGTGAGGCCGGCTGTATCTTTTTCTGTTCAAAACGGTTTTGTTTTGCAGCACACGTGCTATTTCATTTAGCGTGTATACTTTTGTCTTTCCAAATGTCTTCTTCACCTCTTTTTTTATTTCTGCTGGTGTGTCTCTTATACAGGACAAAAATACAAGATTGTCCTGCTTTGTCTGTGATATTAAGTCGCTTGTTTCGTCATTCATTTTCTTATCCACAAGAATGATGTTTATGTCTGCTCCATGCATTTTATTTTTCATTTGCATGCTTGAGTCTGGGCTGTTTACAAAGAATGTAAAAATGCCTTTCTTACACACAACTCTGTGTCCCAGATGCATTTTTTCAGTGTTTATTACTCTTTCCCCTTCTTCGCTCTTTCGGAAAGAAGAGAGGATAGACGGAAGAGCGTCCTCTGCACTAATGTGAGTGCCCAGCGCAGTAATCATTACGGTCGAAACAAGCCCGCTTGTGGCTCTTTCCTTCTGTGTTAGTCCCTTTAGGCCTGGTGATAGTTTATGTGTTGCCATTCTGAAAATTTTTCCAGCGAACTATTCTAATATAACTTGGCGCTTTCCACTGCCCAGCAACGGGCACAGACCATTAGAATTTCGGGCTATCATAAGTCTGTTGTGGGGTGTGTTTATTTTATATAAAAACATCATTATTAAGCCGCAATTAATTTCATAACAAATATAACTCTAATTCAGATTCTATTCAATCTCTTTTCTGTTTGTTTGGTATATGAATGAAGTAAGAGCTGAGGAGAATCAGGTGGTACTTCTTCCCAAGAAAACCGTATGGCAGCAGTTTACAAAGGTGTGTACATCCTTTATTCCATCTTTCATTCTGGGAATATTTGGAATGAAGTCTAAAGAGATGCAAAGCGCGTGGAGAGAGAAGGTGGCGCTATGCTGGCTTATTGCTCTGGCGTGTATGTTCCTATCCTTTATCACATATGGACTGACTATGCTTGTCTGCAAGCCGCAGCTGACCTATACCATGGAAACAATGAATGAAATAAGCACCTATCCTTGGTTTGCTGCCCGTGGAAAGATATTCCGTGTGGAGTCTGGGGATAAGATGGAGAGTTACTCTGGGAGTGACATTTCTTCTATGTTTAAAATTAATGCACCAAGCTGCACGCAGGCATTTCCAGGATACTCCCCAGGCAAAGCAGGAGGTTTGAACCTGCATGACTACGCAGAAGTGGCGCCTGTTCACTACACGTGGTCTTCTGTGCTTAGCAACGAGCTCACTGTAATAGGATCTGGCGTATATGATTCAAAAAACATAAATCTCCCGGATAAGCTGGATATACTGAGCGGAAGTGTTGATGCAACCAGAGCGAGTGAGGGCCTTTCTCCAAAAGAGCTGCAGTGCTTTAAAGAGATGTGCTATGCAGGCGAACTTGCTCTTCAGTCAACTGGGTGCCAGCTGACCTATTCTTTTCTGTACTTATCTGCACTTGCAGTGCTTGGTCTTGTTCTGATTAGATTTTTCCTAGCAGCAATATATTCACTGTATATGAAGATAAATACCTGGCAGTTGGTTAGAAAGAACACAGACGTGCTTCCAGTGATTCTGATGACTACTTGCTACTCTGAGGGAAGAGAGGGCCTTAAAGCCACGCTTGACAGTCTGTGCATGCAGGAGTACGATAAAAAGCTTATTATTGTTGTTGCCGATGGGTTTATAACAGGCGCAGGGAATGATGCCTCCACACCAGAGATTCTTAAGTCTCTTATTACACCAAAAAATGGAAGTGCCACCGCTGGAATGCCTACTACAGCAAAACAGTACATTTCCATCGCAGCGGGCGCTAAAAAGCTAAACCACGCAGAAGTGCATCCAGGAACCTATTCTGTGGAGACTAAGCACGGTGTGGTCACTTCGGATATCATTCTCATCCTGAAGACAGAGAACCGAGGGAAGAGAGACAGCCAAATGGTTATAATGAGCTTTTTCCATCACGTGCTGTACAGAACACGGTTAACACAGCTTGACCTTGACTTATACAAGAAAATAAAGGCACTATCTCGGATTGCACCTGACGAGTTTGGGGCTATTCTTATGGTGGATGCAGACACAACGGTTAGGCAGGGGGCTGTTAGAATAATGGCTAGAACAATGCAGAGTGATAAGTCTATCATGGGAATATGCGGAGAAACTCTGATATCAAATAAGTTTGATTCTTGGGTTACTGCAATACAGGTATTTGAGTACTATGTAAGTCACCATTTAGCAAAGGGATTTGAAAGTGTTTTCGGCAATGTGACGTGTCTTCCAGGATGCTTTTGCATGTACAGACTGAAGCTTGAGAGAAAGAACGGGTGCACGCCCATTCTTGTTTCTCCAACCGTTCTGCATGCGTATGGCAGCGATGAAACAAAGACGCTCCATGAGAAGAATCTACTGCTTCTAGGAGAGGATAGGTACTTAACAACACTTCTTCTCAAAAACTATCCAAAGAAGAAGCTTGTTTTTGTTCCCAGCGCACTGTGTGATACCATTGTTCCAGACAACTTTTCAGTTCTTCTAAGTCAGAGGCGAAGGTGGATTAACTCCACAATACATAATCTCTTTGAGTTGCTTCGTGTGGATTTATGCGGCACCTTCTTCTTTTCGATGCAATATGTGGTGATCTTAGAGCTATTTGGTACTTTGGTGTTGCCGGCTGCAATGGTTTTTACGCTGGTTTTGGTCATTTCTTCCCTTATATGGGTGCCTGTTTGGATTCCTCTATTTCTTCTTTTCTGCATCCTTGGACTGCCGTCCTTACTAATTTTCTTTACAAATTTCAATCTCTTCTACTTTGTCTGGCTTATTATCTATCTGTGCTCTTTGCCTATATGGAACTTTGTTCTTCCAATCTATGCTTTCTGGCACTTTGATGATTTCTCCTGGGGAGAAACCAGGCAAATCACTGGAGGTGCACCAAAAGGCGGGCATGGAGAAGGGGAAGAGGACCCGTCCATAGACTCAAGTATGAAAGCCTCGCTAGTTGACTTTGAAAACATTGAATAATCTGCATTCTGTGATCTATTTAGAGCTGCAGAGTTGTGCATATGCACATTTGTACAAATAAATTTCTCTTTACTTTATTTATTCCCTTAAATTAATTAAGACCTCCTAAAGAATATCCCAAAAAGAAAAATACGTACACTTTATTATAGTAAAAGACAAATAAAGAAAATTGGATTATTTTATTTGGGTTATAAATATGGCATATAAAGAAAAATTGGCGGTAGTTTACTATAAATACCGATTTCACATAAACAATAACAGACAGTTGAGTATATTAGTGAAATGGCTAGATTGGTATACAGCGAGCTTTGTAGTACAATTCTTTGATACAGCATTGTAGTATTATTAATGGATCTGCCAATTTTGGATATTGTGCCAGCTGTGATATTTATAGTGCTAGGCATTTCAGAGTTTATTTGGCTATGCGGTTTATTAAGGCGCGTATAAAGCCTTACTGTGCGTATTTAGCTTGCTATGCGAGTATACTGGACTTTTTGTAGTTGTTGGAAAATATATATTTTTTTTAATTATTGCCCTTGTATTAACAATGGACCAGTTAACAGCAGCATTAAAAACAATAAACAATGCAACTATAAGCGGAAAGTCTGAAGTACTTGTCAGATCACCAAACAAAGTAATAAAGGGATTCCTTGAGTTCATGCAAAGCAAGGGCTACATCGGAACCATTGAGTATGTAGATGATCACAGAAAAGGAAAGGCTATTATTTCACTTAACGGAAGACTTAACAAGTGTGGATCAATTTGCCCAAGATTTGACGTGGCATTCCGTGACGTAGAGAGATGGAGAAAGCTTCTTCCAGCCAGACAGTTTGGACATGTTGTCATAACAACTTCAAAGGGAATATTAGACCACAAAGAGTGTGTTGAGAAGCACGTAGGAGGTAAAATACTCGGGTTCTTCTACTAATAAACCAGAATCACGGATACTTTTCTATCCGAGGACTGGTTTATCCCGTCCTTTGGACTTTTCTTTGTTTTTGCTTGTTTTTATTTTTAGTGTTTGCGCAGTTATTGGGTTTTATGATTTATCTCCCGTCTGCTTAGGCTTGTTTACTCCAGGCAGACTGCTTTTAGTCCAATAGGATGTAAATAATTTCGGGTTATAAAAATTAAATTCATCATTGTCTAAGAAGGATTCTCTCGGGCTTTGAGGTATATAATGTATATATAATTAAGTGGGTGTTTTATTTCGAAATTTCAGATTATTTCAAGATATAATTAGTTCATTAATTAATTTCCTTTTATAAAAGCCTTTCTAGTACATAAGAACAAAAAAGCATTCTAGCAAAGATTCTTAATATTTGCTATGCCTCTCAGATTAGTATTTGAACTTTTTAGTAGTATTTAAAATTAAAGCAATACTGAATTTATTTCTAAATAAAAGAATACCCGAAACTTTAAATATATTCTGAGTTATACTGGGCCATTCTATTGGTATAGTGCAATAATTCAGACAAGCTGTATATTTGGTTTAGTATTTATTCTTCTTTAGTTTCTTCTAATTGATCTTTTTGTGGCGGGGAGTGCGTGTTTTTTTCTTTTTCGTTTTCTTCATTTGATTCACTGCTGTCGCCTTCATTTGACTGGGCGCACATGATGGTTGTTTTTTTTAACGCATCAAGGATGTTCTGAATTACATTGGCAGGGGCATTCGGTGTTTTGTCCTCTTCTGTTTCTATTTCTTTTGAAATGATACTGTCATTGCTCTGTGCATCAGACAAATCAACATCATGCAGTTCACTGGTTTCTTTGCTCTCTATCTCTCTATCTACTTCAGCAATAAAGGCAGTCTTGCCCATTCCAGTTGCTGCGGAGAGGTAGAATAGATTGAATCTGCTATAAAACTCCTCCATCCACAGAGCAATTGAATTTGTAAGAGGAGTGTTCATCCCGTCCTCTGGCAGTGCGCCCGAAAAAGAATCATAATCAGTGGCCCAAGACTTTATTTGCTCAGCCCCTTCAATATCTGACTTGTTTACTGTTATTAAGAGCTCCTCTCTGAATCTATAGTAAACAGATGTTGCAAAAAGCATATTGCTGATAAAGCATTGTGGATTCTGGGCCTTTTCTCCATCTACAAGATATATCATTTTAACACGAACACCTTTTGTTTTTGACAAGCATTGTGTGATGATCTGCCCGGATACTGACGTAGTAAACATTTCTATTTGCCCAGGGGTATCTATAATTGTATACTGCGGCTTTAATCCCTCGATTTGTGATATCAACACATCAATGTGTGCTGCAAAGAGGTTTAATGCGGTTAGAATTGCTCCATTTGGCCCTAGCTTCTTCTTTTGCATCAATTCGTCTATATCAATCGTGTCTCTTATGTCATAATGCACGGGCATTTTTACAGTCTGCACCGCTGGGTCTAAATTGATCCCACATACTGCATCATTTAACCCAGTTCTGCTGTTTATTTGCATTGTTTTGTCAGAAAGCCATGTGTGCAGCCGGTGACAGAAAGTGCTTTTTCCACTTCCTGCCATTCCCAGAACAATTAATACGGTATTTGTCATAGCTAAAAATTTTATTCTCGTAATGTATCCGCTTGACTTTATCCGAGGACTATTAGGCACAAAAATATGCATTAGACTAAGAGACAGTACTGAATACACAGGCACTCTGCGTATGTTCGACGAGCACATAAATTTAGTGGTCTCAGATATAGTTGACTTTCCAAAGGAAGTTCTCTTCCTAAGAAGTGAAAATGTCTTAACCATTTCTGAGGGATAAGCTTAGCCTTTTTGCGTTTTTTGTTGAATAAATATGTGCTTTGTATAATGGTGCGCCTTTTTAACATTCTATCACAAAGCCTACTAGATTTTGTTAATTTAGAGTTTTCATAAGTTATCTTATTAGTATTGTGCCCTTTTCTCTCATTCTTCTAGTCTATATATCCCTGTGCTTTATAAAGCTGTTCAATATTTCTAGCTGTTCTGCATTTAAGCGCTTATAATTTTATGTGCTTAAAGTCGTGCGCGTCTTCGGGCATTCTTGATCATTTTTACTAACTTTGTATTGTTTCTCTACTCTTATATAAACTGTATAATAATTACTTGGAGTAGCTTAAATTAAAATAACCCGAAGTTTTAATCCCTTTTTTGATGATAGAAGAGGATGTGCAATGCTATGAAGAGAGCATTGCTGTTAGAAATAACCTAATACCTTAGCACATAAAATTATTTGTGCTTGTATTAAATCCTTTTCTCACACACAGTCATTCTTTATTTTTAGGAGAGTGCATGCATATTTAGACTTTGTATTTTATATGGCATGTAATAAGAGATATTAAATCCTATCAATTATACAAATATATACACCACACTGCTTTCCAATATTCGGGTTATATAGTTAATAGTCTACTCTGCCAATAAGACTTCTTTAGCGCAAAAGGATAGTGCTTTGTGAAGTAAAGTAGGATTTACACTGCATATTGGATTCTATAAGATAATGATAAAGCCATCGTCCACATCAATTGATGCAAGAAGTGTCTTAAGATATCCAGCAAAAAGATGGAGAGTGAATGGCTTTTTAACACATTTTCCAGCAATATATATCTAAAAGATGTGCCAAAATACCATTTGCCGCACTTCGCGGCTTATTACATATGCTATTATAGGCATTTAATAGATGCAATCTAATACATTAGGATAAACACATGAAATATTGGCATAATTACTATTTATTGACGTATGGACACTTGGCATCTGCTGAATCACTTCCATGTAAAGCACATGAAGAAATGAATAATAGATATGTGTGTGGTATGATTTGTAACATTTTGACACCAAGATTCCAGTAATTTTTGAATAGTAAAGGCAGTGGATAGGTAAACTGCACATTAATAAGAAGGCAATGCCTTCCTTGGTATTAGTTAGTATTGGTCAAACAACTGGTCCATAACAGGCAGGTCGTTCTCCATTCCCATTATGTGGGACTGAATCGAACAGCCCGCAGGATTGTCCTTTCTGTCATTTTCCTCATTGGTAACAGGAATTATTGGGGGAGTGTAGCTTCGGCTCTGAACAATTGTCCAGTTTATCTCCCTAAAGAAAGAATGTCTGCATATCATCTTTACTCCCTTTTTATAGCCTAGTCTCTTCCTCCTGTCTGTCTGCAAAAGCTGTTTTATGAGGTCTTTAGACACTGGGTCCACAAATGCTGGAAACTTAATATTGCCACGGATAATAAGCCTACACAGTTCAACTTGGTTTTCGTGGTAAAATGGCGGCTGCCCCACTATCATTTCATACAAAATAACACCAAGCGACCAGAAGTCTACCTCAAAACCATGCCCTATGTTCATTACAATCTCGGGAGCCAGATACTCTGGTGTTCCGCAAAGTGTCCATGTAAGCGGCTGGTATAGCTTTTTGGAAAACCCAAAGTCTGCAAGCTTTATATGCCCCTCCCGGTCAAGTAGAACATTCTCTGGCTTTAAATCTCGGTAAATAATCCCCAGCCCATGCAGGGTTTCCAGTGCAACAAGTATTTCCGCAATATAGAATCTTGCTTGTTTTACAGTAAACTTAATAATTTCTTTCATAAAAGAGAAAAGCTCTCCTCCAGGAACATACTCCATAACCATAAAAAGATATCTTTTGTCTTGAAACGTGCTATACAGCCGAACAAAGAAAGACGAATATAAGCTCAGCATTACTGCCTTTTCATTATATACGTGCAATAGTTGGTTGCTGTGAAGAATTTGCGATTTGCTCATTATCTTAAGTGCATAAAGCTTCTTCATCTTCAGCCCGGCAAGACCATCGAACGAAACAAGGAATACTCTCCCGTAGGAACCTTCTCCTAGAACTCTCACCATCTTTAAATCTCTAAGTAAAAACATCTCCTGTAATAATCCTAAAAAATTCTTTTAGAAAAGCAGAAAACTTTCTTTTAATCATTCCCATTTGAATACCCCGTGACCTTTCATAGACAAATTAAGAAAAATAAAAGAAAATCCTAAATGAACTAAGTTTGGTCTTAGAAGGAAAAGAAAAGAGTTAAAGAGAAAGGGCGAAGAACCGGCAAGAAAGACAGTACACAATATTTAGGGGAGTTTATTCGGGTCATCCGAAATAAATTCAGTAAAATTTAGTAGTACAAAATATTCTATCTCAAAGTAGTATATCAACCAAGTAGAGAGATGTTAGATCTTAAGAACTTAAAATTATATTGTTGTACAGTATATATTGTGGGTGTTTATGCTATATTTAATAGTATGGCAGTAAATACTATTGGTATAAAAAGTACTAAATATATTACTATGTTATAACCCGAAATAGTTGAAAAGTATTCTCTAGAACATGCTGTGCATTTTAATTTCTTCTTGGTTAGCTAGATAATATAGTAGAAGAACAAAAGAAAACACAACTAAAACTATAATATCTTCTGTAGTATAATATAATGCTTAGTCAAAGAAGAGTTATTTTGCTACTAATTTAAATTTCAAATTCTTTAGTTAAAGCATATTTTACTTTTGTTTTATAGAGCAGAGCCATACTCAAATATTGGTATTATATTAGAATATTTTTTTCGTAATTTGATAATGAGACAATTACATTTTATGATTAATAGTACTAATGAATTAATCAACAGATATTTCACTTTTGTATAATAATTAATTTTCAATTCTGATCTAATTTACTGCACACAATTTAGAGCATTAAATCCCATGCATATCTGAATATAGAATAAGAAATGAATTTCTAATTGGTGTATATATTTGCAACCCATGCGGGCATGCCTTCTTATACACCTCAAAAACTTTAGTCTCGGCTAATGCAGATATAACCCGAAGTTTATGAATAATTTTTTAATGGATCTACCAAGCGAGCAGGACATTGAAAATATGAACTTGACAACCAAAAAGATGCTACTTGAAAAGAATAAAAGCTTCTTAATGAATAGTATACTGCATATTAAAGAGGAAAAATGGGACAAAACACTTTTTATGGCAGCAATGCGCGCTTGGATGCGCCTGTGCACATCTTTGGATGAAGAAAGTTCAGCAGGAAGTACTTCTACTGAAGAAATCATGTTCTGGGAGTACATAACAGAAATACTTGAGTCAATTTCTACATATACTTCAGAAGAAGAAGAAGCTTCTAAGGAGAATATAGATATATTTGTCTTGTCTATAAACAGAATGCCGGTATGCGCTTCTTCTCTATTTTATCTTTCTCGATTAATTAATATAAACCAGCAGAATGAATCCTCTCTCTATGGAAGATTTTGTTCTCTTATATCATGCATGAAAAGACTGTATAATGAAATAACCAAGAGGGGGTATAAATAGAAATTTCCAAAAATTATAAAAATCTGCCGTCTTTTTATATAAGTATAGGAAGTTGTATGTATATGTGTATTATTAGAGAACTCAAAAAGCAGAATAGCGAGCTGTTTCTGAAAATATTGCCTTTCTTCCGCTTCTCTTCAAACTAATATTTATTTCGGGTTATATCGGGCGATTTCAAAGTATACTTGCTTAGTAGCTTATATGTACTTAGCATATTTTTAACAAATGCATAGGAAATCACTGCATAAATCCAGCAATAGATAGAAAGGCTTTCCAAACTATTAAGCTAAGCACTATATATAACCCAAATTTTCTAAATACATGTATATGACTAAAATTGAAAATAAAAGGATTAGAGAAAGAAGAAGACATACAGAGAAAAATTTCATTTAAAATAAAGATATGCATTAAGATAGGTTTGTATTAATCGCTAATGATTATAACTTAGATAATTTAATTTAACTCAAACAGCGTGATATTTTGAATGTCGCCAGGTATATTATTTATTCAATAGAATATTATGCACGTAATTGTTTAATGGGTTTTTATTTTCTTATAGTATACGCTAATAGTATACTTTATTTTTTAGCTTTTACGAAAATTTCTAATTGAGAAAATAAGGGGTCTTACACATTTTCGTATGATACTAAATACACTACTTGTGTATGATGCGCTGCAGGATTCTCTTATACACAGCAAGCATAGGTACTTTATAGAAAATACTACGTTATAAATAGCAAAAAAATTTATTTATCAGAATGGAAAATGAAACAGTGATCAACATATGGACGGGTAATATTAAGAAAATATTTGAACCAATAAGAAAACAGTGCATAGAAGACATTGAGAAAATATTAGAAGAAAAATATGTTCCAAAGAAGGAAATATTCCAGCTGGTACTTAAATCATTGGTGGAGAAAAGCAAATTAGCAGAAGGCATCATAGTTAAGAATGCAGAAGGCAGAGATGAGGGAGAGAATCTAAAGAATATGACTGCAAATATACAGCATATTCAATATGAAAAGAAAGAAGAAGAGAATATAATTAACATGCTAAAATCAGAAAAGCACAGTGCGAGTGAAGTTCTTGATCACATGATAGGATGCATTCAGAAAGAGCTGTGTGCAAGAGCCAAAATATATACTGGTGTTGCAAATGTTCGGGACGACATGGCTAGTAGTGGAGTTGATGTTTTGCAGGCGCTAAACTACTATCTATACATCCAAGCGCAGGAAGAAATGTGCGAAACACTGCTAAATAGCCTCTCACGGAAAGTATACAAGGAATTTGAAGCCAATCCAGAGGAGCTTCTTAAAATACCAATTCAGCCTGTCGATACAACGTTAGAATTTATTAGAAGAAATGGCCTATTCCAAATACTAAACTATTGCGAGTGCATTTTAGGAAGATTAGGTGATGATTTCTATCCATCTGAGATATATATACAAATCTATTGTTTTATTCTTACTGCAGCACATCACTCGGATGCAATCAAGAAAATGCAAAAGAAAACAACTAAAATAGATCATAAAAAAGTGCTTGAAATGTTTGGAAACTCCTTCAATCTGCTTCATAGCACAGATGAACAACTTTCTCGCAGAATGTGCATTGTTGAAATGATCAAGAAAGACATGCATGCGATGCAAGCCATGAACGGCATAAAAGACAGCGAAGATGGTGATAAAAACGAGTCTGTAGTTATAGACCTACTTACTGCAAAACCCCCAATTGAAGAATTATATAAAGAGCATGGGCACTATTATAGGCTAAAAAATTTCTTGAAGTTTATTCAGTCAATATTTTCCTTAGTTTTCATGCTAAATATGGTGGTCAAGAATAATGGTATTATGGGGCTATCTATGAAGCACATATCAAAACCAAGCCCAATTGAAGCTATTTTATCTATTATGTGCATAATAGATCTTTATAACAATCCAATATTAATGAACAAGAGAAATACGAATCTAAGCCCATACAAAAAGCATCCAGAGGACTTTTTGTATTTAGTAGGATTTTTTGTGCTTATGTCTACTGTAATGTGTATAATGTTCCCAACAAACTTGCTGAACTATTCAATTTATCTCTTTGAGCTAGTTCTAATTCTAATGAACCTTGGGTGCTCTTTGGGCAGCATATCACACGAAACTAAAAATTTATTTGTGAAAAAAATCAATCTAAGAGAATATGCATGGGCTTTAGTGAAAATTGTATTCTCAATGGCTTTCACCATTGCTATGCATTTGTACTTTAAATCACACCCAAATGTTAGTGATGTACCGGCTCTTAACATCTTAATTTGTGTTTAATGCATAGATTTTTAAGAGAAATATAAAAGAATAATTTTGCACTTGTTTTACATGATGTAATATAAGCATACTCTATTAAAATAAAATATTATTTATGCCTTATACATGATAATTTTTGTGGCTATTTATATAATAATTTAGTTTCGGGTTATATAGTGCTAATTAAGTATAAATTTAAATATAAAACTATATAGAATAACAACAATATAATAAACACCATTGTTTTAAACTACATTTTATTAGTTGAATTCTTAGAATTGGCGATTAATAAATGTTATTTATTTCGGGCATACGCATAAGTGGTAGTGCTATTACTGTTTTGCTAAGTAGCACAAGATAGTTAAAGGATTAAACTCTTTATTATTTTTAGTGGGGCAGTCTAAGCTCGCACAGGCTCATAGTCCATATGGCATATCTTTGCTAGACCTGCCTCTGAAGTATGGCTTCGATACTCCAAGATTTTTTGTAATAAACTGATTTCTAATAAAAAAGGAGTTCCCTGTGAATTGGAAGTATGCTTTCTGCTTAAATATTTTGAATTTTGGGCTATTAATTTGCGATCCCGGCCTTTTGTTTTGGCTAGATCATCGCACGAGCTAGTACATTGACAGATCATCTTTTAGTAGTTATACCTAGTAGCAGTGCCACCATACTTTACATTTTGTATTTATAGACCAAACTGTGGTTTTCTCTTCTTGAAGAATGTTAACTACTAGATGCCATAATAAAGCTTTGCATTTATTGAATTTCAGAAGCTCTTATATAGCTTTACTTCGCACGATATCATAATATGCGGGCATGGAATACCATGATTTTTGTTTATTTAATATCATGCTCTGTGATCGCATCTAGTATTTTGATATCACGAATTGTTCCATTACATCACAAGAGGCAGTGCCATTGCTGAGACACGCATGATCTTCTTGAGCACACGAAGAACCAACATACCGTATAATTAATTTAATTTATATACTGGCATGTTTACAAAATATTCAGATAATCTACGTACTACTTAACTTATGCTGCACTTGGCATACAAACTGTCATTAATATGAAGAATTCAAATAACCCGAAATACACTACATGTGCTAGCCTTATCATGCAGCGGAATGGATATTTTGGTATTTCTGATTTTCAAGGTTTTATGAAAAAAAATTTATAGCCCATTAATGAGAATAAACTTACTAATTATGATGCTACTGAGCGATCAAATATATGGAAAGTTTACTTTTGAGAACATTGAAGAAGTACAAAGAACCACAAGAGTAGGGTCTTCTAAGAAAGAAATGGAAGTGAACCTTAATGGGCCTTTAAACCTATTGCGCGGCTATATTTATGAACAGGAAGGGTATATGGCAAATAAGCGGCTATTTTCGCCTGATATAGTTGCAAACTTCTTGCTAGAGCCGATTAGTGTGCCGGATGCCTTTTGGCCTAACTTTAAGATGACGGTTTCTCGAGCTAAAGACACCCATTGGAAAACAAAGCATTCATCCGACCCAATAGAAGTACACAAGAGAGTCTTTAATAAAATTTTAATCAGTGCTTTCCCATCATCGGATGGAGATTACTCAATAGAAGCAATGAGAGATGACTCGTTTTTTAGATTTATTCAGAATGAAGCAGTTAAGCCTCACATGCCACGCATTATGGCTGCGCTTTTTCTTTTATCTGAGGGAATAGATGTGCCTATTTTCTTTACACAAGAAAGAAAAGACTTTTGTCTTATTATGAATGTAACAAAAGAAATTTGCTTAAATATACCTATGAGAGTTTCTTTCTTGAACTCAAAAACCAATGAGCTAGTCCATAGAGAACAAACAGAGGCAAGGGATCTAATACAATTTTTTAAAGATTGCTGTACCATGCCATATCTTTATGATGTGTTTGGAATTGATGAGCCCAATACATTAGAAGAGTTTAAAAGTGGTGAATTTCTTAATAGCATAAAGTTCTTTATACAGGTGTATATATTTAAGCTTGTAAACACTGTTAAGGAAGCACAAAGCATTATTGTGGCTGTGTATGAAATGCTAGAGTACTGCATAAATGAAGAAAATCACATTTTGGGGGATGAAAACCAAAAAAGAGCAAGTGAAGTTCTTAAAAGGTGTTTTTCTCCTGCTTCGCAAGTTAAAAAAGAAAATATCTCATATTTTGACAGCATAAAAGAGGTGAAAGCATGCATAGACAAGTACAACACATTTCCTTTCGTGCATGCTAAACAACTACCCGAATTCAAAAGTATTCCAAAGTATAGCAGAACAAATAAGGAGTTTTTTCCAAAAAGAAATTGTTTTAGAAACTGTGTAGAGAATAGCTTATATATTCTTTTTTGCTGCTTTTCCTACTCTCCAGAAACACAGAGTCATACGATTGACCATATTAGAGATCCTTCTCCAGATCTAAAAGCATTTTTTGCTAATAACAAATTGCTTATGGAAGATATGGACTTAAATCTACACATGGAATGGAGTAAAGTTGTTTCAGACTTAAGTTGTCCAGAGATTTCCTATAAAGAAGGGGGACATAACATAAGAGCCGGCCTTTTAAACATGCTGTGTATTCTTTTGCAGATTTCTGGGTATTATGAAAAGTTAAAAGATGAACATTTAGGCTACTTTACCCAAATCAATAGGAATGCGCCAATTAGCAGCCAACTGCGTAGAGACATTCAGCAGTACACGGAAAAAGTCTTCACACTGCTTTCTAATAACAAAAATATATCTGTGCTTTTTGAGGATTTTATAGTAGACTACAGAACCGATGATAAAGTTGACGTATTTGGAACTATCTCCATTAAATATAGTGTTAATGAGATAAATTGTGGAATACAGCTCTACTTAAAAAGCGGGCATGCAAAAATTTCTCTTCTTCCACAAAACAGAGCAGACACAATTTCCCTGCCCTCTTCTCTCCAGTCTTTGGAAAATATGCACAAAAGAGAAAACTGTTTTATTGGCCATTTGGTTTCTCGCTATATCAGATCTTCTATAACATGCATTAATGAAGATGCAATGTCAGAGTCAGTTCCAAAAGATGTGATTAGAGAGCTTTCCTATACAGATTTTCACTCTATGAACGCTTTGCTTATGGCAGGGAAAATACAAAGCATTAACTACAAAAAGAATCTTATACACTGCCTCGTGGCATATACAATTGAAAAGAAGATCGATGCAGAACATCCTGTGGCCCGGTTTATTCACAACATTTTAGGAAGCGTTCTTCTGTCTAATTATTGCACACAGCTAAATATGCTTTCCAGCGTAATATACAATGGATCCTACAAAAAGTGCTTTCCCAGCGTAAAAATCCCTGAAAGCCTATATTTAAAAATAGGGGTATACAACGCCACAGAAAACAAAAATATTTTTAGTCATATTTTAGAGAGAGGCGATCCAGAAATTCTTCTCATGGCTCTAGATACGTTTATTAAACTGGAAAAGAGCTATGGGTCTGCGAACGTTCCATTTTTATCAAAAGAGCTTATGGAGCCTATGTTTGATTGCATATTTAAAGATGGAAACACTATGCGAGCAGAAAAGCTTTTATGTTTGATAGAAAAGTACTGGTATAATAAAACATATGTAGCAGGCCTTCTACGATTCATATGGCTTATTTATGCGTGTGAGAAAATGGATATCAAGTATGAAGTAATTAGGTATCTATACACTAGGATAATTCCATTAGACCTACAATTGGAGCACATAGGATATCTCTCGGACCGAAAAAACTTTAAAAAGGTTATATCTACTCTGAACACAATGAAGAACGGCATGTGTCTTGAAAAAGATTTCCAAAAATTAGATATGTTACTTTGCTTCTTTGAAAAAGTTGACAGCATTTTATGTGCTCAAGAATACTAAGTAGCTAGACCATTTATTTATACACTAGTGTGTTTATATTTTGTGAACTATCTATGTTCTATTAAAAATAAAATATTATTTATGCCTTACATATTATTACATAGTGTATTTATAAGTTTTATTATATAACCCGAATTATTAGATTATTCTTTTTACTATAATCTGCCGTACGGTTTTATATAACAGGCACTTTATATGTTATCTTATTATGTTTCCTATTGACTTCGATTGGATTTATTTATGCTTTGCTATTTTTCCTTTTAGCTTATAGAAGTGTACTAAAGTTGCTTATATTATTTTTATGTAAAAATCCTAAAACTCAAATAATATTTAATCCGTCTAAAAATGTGTTTTCTCAAAAGAGCTTTTTACATTCTAGTACAGTTTCATATTTTCAAATTATTTTAGAATGAACTAAAAATATAACCCGAATATACACAACAGAGAGGATAGAGAAAAAACATAGCAAACACCTAGCCTATCTTAGAATGTGCTATAAAAATGACCATTAACCATCCATTACAATAATTTAACCTCTTCCAGAAACACCACGGAAGAATTCAAGTTAGGGTATATTAAAGCTACACAATCTATTTTATACGTATGTTTTGAAAGTCTTTGGCATAGCGGCATATTCTTTTAAATTGTTTTTTATATGAAATAACTCGAGAAAACTTATTATTGCTATTTTCTCATATGTTACAGTTTTATTATTAAATAATCAAAGATCAGCTCTTCTACTACAATATATTAGGCCAAGAAAAGAAACAATCTATTCTTTAGTTGAACTTTCTGGGACTTTTGATTTTATTCTTTCTAGACTGTAGCCATTCGCTTTTGTATTTTTGTCTTTTCTGAGCCTTTTAACACTTCCCTTTTCTGTGTAGAAAACCTTTATACTTTCTTTTAGACCCGAAATTTTTACTTGGATAGTCTGCACACTCTCCCTAGTTGCATAAAACTTTCTGACTCCTTCAGAGCATACTACCCACCACACACTTTTCTTCCCATACATATCAATCTTTCTTTTCTGCACAAAGCAGTTTGAAGATTTCAGTAGGGATTGGTAGTGTATAATTGTGTTGGCCGAGGTTCCTAGCTTTCTTTTTATTTTTTTGTATATTTGTTTAAGCTTAATCCCGTTATTATATCTGCCCACTATGCACAGCATTTCTTTTATCTCGTATGCATACAAAGACGAGGGGACTATCACACCGAGAAAAAACCGGCTTTTTTCAAAACACAGCTCAATTGTATCTGAAGAGTCAACAGGTTCTTTGTTTATTTTCCACTGCTGGGTAATAGCTTCATACAATGCCAACCACTCTTCTTTCTTCTCAGCAGAGATAAATATTATTTTAAGACTTTGTGAGAAGACTGGGATAGACCAATTCGAGCTGAAGAAGCTCCCCATAGATTCCATTTCTATATATTTATAAACAATCCTAAATAAATTGGCCAAAAATCACCCCGATCACACCTCTATCCTATAATGTGCACAGAAAGTCCTTAAATAAATTCTTTATGCAGATATATATAGAAACACAATAGAGAAGAATATAACCCGAAATAGAAGAAACTAAAAGATCTACTGTCCTTTCTGCTTACAATAGTACGCATTACAACCAGCGATTATATTCAGACGGCAATTAATTTCAAGCTTTACTGCTTTCTAGATAGCCCAAGACACTCCAGGCCACTAAAGTAAGTATTTAAAAGAAAGGAAAAGGATATGCACTAAACATAAAAATATGCATCTTTCTATACATACATTTACAATTATTATATAGAAGAAGAGCACTGCCATATAAAAAACACTTTATTATTGTAGAATAGAATATGCACGGGCAGAAAACCCATGGGCATGGAATATGCATGTGCGGCCATATGCCTGCGTACACACCAGAACCCGTTCGATCTCTGAAGTTAAGCGCGTGACAGCTTTGATAGTACTGCGATGGGAGACCGCGTGGGAACACAGAGTGCTGCACTTTTTGTTCTTTCTTCATTGTATTGCTATTAAAGGATGGTTAAGGACATTTCGGCGTGCTCTAAATAAATCCAAGTAGAGACGCAGCCTGCTTGCTTTAATAAATATTAACTTATGTGGCTGGTGCTGGTTTTTATATACTGGCCCTAGCAGAACACCTGCTAGTTATTTACTCTGCTTTCTGGTAGTATAGAGAAAATTGTTAGTGCTTCAATTGGCTGTCTCTAGTAATACTTTTTATTTTTTCTGTGCCATTAGTATATGCTTTTGCAGCTGTGTGTGGTTATCCTTCTTTTCTACCTAGCACATCAAATAAACAAGAACCAGGAAGAGGCAGAAAAAATAAAGGCACTGGAAAAGAAAGTGGCGGATTTAATGAATGATCTAGATAAATATAAGGGGTATGAAAGAAACTATAACAATCTTAAAAAGTCCTATCTAGATCTGCTGGATAAGACAGTTTCTTCCAGAAAGAAGGGGGAGTAGTCGTCATATATCTTAAATATAGAGCACAAAAGCTGTGTCTTTTCAAGATATTTTCTACACAAATTTGAAATTTAATCCCAAATGCACGAGTATAGATATTATGGAGAAGATAGAATGCGTGTTCTATTTAATTCTGGCCAGAAATGTAAAGTATACTCTTTTATAACCCGGAAACATATTTGGATATTAATAAATAAAAGCATTAGAATTACTGAGATTCCTCTCGCAGATAATAACTTCTTATAGACTATAGGTAATTTAAATTAATATAGGCATAATAGCTAGATGAAAGCTTCTTTTTAATGTATATTTTGACTATATAAGAATATGTCTTGAAAATTTACCTATGATTCTATAATTTATTTGTGCAGTTATAGAATTCAAAGGAAAATTAGTAGAACGGTTGATAGGCATGTATAGAGTTAACATTTAGATGTATTTATGCCAATGCAAGCCTTTCTGCATACTTTTTATAATGATCTGAAATTGAAATAGACATTCTTCTTTTTAGGACTATAGCTCGGTAACTATTATTTGTTTCTGCAGAAAACGATAAAACTCTTGAATGTGGTTAAACTTGCTCGCTGCCTGTCGTTTTTTTACTAATACAGTGCGCATAGAGGACAGAGCACTAATTACATTTGAAAAATCGCAACTACGGTCAATGCTGCTTAGCTGTGCTGAAAGAGGGTGCTTAATATATATTCTATCATAGACTTTTTCAATTGTTTTCTGGTCATACTCTGCCTCGTCACATAAATATGCCAGCCAGGATAAGTAGATTCTGTTGTGCTCCTCTCGTATAATGCCTCGCATATTCAGCACATATTCTGTCTTGTTCATAATATAGGACATTCCCACATCCTTGCTCCATATCACTAGTTGCCTGAATACTTCTCTGTTTACTTTTGTATCTGAGAAGGGGCAATACGCGCCTATTTTATGTGCATCAAGAGTTTTACATACTATTAGGCAGCGATGAAAAACTTTAATTGTCCCGATTCTTATAGAAAGTCTAAATATTTCAAGACTTCCTGGATTTCTGAATGCAATCGCAGTAGGCACTCCATTGCCCATATGGATATTTGGATAGCACCCATTATACTCTTTTATATATAAAATGGGAAGAAGAAGCTGCCGCGTTTCATTCCAAGATTTACATGGCATGTTTGCTAGAATGTTTGATGTAAACCTAATAATTAGATGATTTGCATTTAATTCTTCTGAGCTAAAAGGAATAAGTGCCCCCATAATAATGAGTTTTTTGTATAAAAACGTGTTAAGCTTTCCTAGTAAAAATAGCGCATTCACAAAGAAAGTTTTCTGCTCTATGATGTCTTTTGCAATCATCTCTAAAATAAAAGAAGGCTCCGATGTGTAGTCAAGCCTTCTTTCATAGTTGCAGGTGTGCGCTGCCAGAAGATTTCCTAAAAAAGTGTTCTTCTCCTCCCAGAAGGTTTTTATGTTGGAAAAGGATTTTCTGCATGAAATTGAAAAAGAAGTTCTATCAGATAAAAGCTTTAAGGATACCCCGCTCTTCTTAACACAGATGTCTAGCTGTCTTTCAACACCAATATATGTATATTTCATATGGATATTCCCTGAAACATCACGCTCTTTCTTGTTCCTCTGAAAAACACATAAGTTTGTGCAGCACACGGACAAGAATAGATTATAGGACAGACTTTTAAAAAGCCTTTCTATGTAAATGGCTAATAATTCATTATAATATTTAGGATTTATATTATTAGGCAGGCACAATAAACTTTTTAGCTCTAGAAGTGTGTTTTCGCTTTTCGCTGCCTTGCCTGTAATTTCTTCTATTAGAAAAAGCATATTTAAAATACCGGGCTGGAGCTGATTTCCATTCTTTTTATATATAATGTTGTTATTAGGTAGATCAGAAACCACTCTGCTCCAGTTTCTGTGTACCTCCATGCTTTCATCCTGTTCTGGGATGTAGTATTTTTTAAAGAATTCTATTAGTTCATAAGATGCATTGTGCATATGAACAGTTGTGTACTGGTTTTCGTATGCATTATATGTGAGAAAGCAAAAAAGAATATAGATAGAAGTTTCAACAGAATCTGTAAAGCGCGCACGGTCTTCCATAAACAAGCCAGACTCTCGGTTATATGGAAAAATGTTCATGCTATAAGGAAGCTGCATAGTATCTGCAAATGGCACTATCTGTTCAATCCCAAAAATCATGTACATTTCCTTCAACTTTTCCAACTGCTCTATAAAGGCACACCTGTCTTTTGTGGTTATCTCATCTATCGGCACAAAGCATCTTTTGTACACTGCCAGGGCCTTGTTCTGCGCATCTTTTGGCAAGAGATCTCCTGGGTTCTCTAGGCAGTTTGTAAGAATTTCATGCACAGCGCTATGAAAAAGGTCTATCTCCTCTATACTTTCTACAAACTTATATATGTATGCCTGTATCAAAAATTGTGGAGTTTTTAAAAATAGTCCTCTTTTAAACTGCACCATATTTTCGGGCTCTGCTAACTCGCATATACTTTTTGTTTTCGCATCGGTTGTGCATTGTTTAAAGAAAATAACTATATTTTCTATTATATCTGCACTATTGTTCTCCCATCCATTTTCCTGTATATCCTGCATGCCTAGGGCGCTTTTTGCAATTTCCATCGCGTATATTCCTAGTTTTTTGGGCGAGCTGCGTTTTTCACCACCCTCTGTGCTATCCCGTGCGCTCAAGCAAATTCTAAAATAGTCTTTCTCATTGGTTTTCTGTAAAACAAGTTCTTTTGTTTCTTTTTCCTCTATTGAAGAATTAAAGATATTAAGCGGCAGCTGGATGCCTTCTGAAATTAATAGAAGCGCAGCAAGAAAATAGCAGGCATAATCTTTCACACTTTCTTGTCTTAGAATGTTAGAAAGTTTTTGACTGTTATTGCTATATATAGATATCTCATCGTTTTCAATTGAAAACATAGCCAGCAGGGTACTATAGAACTTATATGTATATATATTTTTTTCCGGTCCATCTTGATACATGCCATGCAGTTTGTCTTTGTGGGGGTCTGATGTAAATATACACTCTACCTCATCAGAATTCTTCATTTTAATAGCAAGAAGATATTTTCTATCAATTTCTGGCGCATACATTCGCATGTTATAGATATACCCATCTACATGATAAACATAACCTCGCAGCAAATTTAAAATGCCATTGGGATTTATGTGCCATGGATATTTATCACCACTCTGTAGCTCACACCAGTTTTCTAGCTGCTCTATGTCTAGCTCTCCATGTATCTGCCAGATTACACCAAGGTGCACAGCCCAAAAAATAAACAATACCAAGCATCTGGCGGCTTCTTTAAATATTCTGGACATTTTTTATTCAGCATTTTATTCCATATATGAATAAAGTAAAATCATTTAGATAACAATAATGCAGCTTTAATATCCAATTTTCAAAATATGCTGGTGTACAAACTCCTCTACAAAATAAGCAAATCCCATATAATTCTAGAAAATGTCATTAATCCATACATTTGTTGATGTAAATGTGTGTATATTATGTACTATTTTCAGTGCATGTAGAAGCATGCCTCACGATTTATATAATTAAATCAAAAATCACTCTCTAGATGAATATTTTTAATTTTGGTCTGCTGGATGAAATTACTTCTTGTATTGTGCGGGTGGTTAATTACACTAACATTGTTAAAAGATCACACCAAAGTTTGAGTGTCTTTATACCCTATACCAATAGTTGAAAATTCATTTTAAAAATAATGTATAGAAAGAGTTATTTCAATTAATATAATCAAAAAGCATCAATTTCATCAAATGTGATGTAAACAATAATTATTCACACAAATCTATAACCCGAAATAGTCCAAATATACTTAGTTCTACCATCTAAAAACACTATTCACCTCCATGGAGAAGGTTTATGCATATAATGTCACAAGATACTAGTGATTTATACATTATATTTGCTAACTGGTTTAGGTAAATACACATAACACCTGATTTATATATTCTATACTAGCAATTCACTGATGATTATAGATATATAAATATCTAAGATATTTTAATTTTTAATGAAGAGGTGTGTAAGAATTTTGTTACTTTTATGCGGGCTTATTTGTTTAGTAGGAATAGGCATGTTAATGGTTATAAATACAGAGCTTGTGTCTAAATTAAATAAAAATAATCTAAAAGCCTGGATAGGCCTTGCACCTGCGCACATGAGTAGGCCGGCTTCTCTAGCTAACACTACTTTTACAGGAGTAGGCCAAGATAATTCCAATACAAACGTTTCTTTAAATATAGAAAGGAAGTTTCACAAAGTAGAAATTCCTTCTTCTTCCTCCTGCAATGACAAACCAGTATTAATTTTAAAAAAACCTTCTGACACTAAATTTTCTCATGCAAGGCGCTCCTCATCAAAGAATGCCACAGCACAGAAAAATAATAAGATAAATTCATGCAATGCTCCTATGTTTACTAAAAAGCAAATAGCTGATGCCATAATGATTGCTAAAAAGCAAATAGCTGATTCCATAAAAGAAAACCTGGCAATAAAATCCAATCCTACCAAAAGTCCTGTAACTAGCGCCATAAAAGACACAGTGCCGAAGCCCTTAGCGAAACCAAAAAGTATAATAGAAGCGTTAGAAACCATTTCTAAAAAGAATCCTCATTTGGTTAAGTCATCCTATTCTAATACAGATATTAATGAAATCATTAAGCACCAAAATAAAGTTGTAGTTGAAATTACTAGAAGTTTAGATGATATAGAAAAAAAAACTCTATGGGAGGTACTACAGGCATGCTCAAAAGAAATAACCATATATAACGACTATGATGACTTAAATACTAGCATAGATGTCTCTATTGAATATCCTGAGGCTATAAAGCCCTGCCTAATTGTTAAACATGCACTATTTTCGTACTATACCCCAAGAAATACGTGTGATGGTTCTTTGTCAATTAGTGGATTTTTCTTTAACCCGAATGAAAAGGCATTCAGTGAATATAAAATATTTCACTTTTTTAAAAAACTTACAATATCAAATACAACTGCTTGGACAAGTGCATTGAATCTATTGAATGATTTTAGTAATCTAAAAGAATTGTCTTTTGGCAAAGAAACAATTTTAAACACTAATAACAGTTTAGATCTGAGTCTACCCAACTTAGAAAGACTGAAAATACAATATGTCAACGAAAAATATGTAAATTTGCTACTTGACATATTAAACTTTTGTGTGTGCATTAAAGAAATAACTATAGAACAAATCGATTTAATAGACACTGATCGGCTGAATAGCATAGGAAATCTTGAAAATATAACTTCATTTACACTAAAAAATATAGTCTTTATTGGATTTCCAGATTTTACCTTTCTGGAAAAAATGAGTGCACTTAAAGAGTTGACTATGCAAAATATTTTCTATTCTTATACAGAAAAGTTTACAATAGAAAACTTGAGTGAAATTAAGCAGGATCCCTCGCGTTTAAATCCAGAATGCTTAGGCGAACCCACGCTGGATTTAAAAAAGAGAAATGCAGTTCATTTTTCAGATATGATAAATAGAAACAAAGCAATAGGCACGGCCATTTCGCCTACTAGTATTTATATAGATAGCAAACTATATAACGATCTAGGAATTCATAAAATGGTGCCTAAGCAAGAAAGTGAATATAATATTTACATTGGATTTTCAAAAAAGGCAGCGTCTAACTGGATAGATTCAGTTGTGCTGGGATTCTTTATAAATTATTCGCATATGGAGCTTTATATTGTTACCACGCAATTTATTTTTATTGACCATCAGCTACTTAACTATATGGAGTGCATTGACTTTCCATTTTTACATGCTGAAACTATTGATGAAATATTCTTTGTAAAGTCTCTGCTGGAACCTAGTAAAAACAAATTAATTAGTGTATTTTTTAAACAAATTATTAAGTATGCAGAATTTAATAAGATCAAAAATATACAAATTTCATCTTTATCGTGCTTTGCCACAGTAGATATATATGATATTATTGAAATTACTAATAATATGGCATATCTTGAAAGCGTAGAAATGCACAATGTTTCTTTTTCTCCAACCAAAACAATACCCAGAAACAGCAATGAAGAAAAGGCCCTGCAATCGTATGCTAAATATATTCAATCCGAGTTTAGTTTGTCTAGCTTTAGCTTCATGTTTGTTAAAAAAGAAAATATTCTTCGGATTACCAAGGCTGTGTGCATGGATCCTTAATTTGTCCTTAATATTCACTAGTTGCTGTTAAACTGCCTGTTGTTCTGTTTATCCACAGCTATTGACTATTTATAATATTGTTGTATAATTAATAAATATTTTACTTTTAAAATAAAGTGTATAGTACTGCTAATAATAACATGAATGGATTTATTTACAAGCAGTTTATATTTAAAAATAAAATAGAAGAAGAAAAGAAAAAAAAGGATAATGGAGTATATAAATGTAGAATGTTACAAGTAAAGGCAGGGAAACACACATAATAAGACAAATCAAGCTGTGATTTTAACAGCTTTATTACTATTAATAAGCATGCCGTGTAAAATATTTATTAGCTTGTTATATGATATGAAATAGAGATTTCTATTAAGTGAATATATTTAGTGCAAATGCAATATAAGAAACTGTGCAATCTGTTTTTCGGGTTTAAAACAGATTATTCATATAAGATTCTATTTATGTGAATATAGTTCAATTAGTTGATTTCTTAGAAAAAGTCATTAAGATACTTTAATGTTTATTGAATTTTGAATACGTATTTATATACCGTATAATCAATTTAATTTATACTGTCATGTTCATGTAAACATTCAGATAACCCGAATGTATTACGATACTAATGTTAGTCTTAGTATACAACACTTGATATTAATAATTACCCAAGAAAAGCTTTTGAAAAGCATAGGCGCCTGCTGTAAAGATAGCCAGAAACGTATTCAATGCCAGCTGGATTGCAGCACTGTTGTAAGAACAAACAGCTGTTGTGCTTTTTGTGGCATTAGGAGATATATAAACAACAGAGGGCAGAGAAGAGAGATCTTTTATAAAATCCATAGTATACACTTTTTTATCAAAGTAAATTTCGTTGTTTGTTATTCCTATGTACTCATTGGCATATTTTGCTACTCTCTGTATATAATCTACATAGGATTCTATGCTCTTCATGGCTCCACTGAGCTCATTACTGCTTTTATCCAGTGGATAGAATGGGCTTGTCTTATTGGTTAATACATTGTATTCATGTAAGTTCTCTAGCTTATTTTCAAAGCTTTCTAGAATTAAATTTAGCAGATCCATTGTCGTGGTTACTAAATACATTATTTCGTTAAACATGAAATTGGCATCATGCACATTGGCATTACATGTATTAACATTAGCAATGCTTTTTTTTGCATTTTCTAGTCTAGAGTCCATTTTTTTGAAATACTCGTCATTCATAGTATGGTCAGATGTTTCGTTATGCAAAAAGTCTTTTAAATCTTTTAATCCACATGTTGTTTCTATATTTGATATATTTTGAATAAGCTTAAGCACTCCAGATAGCTGATGAACAAAGCAGTTGCTTGTAAATTTCCATGTCTTTTTAAGTTGACTTATTTTTAATTCAGAAGTGCTTTTGCTATTGTTTCTTAAATCTATGTTAAATAAATAGTAGTTGGAATCAACGTATGCTCTTTCTTTAGTTACATTAAATTTCGGGTGGTATATTCCAAAATTTGATATCTCATAGAAAATATCGCTAATAAACATGGTTAAGCTTTTTTGGAGCTTGTTTATGTCTTCTTTAAGATTATTCAAACTACTTGAAATTGTGTCTAGTGTCGAGTAGTCAACTATTTTATCTATGAACTCGTTAGAGTTGTTATACTTTGTTATATCTTTAAAGGAATAGGGTTTGTATAATTTGGGCAAAAAAATTAATCCTAAAAACATGGTAGCTACTTGTTCATCATTCATTCCATACTCTTCCAATAAACCTTTTTGTTTATTTGGATTTTTTATTTTATAGTCTGTTTCAATCATGTCTTTAAAGTCTTCTTTTATAAATGGATAGTATTCATGTATTCTTGCACTAAGAATGGGCAAATCTATAATTTTTGGGCTCTGGCTCAATATATTAAACAATTCAGAAGAATTGCTACTTTGCTTTTTTATATCATTGTTAATAACAAATTTTTGTATTAATTCTTCAAAATATCTATCCCCGTCGGAAATTTGAAAACTACTAAACCATCTGTAATTTTGATGCTCTTGCGAATTATACAAATAAGCATTAAACTCTACCCCTGTAATATTGTTAAAAATTAATTCAAACTTATTTATCTGGCCCGTAATATAAAAGTAGTCCAAATAATTCTGCGAGTGGGTTTCCCGGGGGCTTCTTACATTTCTTTCTGGCTTTTCAGTGCTATTATTAGAAGCTATTGTATTTTTTTCATATTTTTGTATTGATGCATTTAGCATATTATTTGCATATTGACTAGCATCTTCTCTTTCAATTGCAGCCGAGTCTATGTTACGCAGAGCACTAATTATTCCTCTGTGTGTATTTACTTGTGGGGAGTGCGCTTGTACTGGTGCGTTGGCGGGTATCATAGATGCTTTTATTAGTCTAACATTTGTGCAGATTATTCCTACTACAAGTATAGAATATGTTATTATGGATTTTTTGCATTTAGAATATGACAGCTGGGGTTTCCCTCTTTCTTGTAAGTGTGAATTCTGATTGGTCATCTTAAATTTCATCTTTATTAATTTCCGAAACTATTATATAATTTTGGTCTCATCATTTGATCTCGATGAGCGGATCTGATTTCAATTGATGAACATTTCATAGATTATGTTCCATTGCTCCCCAGGAGGCGTAATGCCGCTGTCGAGGCGCGAATGGTTATGCCCACAGAGAATCAAGAGTGATATAATATTTTTATCTACTTTAAATCTTTTGCTGGAGATAGGCGCACTATCTCAAGTATCGGCGAACAGTTTGGTCGATGCGCTTCTTAGGGGGAAGTTACCTAAGCACGCATGGAGGACTCTGTTCTGAGACTATCCCAAAGCTAAGGCCCAGTGCGTAGACCGTAGCGTGAGTATCACTCGCGCGGTCGCACTATATCTCAGTGCCATCATCCCATTGAGAAGTGGCCGTATAAGGTCCTACTTTATAAGCCACGTTCCTCCACGCTAGCAGTCAAAGACATTAACTTGTTACAGCCGTCTTAGGAGAACGAGGAACAGCTTAGAGAGTGTGTGGCGCTCTATGGCCATCCGTTCGAGGGGCCTCGAATCTTATATCAATAAACTGTTTTAAACTAAAAAAAGCGCATTGGAGGATCGATCTTGGGCCTGCGCGCTTGAGTGGTGGTGTTGCCACAATTCGCAATATAACCCGAATTTATTAAAAACAGCCGGGGGGTTCCTCTTCTTCGTAAGTGTGAACTCCTATTTGTCATAATTAATTTTCGTTCTTTATTAAACTCCAGAAACTCTTATATAGTTCCTGTTCCCCCATCTTTTATGAATGCTACAAGCGTATTCATATCATAAATGATGCACACATATATATTACCATCACGCCAATTGTTTAATTGCTTCACAGGATGCAATGCCACCGCAGAGGCACGTGTGGTCTCCGTGCGCCCACAGAGAACCAATAAAAACAATTATTTATTTTTTACAGAGTTGAATGCGGGCTGTTCTGTTTTTTCAATAGTAGAATATTGTTCAAAATATATTTGTCTAACATTTCTTGAGTTTATTTTTGACTTTTCATTGCTGTTAATATATTCGCCATCTTCATACCTTTCTATTGATGTATCTAGCAAGGCTTTTAAGCGCTTAATGGCATTCTCTCTTTCACTTGCTTTTGGATTTGGATTCACATCACTAATAACATTAGTTGACCCTTTATGTATATGTGATTGTGGGGTGAGTATTGTTTCTGCTGCTGGCGCGTTGACTGGTACCATAGATGCCTTTACTAATCTAATGTTTGTGAAGATTATTCCTACCACATATACTGCGTATATTACTAATTGGTACTTAACGTGTGTTGTTTTATTACCTTTCATGCATAATAAAGCTAAAAACTCTTATATAGATTTATTTCTATCAAAATTGACGTGGCCCGAAATATAATACAAATAAGTACGATTCTTAAGTTGGAATAAAAATAAAAAGTAGTGCCTATTTTTCTATAGAGTCTAGTAGGCAAAAATACCGTTATAAATATGTTATAAGCAGAAGCACTGCCATTAGTACAGAAATTATAGACACCATGAATGCTAAAACGGGCAGGATAAATAGTTTAATATATGAGAGGTTTGTAAATACGCCATAAAATAACAAATACATGATATTATACAGCGATTTACTTGGTATAAAAGGTTCATATAAGCTGCGAAGCTCGAAATTCGGGTGTTTAAAATGATATAACATGAGAAAGATGCATTGGCAAAAGAGGCACTAAAAGAAAAATAATTTTATTTTATGTAAGCTAATGCTATAATTTATTAAAAATAAATGTTATTTATCCTTTGCATATTATGCACGGTTATTGTAAATAAAGACAGTATACAAATCCAAAAGAAAAGTTTCAGAAGAACATGATAGCATAAATTAAATCAGAAATATTTGGTGACACAACACATCAACATAAATTAAATTGATTATACGGTCTATAAACACGTATACAAATTAAATAAAAGTTTAAGTTTAAGAGTGCCTTTTCCTAAGAAAACAACTCTGGCTATGAATTTATATTACGATACATAGAGCAAGATTTTTAGTGTAAATTTTCGGATTATATTGTTATTGGATGCGTGTAATGGAATAAATAACATGGCATAGAATATAGTAATGTTATTGCGTTTTGTCAAAACAGAAGAAATAATATAGAGTACTCCTATATAAAGGGGCATATACAATAAATTATAAGATATAACATAACAAGTAACTTTAGAAGTGTAAGTATTATCATGGATGCGCATATGAGATTGAATAATCTTTATTTTTATTTGTGTATGCATATAACAGCCAAAGTTGGTATAAGATACACGCATGGATATATCTTTTGTTAATATATTGCTCATTTTTTGTGAACTATACATAATTTATTAAAAATAAAATATTATTTATGCCTTACAATTTTCATTTCTTCTATATAGATAATTAATGCTCTCTTTATTTGGGGCATCCAGTATATATTATGCATATTGGAGTATAACAATTCGGGTTAGTATTCTGTTTGCGTATATTTGTGTTTTGGTCTTTAGTAAAAGTTATTCTAATAAATAAATTCAAAAATTGGTGCTAGAATCTAGTGTGATGAAAGCACCAATTAAACCACGCCTAAATATAAAGAAAAATATATTCATTGCATTTGCTGCATATACTTAGAGTGATTTATGCATACAATGCTACAGTGCAGTAACTTCGGCTTTCGGGTTATATCTAGATATATCACAATTACAGGTATATACGTGGTTAATATCAGTTTTATATAACTTGTAATAATAAAGCACTGATGTTTACACAGATATAAATATCTAAGGCTTTCTATTTTTTAATGAAAAGGGTGAATATAAGGACTTTGCTATTTTTATATGTAATTGGATGTTTGGCAGGGATGAGCACATTACTTGCTGCGGATGCAGAGTTGCTCTTTAAGTTAGAAAACAGCGATGCTGCTGGCAGCGATGACTCTATATCAGTAAATGCCGTTAGCAGCAATTCTGTGAGAATAGAACAGTTCCACTCGAATACAATTGATTCTTCCGATGCAGAAATAAGTCTATCGAAAACAAAAGATCTATCAACTATTGAGTCTATGGTAGAATTGGCACTGCCTCTGGAAACAGCATTTAATCCAGAAAGTGTGTCTAGTGAATATAATACTACTACAGAAAAACAAATAAAACAAGAAAACGCGGGCATGGACAAGATTTTAGATATAGAACACATAATAAATCAGAGGCTAGCAGTAGAAACTTCACAGGGCATAGATTATGCTTTAACATATAGTGAAGAAGAAATTGAGTTGCTGGGGATTCTAGAAAGTATTTTTAGAAAAAATAAACACTTGTTTAAAACCTCGCATTATAATGATAAAAAAGCCATAAATGAAATTATTAAATATAAAAATGAAATTGTAGTTAAACTTACTAGAGCAACAGGAGAACTAGAAAAGAAAACACTGTGGGAAGTATTGCATGCATGCGGCAAAGAATTTTCCATAGATATAGACAATGTTCATTCAAATGATATTAAAAACATCATTCTTTTATATCCTATGCGAATGTTATCTATTTCTTCCATTAAATATGCAATTCTTACATACTATAACCCGCGTGAGATGAGCAATATTTGTTTGTCACTAGAAAAATTTATCTTTGGGCCCAATGAAAGTGTATTTAATCAATATGCGATATTTTTCTCGGCCAAAAAACTTATGCTAGACAACCTGGTTGTTTATACAGATACACTAAATGTATTGGATGATTTTAATAATCTAAAAGAACTTTCCTTTTACATGGGGTCTATTTTAAGCTCTAATGCAGAGTTAGAATTGTGTTTGCCAAAAAATTTAGAAAAACTAAAACTATGCTGTGTTGATAAAAAGAAAGTGACCTGGATATTAAGTGGGGTAAACTCTTGTCACTCTCTCAAAGAAATAGATATATCCGATATTGATTTCATAGACACTGAAGGGCTGAATAGCATGGCCAATTTAGAGAATATAACCACATTTACTCTTAACAATATAGTTATTTCGGGGTATCCAGACTTTGCATTTCTCAAAAAAATGCAGGCGCTTCAAAAGCTAATTATGGACAGGATTTTCTACTCATATAAAGACGATTTTGATCTAACGGACGTGCATGAGATCAAAAAAAATATTGAATATCTAAATCCAATAAGTCTACCAGATTACTCACCTGTTTTAGGGCAAATTGAGCCAGTCCAATATGCAGATGTGATTAAGAACAATAAAACTGTGGGGGATTATATTTCTCCTACTAATGTTTACATAAACAGTAAGCTATATAATGACTTAGGATTGTGCAAAGTAATTCCAAAGAAGGGACATGCGTGCACTATGTGTATTTTATTTACAGAAAAAGTAGACTATGTCTGGATATACTCAATTAAATTTATGTTTTCCATAAATAGTAAGCATACTTGTCTTAATATTAATGCCAAATCAGCTGCTTTGGCCAAGCCCATCTTACTTAATTACATTCGGTGTATTGATTTTCCATTCTCGGCTATCAACACTATTGATGAAATGTATTTTGTGAATTCGCTTAAAGAATTTAGTGAAAGCACCATAATTAGCATGTTCTATGACCAAATCCTAAAATATACAAAACATAATAAGATTAGAAGGCTGCAGTTAGTGTCTTTAGTCCAACCAGTCACAGTAGATATAACCCAAATTGTTATGTTTAATACCAACATGCCAGACCTTGAAGAGATATATTTCTCAAATATTGCTTTTACTAAAGCTAAAAACAATCCTAAAACTGCTGATGAAGAGCATGCTCTGGAATCCTATGCTGCATATATAACCCGAAGTAATGATTCTGCCAATTTTAAATGCAAGCTTATAAAAAATGGAAATAATTTTAAAATTATAGAATCCACATAGCCTTTCTAATGATTCGCCATCTAATTATATCAAGTAAAATAGCCCGATATAACATGAAAATTCATAAATTACTCCTAGGATATTTAAGTAGTGCATGTCCAGAAAATAGAAGAAAGCAATAATGCATTAAACCCCAGACTAACCATGAATAACATGGGATACTGTCTTACACCAAGATCATCTGATAGCTGCAGTAGAAGGTCCACACTATACGTCTTTATCTTAAACTATGCTACATCTGCCTGCACACCAGATCTATACAGTTTGGTAAAAATTAAATATATACACGTGTAATAGAGTATAAAAGTATTTTTTAATGGTGCACAGTAAACATCTATATTTACAGCCTTACCACTAGGTAGGTGTCTTCTATTGTATAATAAATACATTCGCCATTTAACCAAATAGGTAAATACTCAGTGCTTGTTCATGTATGCTTCTTTGACAAATGGCTTCTATTTTATTTGCATTTTCTATTCTTTCTGTATTAGAAATATTTATATTTTTAGTATTGGTTCTCTGCGGACACACATATACCATATGTGCATATGGTGTGCACTTCAGAAGTGGCATTCACTCGTACAGAGAAACTGAAGCAAGTAGTGACATCAAAATTTAAAAAGATGTCAGCTGCCATCTTGATATCTTATATACGAATCTATGATATTATGTGTTATTATTGTGATATCTTGCCAAATTGAGCTATATAATAGCTTCTGGTATTTATTAAATTTCAGATTTAGCTATTCCCACGTTATTTTATACTCAAAAAGGGAAAACTGACTTGTGTTAGATGTTCTGCACGCCCATATACTAACATGCAGCAGTAGTTCTAGTATAAAAATTAAAATTAAAAGAATATAGAAGAAGAAATTAAATATCTATCCCAAGCCAGTGAGAAGTGGCCTATGTAATACGATTCAGTAGTATAAAGATCTATGGGGCATCTGAGTACACTTGAGAATTTCGGGTTATTAGATTTGTTTGTTGGTATTGGAAATAAAGTAAAAAATATAGTACAAGTATAAGTTTATTAGAAATTCGAGTTATTTATTTTTTACAAAAATAAAAATATTATTAGTGTACACATTACATATTGAATTCATGTATTGTACTTTTTCTTATACAGAATAGTAAAAATAAGAAAATAAGAAGAAAAGGAACGAAAAGAGAAAAAGACAGAAGAATCGAAAAGTAGTACAAAGGCCATATATAGAATGGAACAAGATGGCATAAAGAGATCAGTAGAACATGGTACATAATATATAGAATATATGCAGGCACTTGTAGTATATTAATGACATACAAGCGGGCATAAGCAACCAGCTATTCTTAAATTCTTATGTGTATGGATGGATCTGTAATATTCGGGTTATAAATAGCCGCATAGAGATGTAAGAAGAAGTAGGAAACAGAAGAAGTTTAAAAGAAAGAAGCAGCGTAGGGAGCATCTTCTATTTATTTCCTTATTTATATAAACTTTGAAAGTTGTAGTAAATACTGCTATACTGTAAACACCAATCAAACAGTATACCAACTACATAACTGGCCAATTAATTAGACAGTGTTAATTTGATCAATCAATATAACGAAGAACCGTATTTGATTAGTTCGTTAAGAGGTAAGCAATAACCAATTAGTTGAAAGACCCCTCTAAATTAAAATATAAATATCAAAATAAAAGATCGTTAATTAGATGAAATTAAAAAAAACGAATCGGGTAATAAAAAATATTTTATTTATTCCCAGAATGAAAAACAGTAAGATCATAAAACTGTTATTGGCGATGTACACAGTGTGTGCAAGACTTGAGTTGAGTGATATAGAGACAATAGGAGATTCAGTAGTTATTGAAGAAGATAACTTGTTAATCCATCCAGACGGACCATTAAATCCGCTCAGAGGATATATCATGCACAAGAGCGGATGTATGTACAACAAACGATTATATGCGCCAGAAATAGACACAATGTATAAATTGGAACAAAAAGATGAAAATTACGAAACAATTTATGCTTATACAAGAGAGCCAGTAAATGACCTGGCATATGATGATATTTGTGAGGACACAAAAAAGAATGAATATCTCACACAGTCCCATGCACTGCTAGTCAAAATGTTTCCTTCGACCGACGGGTCATTTTCTATTGTATCAGGAAGACAGGATTCAATTTATTCATTTCTTATAAAAGATAGAGTAAAGCCAGAGTGCATGCACATTATGGCAGTCCTTTTCCTTCTGTCTGAGCAGGTGGATGTTCCTTTTACTATAGAAACAAAGAAAAAAGAGAAAAAACTTGTTCTGAAAAGTGCAGATGGAACAACTACATACATTAACCAGCCAAGAACAAACGAAAATTTACTGAGTCTTATTGAATTCCTTAAAAAGTATATAGACAACGAAGGGGTGAATCCAAGTACAATGGAAGGACTGCCCACTGAGCCAACCAACTATGAGCAGTTCATGACAGGAGAATTTTTGAACACATCCGAGTTCCTTATTCAGTCGTATATATACGAGTTTATTGACACAAAAGAAAAGTATATTGAGTTTGTAGAGGCTGTATATACTCTTTTGAATGACCAGATAAAAAATGAAAAGTCATACGAAAGAGTGCTTAACAAGTGCTTTGTAAAAGAAGGTGCACAATCAAACGAAATCGACCATACTAAGATTATTTGCGATCTTAAGGATACAATAGACAAGTATAAAATATTTCCATTCATGGATTCATCACAGCTTCCGTCCTATACTCGGGTTAAAGCATATGATCGGGAAAAGGGCGAGTTCATAAACAATGAAAGCAGAAAGTACTCCAACTGTGTAGAAGCAGGTATACTAGGACTAGTCTGCTGTTTAGTATATGATCCAAATAAAAAGAAGTACAATACAGACCATCTGCCCGACAATAAAGAAACTAAGCCACTGAAAGACTTCTTTAAAAAGTACACTGAGCCAAGAGAAGCCACTGACTATGAAATGCACGAGGATTGGTGTAGAGTGATAGCAGACTTGAAGAATGACAAGATTCTTTACTTAAAGGAGAAGACGAATGAGCTGGACAGCAGTTTGTTGAATATTCTCTATGTTTTATCGAATATAACTGGAAGCAAAGAAGAAGTAGTTAAAGAAATTGAGCACATAGAAGAACTTCTTGCTGATAAGAATATTAATGATAAGCTTGATATAGAAGAAAGCTTGACTACAATATTCAAGGAGCTATCAAATAACAAGAACCTTGAAGTAGAGTGTGACAAATTTATAGTAGGTACACGAGAAGATAAAAAGATGGACTTATTTGGTAAGTTTAAGCTAGTATATACTTTCAATAAGAAAAAAAATGGAATATTAGTAGGAATAGATTCTGGGCATTCCTCATTAAGCTTATTGGAAGACCTATTGTCTAGTGAAGACAAAAATATTATTAAAGAAAAGCTGACTGAAATACAGAATACTTATAGTAATATAGAGAGTTACACTGCATACACAATTAGACAGTACATAAACATAGAACTTGCTAAGATGGAGAAAAGGTCTGCATTAGGCCGAATTCAAGAAAGTATTAGAAATAACCATGATAATATAAATGATATTTTCCTTCACGGGATGATTCGATCAGTTGAACAAAAAGCAAGC